AAGCGTCTTTAATCCAAGCCAGGGTGCATTCTATGTTGATCCTACGCCGGACACTTTTTTTTGGCACTCATAAATTACGCCAAGTCTTGTGGACTTAAAAAAGGGTGCTTCTAGCAGCACGCGAACAGCCAACGTTTCTGGTCGAATATTTTTGGTGACCCTCTTTTTGAGAATCGTATAATAAAGGTTTGAGAGGAATGACAAGAGAACTACAACAAGATTTTCACTTAAAATTTCATAAATTAACGAAAACGATTTAAAGAATAGTTAGCTATATAAAAAATTAAAAGAACAAAACCTGGATTTCAAACAATTAATTTCAAAGATTTGGCAATACATTCATGCACAAACATATCTCACAGAGAAACAAAACAGTTGAGTTAAGGAAATATAAGATATTAGTACGTAGCTTATTCATACCAGAGTACCTTTCAATTATCAGACAGGAAAGGACAACGGCCTTTATCACTGTCAATACGATCAATTACCTTTGATACAACATAATCCTTATTTCTACTGGAAAAAAACGTGTTCTGTCGGTGCGGCCGCAATTTATCATCTCCCTGAATGTAAGTTTTAATCCCATCCTTGATAATATTTTTGCAGTTTTGAAGTGACGGCAAGGCCCATTGCAGCTTCGTTCTTCAAGCCAGTGTTTCGTTCGATTGCCCTCCTGACTGTTGTTGCGATCTCATTGAGCTGTAAAAGCTTTCAGCTATTGCTTCAGGCCCTCCCTTAGCCAAAAGAATGTCAATTAGAGCGCAAGATGGCTTACTTGCAATGTGACAGATTTCTTCGTTGTTGTAAAATGATTGGTACATTCGCTGTTCATGTAAGCGCACTTTCATAACTTTTCCATTTGAAAATACCATTTTGAACTGACAATCTAATGTATTGCTTTCTTCTTCTTCAAACTCTTCAAGTGTTGCATTTTGAGTATGTAAATTAACATTATTTTGGCTTATAATAAACCATTCTGGGCACTTGCCATTCCAGATGCCTGCTTTAACAGCGTTTTTTATTCTGGACATGTAAAGATACGCCATTCTTGAATCGAAATTCATCCCTGATTCCTTCACATGTTTTAGCTCGCTAATCGTTGTTAATATGCGCTTACATTCTTCCACTCCATATACTTCATACTCACCTTCATCTACAAAATATTTTATTTCTTTATTAACTCTTTTTCCACAGTGAAGCTTAACAAGATTCGCCGCATCAAATACTTCAAATGTTGATGGTGATTTTTCAGCAAGCGATTCAATTCTAATATTCAAAGCTTCACATAGCTCTTTGGCCAAATTCTTGCGATCTTCTTCGATATCTTTACTGTCACGCAAATGCCACGTAAAGCGAGAATTTCCATCTGCATTTTTTCCATTATCTTTCGTTATGAGCCAACCTTGAAGTAATTCAACTCCTTTGAATTTTAAGCCAGGTATCAAAGAGTGTTCGACTTTTGACAGTCTAGGAAAGACCAGGGGGTTCCCTTTTACAGCTTTTAGCAGAATTTCTCTGACTTTAGGCCACCACATTTGTAGCTTCCAGATTGGAGTGTCAAGTGATTGGGCTCTCAGCATCAGATCAATAATAGGATCCATGATATCCAAAAAGGATAAAAGATCTGCCACAAAATCACTTCCAGCAATCATGTATTGCCACTCTTCGTCTTCATCCCTCCGTGGATGTAACAATTCAAATGCCTGCCAGTACGATTGGTAGCTCTGTTCAATTTTGAGCCACTGCTCATACGATGAACTCATGAAACGCTGAGTAGCATATGATACAGGTCGTCTCGCAGTACTGTCCACCATCTGCAAAAAGGCAAACCCCTTTCCATTTGCCAAAACATGATTGAACACATTACATCTCTTGATAAATCTACGGAAATGTTCTCCACCAGGTGAGTTAGCATCTCTTACTTCGGTAACAGGAAGGTTTAAAACATGGGCTGTATCCCACGTTATGGGGAGAGCGATCACTTTGTCTACATGCTCTGGGATCTCCAGTTGCCGAAAAAGTGAACTTCTGAATCCAGAAGCCTGATAAGGGCCATCAGCTGCCACACCACAAAGCCTTTCCAGAATTTGGGGGGAGAAATTATCAGAAATTGCTTCCAGAAGTTTTAATGCCAATATATCATATGAGGCTTCGGTAAATTCTGTATAAATGGCAGGAGCTGCAACAGGTATTGGGGAGGGTATCCCATTCTTATCTCTGGCGACAACCAATACTGCTTGGTTTGTTGTTCTGGCTGGTGTAGCTTTATCAATGGTAACCCAAAAGTGTGGAGGAAGGAATGTTGATGGGAGTGGCTGATTAAGGAATTCTGCCGTCTTCTTGTTCATCGACTTTTCCAGGCAGTACAGTATGTCATTAAACAGATTCCTGCCATGCCCAATGTTTCCAACATTTACAGAGCAATTTGCGAGTAAAGACACTAACACTTCAAAGTTTCTTGCTGCTGCACCAAGTTTCAAATCCACTATAGCCGCTTTAAATAAATGTGTTGCAGTTGTTGCATTTTCATTATTGGATTTCAAAGCCTGCTTGTATGCTTCCATGGCAATTTTATGTGTCTCTGAGCCGTTTCCTATGATACACATGTGGTCAATTAGCATATTTTTTTCCCGGTACCAAGTCCTATTATGACCTTTGATTAACAGACTCGCGATTTCCTTTTTCAAGAAAATTCCAGTTGCAAATGTTCCACTGCTTCTTGGATTAAGGATTCGCTGTGCTTGTAATGGAGTTAAATCGGCTAATGTTGGCTTAGCTTTCAGATGAAGCTCATAACATGGCAAACATCTCAGAACTGCACAACCACTTTTCTCATCATAGAACCACTGAATTGGCTTTGATGCCTCAACTAATTCATTGATATTGTTGGCTTTCTTCATTGCAGCAACTTGCCTTCCAGTCTCTGGGTCTTCAAAAACAAGCTGCTGTAAGCTTCTGTGCTTTGCTCCAATATCATCCACCTTTAAACTTAATTTATTTATCTCAGTCATAATGGCATCCATGTCTACGGTGCTGTTCTTCTTTGTTGCATCTAATTTTTCAGTTCTAAAAGATAAAAGTGTACTTTGAGTGTCCATTCCAGATATTTCTATCCCATCCAATGTTTCTTTGTCACTTGATTCTGTCATCAACTGAGGCTCGTTGCTGCATGCTTCCAGGGGTTCCAGGGGCTCTATGGGTGATAGGGCCTCCATGAATTTATTTTCCTCACTTTCAGTATTTGATTCAAGTTCATCAAGGTATTCTTCGTAGCTTGGCGTAGCTAATTCTAGATTGTTTTTGCCTTGAGCTGCTGCAGTGCTATGTACCTGGTCTATTGAAATAATCTGTGATGAAGTTGTACTGGTGTTTCTTTCTTCAGGTGTAGTGACTTCTGATACGTTCTGTTTTGCATATTTTAACTTCAATGAACTCACTTCTTTTGCAGCTGTTGGAACAATTGTGCATAACTTCGATCCAGGAATGCTGTGCCATCTATTTTTATGACGTTGAACAGTTGAATGATCTGTTCTGCATACAGATGTATATCTTTCATCCCTTTTTCCTTTCAAGTGTAATTCAAAGCATTGCAAGCAAGTAAAGCTGCCCTTTTCTGACGAGATTTTTTGTCTCTTTTCAGGGATAACTTCTTTGCTACTACTTGCACATCCTTTCGCCCAGGACAAAATCACTTGTTTCTTTCCTATACTTTGCTGTCGACTTTGTTTCTGTTGATTATCTGAAAAACGTTAATTGTTATATTTTATTCATTTTATTCCCGCTATTCATTAAAAGCGATCCCTCTTTTTCTTGGGCAATTCAAAAATAATATGAGCTAATTAGATTAAACCAAAATTAGTCTTTGCTTAGCCAGCATTTCATTCCTTACAAAAATGTGCGTGATTAAGAAGCCATAGAAGCATAGAAGTGAAGGTGTAAGAAACCAAATTAACCGAAACGTTTATTATGATTGCAAAATAGAGAAAAATCTAAAGCCCCCCTCCACATTAATTGGCCTTAGGGGCCATTCAAACAGTACTTGTGCTCAATATCCATCGATTTTGGATCTCCCTCCCTACTGTTTGCTTTTGTACGGTTTGGAGGTTGCCCCTCCCTCGAGCGTAAGTACGTACTTTTAAGTCATCAACTTCTCCCCTCTTGATTGTTTGAATCTATCACTTATTGCACTTGTTTAAAGTTTGCAAAATCAAGTACATACACAGGAAAATTAAAAACCTACCGTTTTCATCAATATCCATTTCAATCCATGTAATATTCTAACGGAACGCAAGTTCTTGGCTTTGCCTCTTCATTTAATATTGAGACCACATGACAAACGTTCGAAAATGTGACAGTACTTCCTTTTTGTGACAGTACTTCCGTTTGAAAGTGTCATCCCAACTTCTGTCGGGAAACGCCTTATCTATATGGACTCACCAGGGTGCATATAATACTCAGCATGCTCCTTGACATGATTTTTCCTTCTTTGTGTCGAAATACGGACCACGGAACCATGGACCACGGAATAACGAAACTAATATAGAAATCAAAGAAAACACCTCGCAGAGGAGATTAGTTAAGCATATCAAATCATATCTCGGCGATGCGCCACGCCGTCACGCCGTTTTCTGTCAACGATACGCCAATAATTCTAAACAAGTCATTGATATTCGGGGTTTTCTGTCGCTGACACGCTAAAAAACAGAATTTTTTTTTTCTACGCCAAGGCATTTTTCTTAGCCCACGCCGGACATATTCGGGCCTACCTACATGAAATGCACCCTGGAATCCAAGCAGCCATAAATAAGATTTCAAACAGGTAACGAAAATTGTGATTTTTTGCTTCTCTGAAATTTGGCAGTCCTTTGTTTTCTCCGTCACCAAGCTACGAAATCTTAGGCATAGAATATTTATTTTCATTCTATTTTTCAAAAAAGAGTGAAAATGCCCATGAATTAAGTCCCTAAACCTCCCTTTGTCTATTTTGGTATCGAGGCTTCCCCAAAATGCTGCGACCGATAGAGTATTCACTTTGTGTTGGTGGCGCCTGTTGTTGTGTGTTAAACTTTGGAAGTATTCCTAGCGTTCAAACATGACAAGCAGCAGTGAATATGATAAATACCAGCAAAATGAAAAGCTGAGAGAAGACTGCTCCAATGGATACAGTCACGAAGTTTTGAAAGGCATAGAGGAAGGAGCTGAAGTGAATTCCCGAAACAAGGTGAACGGCTGGACAGCGCTGCATTGGGCTGCAAAACGAAATCACGACAATATAGTCATAATCTTGCTTAAACATGGCGCTAACGCAAATATTAAGAATATTAAAGGTGAGTTACCTGTTGATTTAACTTCAAGGGAAGACATAAAGCGCCTTTTGACTGCTGATATACAAAACGTTCTAGAAGGACGCCGTGAACAGGAGAAGTCAGAATGTGGTGAAGGCCGCGAAGCGCAAAGTGGTGACTCTGTAAAATCTTCAGCGCCAGGTGCTGTGAGTTTTGTCCCTGGGTATTTGGCTAATCCTGTATTTCCGTACGCAGTTGCAACTGGCAACCCTATCATCACACAAGCAGTTGACAGAGGTGTTTCAAAAAGTGAACAATCAGTTCTTGTCCCTGGCTACATTGCAAACCCAGTGATAATGACTGCAAGAGCAAGTTCTGTTACAGTTGATTCAAAAGAGAATTCATCAGAAGAGAAAAAAGTAGAGCCGCCACTTCTGGTTCCAGGGTATATAGCAAATCCAGTTATACCATATGCAGTTGCCACAGGGAATCAGATGGCAGATGATAACACAAGTAAAAATAGCCAAGAGGCTGGCAATGAGAATCCAGTTAATTTTCAAGTAGCTGGAGACTTTAAGCAAATGTTTGTACCTCATGTTCAACAACTTGGTTCATTAGTTAATACATATGTTAACAGCATGAAGAGTCTAGAGAAACCAGTTGAATACAGACTGTACAATTCATGCAAAACCACGCCTGTTGCTACAGTGTTTATGAGCACCCCAGTTAGTGAACTTGTGTTGAAAGTTCGTGTTGCTGGAGCTGATGATTTCATCGAAGTAGAGTTAAATAACAAATTGCTAACATATGAAGAACTGTTAAATGTTTGTTGCAAAGAGCTTAATATCAACAGGTCACAGATAAGTAAACTGAGGAAGCTGCCAAATACTATTATAAGAAGAGACAAAGATGTTAAACGCCTGCATCCATTGCAAGAACTTGAAGTCCTTCTTCTTTAATTTCCATATTTTAAGTTTTTCCTGTAGCAAATGTTTTGTTCAAGGAATTAAAGTATATAAATCTATGCATACTAACTGAATATATCATTATGCCTTTTAGTGTTCAGAGAGCAAAAATCAGAGTTTCATTTGAGCATTTCTTTTATTTATCAATCATCATAAATATACAATCTTGAATAGCTGTAAATAAGGAACAAAAATGAAAAATACTATTGCATCAGTTAGTCCAATGAAAAGCCAGTTACTAAAAATATCTAATGAGAAAGTTTTTACATTTTAGCAATCAGAATAACATATTTAACAAACTTTAGCATGTCCTTGCTTATTGTTATACAAATTAGTTTAAAACATTTTGCAATGAAACATTTGAAAAACTGAAAGAATTCTTCAGTAAAAATGAGAAAAATCAAGGAACCCACAAGGAAACAAATAGGTAACTGATTTACTAGGCATCTTTGAATTGCTTTGTTAAAATTTCAGTTTCTTTTACAATCTTTAACTGTATCAATATCTTGACTGTATTAATGACTCTATTTTCTTTTCTATTTAATTTTTCTCTTTGTGCTTTGTTCTTGGAGTCACTGTGCTGTGACAAAGGGTTACAGTAGGACCTCCAAGAAGCTTGAAAATGAGACAGAACTTTCTAATCAGCTAAAATTTGATTTAATAGGAATTTCAATTGCTAAAAACGATACAGTCACAAAAACTGAAATTATGGAGAGGCCATTTAAAATTAGAAGATAAATGGGAAAGGGGCACTAACTTGCCTATTCTTTAAAGACACTACGCAAATCATCATTGACTCTAAGAGAGTGTTAAATTACACAGGGCCCTGCTCAAAAACAGGAAAATACCAGCAACAGAGGAAATTGTAGATAAGGGATACTAAATTTTTCTCATAGGACCCTCGCTCCAGATGACAGGTATTTCAAAATTATGTATATAAATTGAGGATGTGGCTATTCTATAATGAATTTACCCTTCTTATTTTAGACGAGATTGTATGTACCAGCAAATAGGGTGGGTCATTGTGAAAATGTACTTTCTTTCTGCTGTGACCTATAGGAATATTGTTTCATTGGAAATATTGTGTATACATACCAAAAGAGAACTAATTCTTATTTGTCAATATACCAATGCCTTTGAATGTTAAGCTTTGCATTAAATAATTCAACATAAGGTTTATTCTACCATGTCTCGAAGTATCCACATAAATGTTGTTAACCACATTAACTTTACATTTTAAATAAACATCTTTCAGTTGCCTTCAGTCCAACTTGTCAACAACAATGATGCATGCTTTAAGCTGATTTTTCACTCATTTTCAAGTAATACAGACTACCATGCATTAAGTTGCCACACCAAGAAAAAATCCACCAAGAAAACCACCAACAGCCACCATATTTCTCGTAAAGAATTTTGTTCCCTGAGATGAGATAAAAATTTATAGACAAATTAGTTTTACTCAATAAAAAGTGTTCTCTGCGGCAACCTGATCTTTTTTGAAACCTTGGCATGACCATGTTGAGATAGAGATACATAAATGCTGAAATTTAGTACTGTATGTCTATACCAATTGAGCCTTAGCAATAATACAGTAAAGATGGCCAATTTTTTTGGTTGAACATGTGGTAGTTCTTAAAGAGAAACAATCAAAGAAGGTGCTTTTATTTCAGATATTTCTGACAAATAAAATTGCAGTGATATGAGTAGGAGTTGAAATTTACCTGTTTCAGAAAGTTTTTTGTAGCTCTCTTATTCTGTCTGCCAGCAAGCTTTTTATGAATATTACTTTGTGCTTCCTTCATGTCTTTATCCAATCGGTCCCAATCTACTGTTATATAGCCAGCCTTGCTGCCAAACTGGAATACAACATTTTCAACTAAAAAACTTTTGGAAATAAGGAAAGATGCTTAGCATTATAGCAGGGGAAAGTTAAACTATTTTGTTGCAAGGGTGTTCTTTTATATTGAAACTGATATATTCTGGAAAGAAATCATCTTTGAAAGACTCCACTATGGTCAAAAATATTTTTTAAAAACCAGAAGAATAGTTGCCTAATTTCAACCTTTGAAAAATGACATGTTGGAAATGCTCTAGAAATACATTTCAATTTCAAGGTCAATCTGGAAAAATTCCAAACACATTGCTGTGTCAGCTTACTGAGGCCTGCCCAATGATTAAAAAACTAACAGTCAGGCACAACATCATGCTTGTAAGAACAATTAAATTTTGTGATTATCTCTTGGTGGCAAGATTTTGCCTTTTTTATTCAATAGCCGCCTAATAGGATATGTTATAAAACTGAACAGGCAATATAAGATTGAAAATGATTTTAAGGTCTTACATGAATTAAGAGTAGGCTTCCTCCAAGTGCTGCAGCCATGGCTTTACCAACACGGCTAAATGCAAAGCCGGAGACCCTTTAAAGTGAAGGACATTTACTCAGCATAAAATTTATTCAGCATGTATTTTTGACTGTTGGATATACCTTGTGAGAAAAGAGGCATAACCTATGAACCAAGGTTTTGAGGTGATGTTTATATGTGGCTAAGCTTGTTTTTTTGACTGAGCTGGGTGATTTTACCGTAAAGTATCTATCACAGAATTCTCTTGGGTCAAGCAAGCAAGCAAGTCAGTCTGCTCTCTTAGAAGCCCTGTCTACCTAGCATTTGGTTCAACTTGGCACAATTAGGTTAATAAGTAGGAAGAAAATTTGTCATATGAACACACACAAGAAGGCTTGTTGTAAATGAGGTGATTTTAGTTCAAGTTTGAATGCATATGAATGGATCCAGGTCAGAGCAAAAAACATGTACATGTATGCATTATCTGTGAGATAAAAACAATTATTATTTAAAGCACCCTGAATATACAGTGCCCACATCCAGTGGCATGGTGGCCGTTGGGGCCAGGGGGACATGCCCTCCAGCAACCAGAGGAATCAGGAAGCATCAAAGCTAATCCAAGTGTTTGTAAGGGGTGCCAAAAGCCCGTTGATACAAATATGAATGTAAAAGTCTCAACTGTCCTTTTTGGCATAGTGATAGGGAAGACTTACAAATATTGCTTAGGATCTTCCTCCAGTCTAAATCAATGTTGAAATATTCCAGATGCAGTCTTCCAATGTCCCCAGAATGTTTTACTTTTCTGGTTGGCCAACAATAATGGCAGTCTTTGTAAAACCCCTGAAAAATCTTATGATTTTGGTCCCAAACTTTTAATGTGGTTTGCAGGTCCCTGATAGAGTTGAACCAATAGTGTAGTTCTCTAAGGCCCCAAAATCAATTGGTGCCCCCAAGCCAATTTTGATCCACCACACCACTGCCCACACCACTTATTTTGGAATAGCTTTTCACCGTATATGTTTTACTTCATTTATTGTTGTTTATTCTTCCTTTTTCTTCAAAATATTTCACAGTAGTCTAGCCACCCAAGTTCAAAGTTTGGTTAAAGTCATTAGACTATTCATATTTAAACAAATGTTTATTCTGTTAAGTCCACAACTTGCACAATGCTCTGTACAGTTGGGCTCTTTGAGTGGTCAATTTTGACACTCCTTGAATACTTAAAAATGGCACCATGTAATTAAACAAACACAATGGTCAGGGTTTTTTTTACATATTTGAGATGATCTGAACTTAATTTTCAATGTATAATTATTTCTTCACAATTATCCACAATTGGTAAAAATTTCGACTATAATCTAAAAAGTCTAAGATCATTGCTACACACTGATCTTATCAATAAATGTTCAAGGTTTAATGTTAGATTTTACAAAAGGCAACCCTTTCTATTTTTAACATGTCTTGAATAAAATATAAGGTAACAGGTTTCTAAAAACGCTTAGCTGCATCAGAGAAGACTTAAATATCTGTGTAAAGGAAAGATGGGTGATCTAAAAAAACAAGTAGCCATTGAGGCATTATTGAGAGATTATCCTATCTTTTGTTAGCACAAACAGATGCATAATCTGATTTTTTTTCTTGATTTACTTCCAAGGAGACATTGGATTTTGCGTGCTGTGCCATTCACTAGATCTATATTTAGAGTTTTTGCTTCTTAAATGAACACTTCTATCCTTTAACTAGTAGAAAAAAATAAGCATTACTGTTTCATTTTGCTGGGTGCATAATATATTATGCATCATGCTAATGAAGCACAAAAATATTTGATTGTAGAGCCACTGTCAATTACAGCAGCAATCAAGCAATTGACATTTGAACACCAACCCTTAAATGTTGTAATCTTTGAACAATGTGTAGTGTGCATGCTATCATGAATTCTAGCCTGAAAACACCCAGGCTTGTGGTGGCATGTGAGATCTTTTTTGGAAAATTTGACGGTAACTACACCAGAAATTGCAAACACAACAATGCTGACCACAATAATTTTAATGAAATTCTCTTCCCTTAATTTATAGCATTGCTTATTTTAACAAAAAACGTGCTATATCTGGAGACCTGACTACCCAAGTATAAACTGACATTCAGCAAAATAATGGCATTTCAAGTACAGAAAAATGTTTGTTGTGTCAAAAGCAATTTTTCATAAGCTTCAATAATGAATCCTTAGCAGAGCTGTTGATGCTTTGGCATTTGTCTGGTTGTAATGGCCCTTTTTGCCTGTAAATCCTATGCCTGAGAGCCCTTTAGTTATCAAGCATGGTGGCTAGTTTATGTACCCTACTGGTCAGATGTTGATAATCCATAAAGACAATGCATAAAAGATAATGATTGACCATTATTAAATGTCACCATAATCTAGATTTAAAGCATATCCAAGTCTAAAGAGGGGGCTGTGGAAGGGGGGAGGGGCGTAGCGAAATCTGCAAATCTTCAAATCTGCTATTTTTTATTGCATAATTGGCAAATCCGCCACTTTCATTAAATTAGTGATCAAAAATGAAAATATTGTTCACAACACTTAATGTTCCTCGTAAATTTTGGAGAGAAAGATGTCTGTTAGAGTCTTTGTGCTTGGGTTTGTTCACTGAAATGCCATAAAGCCTTAAAAAGTTGTGAACCTGTGCACAAATCTCTTATATCTATTTTTACAGCATAAAAAGTGCATGTTTGCCAATGTATGTTTTATTGCTGACAATAATTATTTCTATCAGGGATAAGTAGACCAAAATAACTGATTACCACAAAATACTTTTCTTTTGATATATACAAAAAAATTGATTAAACGGTTTTTTCATTCTTTTTGCCAAAGCATCCTTAAAACACATTTTTGAGAAACTTGTTGGCTTAAAAAACTAGATCATTTACTGGTTTGCCTTCTGAAGGTAGTCTTTTGATATTTTCTTCAGAGCAAATGAAATGATTCACATATGAACAAACATAAAATCAAGAGCATTGAACCATCCTTGCTTGAACACTTTGGCTTCTCTACATCATCTCTTTCAAAATATTCATAGTTTGTTCATCTTTTTACATCATAAATTACATATTACAGTAACAGCTTTGTATACTTCTCTTCTGCAAACATTTCACAAAGTTTATAAAGGCCGGGTTACACGATCACCTTTTACCATCACTTTTTTCATATTGGACCAACATGCTGAAAAGTGATCGCGTAACATACTAAAATTGTCCATTTCCGCTGCAGAATTTAATGCGCTTATCTGCTGTTAATCCTCTATCATTGGAAATTTTGCTCTGAACAAAAGCAGAGTAAAATCAAGTTCATCACTTTTTTCAAAGGCGCCGACAAATTCTTACGTCACATAATGTTTTGATGAGAAGGGAACGGCCTAGAATATTGAGAAAAGAAGAAAAGGACGTGAATTGTGCTCAGAAACATAATTATTAGCGAAAACGAATATGAATAATGATTTGGAGTAAATCAAAGAGCAGCACATTACAGAAAAATAAATGCAGTTGAATAAAATAAATACACTCATCCTCGAAAGAAACCATCCTCGAAAGTGAGTACCCCAGTTCCTTAAGGTTCACAAAATTTAAGAACTCAAGAGTTTTTAGAATATTTCTATGTTATTCTCAAAAAACAAGAACCTTGATACATTAAATTTGGTTTCCTAATCACTGTGTAGTCTTATTATTTTTTTAGTTTGTAGTGAAAGTAAGTTAAGTTTAGTGAAAATTAGTAATAGAAAATCAAGAAATTCTTGATTTTTGTTTATTCTCAATCTAAATCAGTTTTGGAGTTTCTTGCTTGAGTATTGGAGTTTCTTAACCTTTTCTCATTTTCATGTACTGGCTTCTTATAGACGGTTTCTTATAAAAAAAGAGTTTATTTTATTAAACTGCATTTTTTTTTCTATAATGTGCTGCGCTTTAATTTACTCCAAATCATTATTCATATTCGTTTTCTGCTAATAATTATGTTTCTGAGCACAATTCACATCTTTTTCTCCTTTTCTCAATATTCCAGGCCGTTACCTTCTCATCAAAACATTATGTGATGTAAGAATTTGTTGGCACCTTTGAAAAAAAGTGATGAACTCGATTTTACTCTGCTTTCGTTCAGAGTAATATTTCAAATGATAGAGGATTAACAACTGACAAGCGCATTAAATTCTGCAGCGAAAATGGACAATTTTAGTATGTTACACGATCACTTTTCAGCATGTTGGTCCAATATCGAAAAAAGTGATGGTAAAAAGTGATCGTGTAACCCAGCCTTAAGAGTTGTCTGAAATTTTTACATTTGATAAAATAACAGAATAAAGGTTATCAAAACTTTCAATAGCAATGCCCAATTATTCAAAATTTTCAGAACATGTGCTGTACTAAAAAAGCCTTGAAGTAGTTTCCCAAGAATAGCTTTAAAGTGCCTACCAGCCAGAAGCTCCACCAACCAGTGCTTGAGTGTATGTTGGTTGTCTTGATAAATCAAGAGTTAGAACTTGTTGCATCAGACTTTTTGAAGGTCGAGAAATTTCAATTAATTCATCATATTCTTCCTCATCTAGAGACAAAAAAATTCTCATAAATTTCACTCTATTAAATTAAAGATGTGATATATATTTATGAAGTTGCATTGAAACAGTTGAAAAAATCTCTATTGCTTAGCGAATAAAAACAAAAGATGCAAAAACAATCATAGGCAGACAGGCCAATAGGTGAATATTGTTAGCCACGGGAAAATAGGTGAAATCTCTGTCAATAATTTATCCAGCCCCAGAATCTTTTATAGAATACTTGTTTTGAGGCACTTCGTTTATCTTTTTATGCCTATAAAAAGCCAACTGCAAAAAGCAATTAGAATCATTGTTTGATTTCAAATAAACATTTAAATGAAAAAATAACATGATAACACACCTTCTTCGTCGCTTTCGCTGGTAGGCACAGAAACAGGTCTCTCCTCGAATTCTGTCATAGTACGAATTTTCTTTGAGTATGAAATATATTGGTTATTTAACCATTAGAAACACAAACATTCGGATCACTCACTCACCATTTTCAGCTTACCATCATTCTGTGCAACAACCACTGTCACCAGTCTCGTATGCAATTTTGAACTCGAGGATAACGTTGCGTCATTGTTTGTTTTTTGGTTGGTGTGCATGGCTGCTGGGGACAGTGGCGTGACGTAGAGTCACGTCGCCCCTTATGGAACGATTTCAGTAAAAATTGTTACCTCAGCTTTTTGGAACTTCCTAATAAAATAAAAGTACTACAAGCACATTCTTTGCTATATAATCTACATGCTTGTGTAAAGACAGGCCATTAGGCCATCCCCAAAACCCTTCGTAAACAGCGCTGCTGAAAACACTAGACCCACTCATCCTCTTTTAATTACTCGCTATAGATTGCCTTAGAACTTTACTTCTGAAACATAATCATCGAAATAAAATATTTTCGGAAATTCTATAATTCAAGGAATCTGTGAAAGATACCTTTCTCAAAACTTTAGGTAGAACATAAATTTGTGACACCATCTTAACTTAATTTAAACATCGATAAGTCCTCTTTCATGTTTGTCTATAATTTAGATAACCATTGGAAAGTTGCAGTAGGCTCAGCAGCAGATTACATATAGGGCTTAGGCCCCCGGCCCAGAACTTGACTGGCCTTAAATTTTGAGGCTAATTTTTTTGGATATTTCCAGCCAAAGAGTACTTGATAGGGACTCATTGCAATCACGTCGTATTGAGTGTACAGATCCTCCAACCTAGGATTATTTACAACCGGTAGTTTTTAAAATAAATTCCCATGAAATATTCGATTTTGGTCCATTCGCAAAAATTAATATCCACGAAATTTGCGAGAAACTTCAAATGGAATAAGTTAAGTTAAGAATTGTATTGGAGTTGTAAGTAAAAATTAAGCCCCTTGGAAATGTGGGAGGAGATATTCTCAAAAAAGGAAGTAAAACTTTATCCTTATCATCTATGATATATTAGATATAAAATTATCTATTTTATCTTCCTATTTTGAATAAAGTATTCTAAGGAAAGCCTTTTTTCAATGCGAATAAACTTTTTAAAAAATGTGAAAACGTCAGCTATAAAAAGATTGAGATGACAAAAACATTTATGTGCATTAGTTTGAGCGCTCAAATGCTCGTTGTACATTTTTGGAAAGCAATTCAAAATAACATTCTATGTTATAGTAAGAAGAAAATCATGATTTTGTCGCTAATGAAATGGTTGGTTGTATTTTCCTACTGTGGCCTGGTCACTTCTAATGACCAGAAAAACACCCGTGAGGGCGTTAATTGATATATTTTGTTGGTCATGGTTGATCTTTGTTACTATGCCCTTACATGTAGCTTGGTTACTTATGTACTAACTATAAAAGACATATAAAATTGAACATGAGAATTTGATCGAAGTAATCCGTCATGATCTAAATTGCACCACGAGTAACAGCTTAGGAAATAAATCGAATAAAAGTCCAGAATAACATGGTGTCAACTTAAAGTGATGAAGTTTTGTTTTTCTCCCTTGGCCTAAATTTGGCACGAAAGGTCTATTGTTAACGGAAAATTTCCCAAAAACGCTGCCCAAAAAGAGAAATCAGTTGTTGGAAGAAAAGAAACTGCCGGAAAATTTTTTGAGGATATGAGAAATAATGAATGGGCAGATTTGTTTTTTTAAAAGTATCAATAAGAAAGCTTAAAAGTTTTCTTGCATCGATAATCCATTCCTACTAAAAAGAAAAAAAATTAGACGTAATTATAAAATCTATTAAAACTCATTTTGACCAGCACAATTTGAAGTTTTTCATACCAAGAGCCTTTTTTGTCAAAAGCACTCTATTACCCGAAAAAGTTAAGATAAGATTTCACAGAACAATATCCCAGCTGTACCACGTTATTAATCTTATATTTTTAGTGTTGATCTTTAATGTTAATGTTTATATTAAACCGTTTTTCATTTATGTTTATCCCCATCTTAAGTTTGGTTATTTTAAAATCTAAGAAAGCTTCATTACGAGCTACACCAAAAAGGTTGTTGTCAACTATGTCATCTATGTCAACATTACAATAGACGAAACTATGAGACAAATCAATAAAAGAAAGTTTGAAAATATTGCCTATGATTTTCCTCCAGCCAAGATTCATTTTAGATGTCGTTTGTTTGTTGGAGTTCCGCTTCTTCACAATTAGGTGTCGCTGCTTCTCAGGTCTTCAAAATTATTGCTCTTGTTAACTTCATCCAACCCTTCCTATCTTGGGCCAGTGTTCTCAGTTCTTCCAGATCTTCTATGGTGTTTAGCTTTAACCGGTGACAGTAGTAATGGGGTCTTTATTGTAATAGGAATTCATATCTTCATTGTAGATGCAGTGTTAGATTTCGCTTCTTTTGTTTTTATTGCTTTTATACCCCTGTGGGCGCTGGAAAGGAAGGGTCGTAACACGCAACTGGAAGATGTTGGGAAGATGATTGACCCATAACGATACTCGTGTAAATTTCGCTTCGCTCGTGGAATATTGTCGTTTCTGTAAATTCACTGCACTGAGGATTCAATTCGAATGTAAATAAACTCGCTGATTTTTCTTCGCTTTTATCTTCGTATTTATTTTACAAAACTAGAACCAGGATCCAAACTGGAGTTTCGTTTTTATCGAAGCTTTAGTCCAGCACAGAATCATTCATTGATTCCCAACATGCAGTTTCTTGCCATCCTAAGAAACCATATCCCTGAATTTTATTAACCCTTACATTTTATTTACCATTGCTTTTTATTAACCCTTACAAAACTTTGATCTTTTGGCCCCTTTACTTTCAAATATGTTTCTTTCTTCACCAGAAGTACCTTTAATTAGAGAAGTTTCAAGGATTTACACTATTTAAAATACTAAGCCATAGTTCCCACGCAAGTCTTACGAAATTCTTATAGATTAAAGGAAATTTTATAAATTGAAAACATTGTTATGACAAGCTCAAAAGAAGCTGTAGTCCATTTTTGCGGATAAACCTGTAATTGTCTTTTTGCGAAAAGGTGCTCATGGATTCACCCAAAAACGTGAAATCTGCAAAAAAAGGTTTCCGCAGACTTAATTTCCTTATATTTTCACATTATTTGCTCTTACGTTGTTATCATCAAGTGTGTATATGATAATCTGTTCCATTGTTAATGATTTTTTATGGAGAAATAGTTGGTTAAAAATGTATAATTGGTCACTTTTTTCTAAACGCCCCCCAAGCTAAAGTATCTAGGCACATCACTGCTTACAGGTAAAGCTAAATTTTGGAAACAATGTTATTCACGGCTTGACTGTCCAAACAGTACGAAATTTGCGCATTTCTGGCAAATGAAGATAAAGGTATCACAAAGCTATATAGTAACGCAAACTGAAGCATCTTTGAAAGTAGAGATAAAGCGTAAGAGCGAGGCTGGAAGGTGCTGGGACTCTAAGGAGGAGCTTCACCTTGTTTACTTGCTATCTCCATGGCGGATAACTCTCCGCTTGATTTTTGTGAAGAAGAAGATGCATGCTTGCCTTCTAGAAAAGATTAATACAGAACGGGAACAGCAGCACTTGAAAGTATTATGCTAGATGATAATTTGGTTGGGTTTTTTAGATTTCGATAGCTGTTATTGCAAGGCCTACTGCAGAAGTCGAAGGGACGGTTTTCAAAACTATCTGAATTATTATAATTCATCTGAAAAACAACACAAAATACACGGTTAAAAAGGGTTCAAAAATGAGCGATCAATTGAAGTTTATTGTAGACAACCTGAACAGCCCTCCCTTCAATCGCAATTACAACCTGATCAGGTGAGTTATTTTGCAATTTTTTATGATAGACGCCAACTCCAAGTATGTTTTTCAGAATCATATTTATTGCAATATACGATTAGGTCATTTCATTTATGTTCATCAATTACTAAATTTATTAAGTGCAAAAATCGAGAAAAAAACAAGTAATTGTTAGTGAATCAGTAGATTATGGACACATAGAATGAAAAAGCATTTGATACAGTCCAACACACCAGCTAGCTTATTTAAGCAAACTTATTCTTATATGGAACCAGGCTGGAAAATTGCTGGAGTGGTTAAGTCATTTCTGACCTCAAAGAGTAAAAGAGTAGTGGTAAATGGTGAGGTTGGCAAATGTCAATGACCTCCAGACTGCAGATTATGAAAGTTCTTGATGAGATTCATATGTGCATAGTCATTTCAGCCTGGTTTTTCATATATGCAAACAGGCCTCTACCAGCTACAAGTCCCCAAGCAGAAGTTTATATTTTCAGTGTGCAATTTAGATTTTTGATGCACAGCATTATAATGACCCTGCATACATATATGCCAAAATGCGCAAATGGAGAGAGCCTAACAGGCCTCCAATCAAAATGAAACTCAATTTTTTTTATCAAACATTCCATACAATTGCTTACATTCATTTATCTTCTTTAGCTAATGTAATCTTATAAATGATAATATATGATAAAAATCTGTTACACATTTTTTATGCACCTATCCTTTGCATTTTATGATCAGAAATGAAATTTTTCATTTTTTAGCTTTGATTCACTGCCTGATGTACAATTACTACAAGTCCTCAATGATGTCTTTACAGAAATCAACCCACAGGTAAGGCTACCAGATAACACCATTATGAAAACTTTAACTAATTTTATCTGCAGTTTGTTTTAAATCTGAAGCCAATTATGGGGTAAATTTCCCATGCATGGCTGGATCTGAAGCCACTGGTTGAAGAAAGGATTCTTATTCATTTTCCTTGTCTTTTGTAGCAAGCATCAGATATTCGGCAAGAAGATCCTGAGCAAAGAGTTGTCAGAATGTTCAGTTTTCTTCGAATGCTTAAATACAAACCACCTTCAGAGGGTGGAAGCTTGTGAGTTTTTTATTTTTTTGAGAATTTTGCTTATATGAGCTTTTTAAGAATGGGTTGCTTGGTTTTGCTCAACAATTGCTGTTGCTAATAAATCTACAATTTGATCAAACTACCATGTAACATTCATTATCAGCAAATTAATTTTAAGTTTGATTTTCATAATTAAACTTTGATGTCTGCTTAAAATTGTTTAGGTATTAAGTAAACTAAATTGTTACTGTCAGGCTAAAATATATTTGGTTGAAGGTACTATTTTGGATATTTTAAGATTTTTACAGACTTTTGTTTGCTTTGAAAAAATTTAAAGTCAAAATTTATTTTCTTTATTTAAACATTAAATATAATTGAAAATAGATTTTAGAAATACTTGTGATAAAGTGCTAAATGCTGCTGCTCTTTTTCAGAACCAAATTCCGCCAAGGTTTGGTCCAAGGTGATAAACATATCATTTATCCAGTCCTTCAATATTTACTTGAAAAATTACCAGATCTAAAGAAGAGGGCTTATGTTGCAAGATACTTGGTCAAGCTGGAGGTTCCTGGAGATATATTGGTTGATGCAGAAGTCAATGACGCCCATGTGATGGTATGTTCTTTTAATTCTTTTGACATTAAGATTATCTCTATATCAATTTAGTTTTGGTTTATGAATCTGGTTCTGAACAAGCTCTGGTGCCTTTACAACTAACAAAATGTTATCGTGATCTAAAATGTTAGTGTGAAAATGATATTCTGATATGTGAAAACTGTAAGCTTTTGACTGCATTCAATGCTGAAAGTGTTCTCAATAGCTCTTGTGACAGATTCAAAGTTTGGCTTGTTTGTGTAATCACAGATAATCTCAAATGAAAGCATTTTCTATTGTGCAACATTGATTGAACCAACAATATATTGCCATTTTCTCTTTAATTCTCTTTTAAGTATAAAGTTTGCCACTTTTGCTGTTTCCAGGGGATAAAAAAAAGTTTGCTAGTAATGGATTTGAAAAAAGCAATCATTTTGAAAGTAGCTTAAGCTTTTCGTTTGACACTTTTCAGGATATGAATCGTCAGAACAAAAATTCAAATCTTTATTGTTTGTTATAGTTTATTTTTTGTAACGACCCCAGTCTTGACTTCATTTCAAAAACGCCTCATAAAATGTCAAGAATGAATTTTTGTTCCATCTTTTATAGTTTATCAATACAAGTATCCAGGGCCATTCCCATGGGGGGTGTGTGTGGAGGGGTGTAACACCCTTCCCCCCAAGAATAGGCATTTGTGTTTTAGTCGGTAAAATTGAGATTTTAGTTGGTAAAATTGGGATTTTGACCGGTAGATAACCTTTTTTGTAGAAAATTGTCCTTCGTGTAATTTTTAAAAACATTCAAAGATATTAAAAAGTTCTGCAGTTCAGTTTTTCCGTTGATCCAGAAGAGAATTTTCAGGAACATCACAGAAGACAATTTGACAAAGACAGAGAAAATTTTAGCCTGGTAGATGTATTTTTAGCCATTCTAGAAGGCTTGATTTCAAAAAATGTTTGTGGCCCTGTCTCTGAAACTGCGAAGCACAATGCTCCAGGTTGTCTACATCCTTTGCGCTAATTACGTGAGAGAAACACTTTTCACAGCATTTATATGTTATCAAGAAGTGGGTCCAGTTGAAGAACAGAAGAGTTCGATTCAGTGTTTCTAAAGGTTGAATAAGCTATGTGACCATAAAAGCTTATTTTAGAACTTTCATAAAACCAATAATTTTACAGCTGAAGTTGCTTTGTAATAGCTGAAATTTAAGTATTAACAAATGCTAAAATATTCTGATTGCATTAACAAAGTGTAATGCTGCCAAAATGTACTCAGTAGATAAACACTTGCCCCCCCCCAAACAATTTCTTGAAACCGGGCCTGCAAGTATCTTATTCAAGTATTTGCTTGGGAGATCTTGCTCCTACCTCTGGTGCTTTGATTTGTGTAACCAAACATAAATTCCATTTGTTTCCCAGTATTTAGACTTAATGGAGAAATTCAAGGAAACACATAAAGAGTCAGAGGATATCAAACAGTCTGGATTATCCGCAAGTGAGATAAAGAAGGTATGGTAATAGTTAACACATGCCTAGCCAGAGTCAAAACATTTAATTTAATTTAATGGACTTTTCGTTGTAATGAATTTGCCTAAATTGGAATTGTCTTAATGGATCTGTCTAATTTGGAATTGTCTAGACGATGTAACAAGAAGTTGACAAATACATCATGTCTTTTTCCTTTGTCGTTGTACTGGTTATTAATAACACATGCCTGTCTTTTACAACTGAGCAAGTGACAAATAAACATGGGTGATTTCTATATTTTAGTTGCCAGTACATTGTTTATTTTCAAATAAAAAATCTTTTCAAGTAAAACGAATTTCCCACTAAGGTAATTGAGCAATTTTTCACTTAACATTGATCAAATAATTTGTCTGCTTTTTCTGGAGCCAAAAGGTTGGACTTGTTTTTGGCTGCAGATTAAAATTTGTATTTCACAAAAATGAATACCTGAGTTGAGTGGTAAATAATGAAGGAGTTATACACTAATGCTGATAAGCCTCAAAAGCATATTTGTTAAGAAAATTATTAAATTTCAACCATTCTAGCCTATTTTGAACAAATCATTGCTATCCATCAATAATGGTGTTGATCAGATGCCCTAATGTTCCCACTTATACAGTTATTCCTAAAGCCCCTCTAACACGGTTTTTTAAAGCAAAGCCATACCTTAACTGCGCATGTCAAAGCAGCTATTGATTCGACAAATTCTGAAGCAAAAACTTTTCGTTAATCGAATTCCACCATGCCTGTTCGTGTAAATGCCTCCTAAGCATGTTTCTGAGGCGAAAATTCCCAGCTGTCAAAAGGGCGGACTGTCACATCTAATATGGATTGTCAGCATTAGTCTTATTAGCATAAGTCTGAAATTTCGATTTGAAATTTTGTTTCGGATTTCCAATTAATGGTTACCCTATATCAACATTCCCTGTGAAGTCTAAAGTTCCTTTTGTTGCTGTAGGATATTCTAGCAATGGAGGAAGAAAGAGAGCAGTTGTTAAAGAGAATAGAAAGAGTCAAACGAAGAGTGAGTTGCTGCCATTCAAGATTTTTCATTTTTACATGGACATCATTTGCGAAATGCTTGAACTAATTCCTCTAAACATTTGTTAAATTAAGTAACACGTTCAAAGTTTGCTGAATTAAACGACCCCCGTCACGTGTGACTTTATTATTGTTTAGGTTGACAGCATACCGAGCAAAGATGGCTTGCTGCAGTCAGCTGCCCTTCTTAGAAAAGAAAGAGAAAGAGAAAAGATTTTGGATGATCAGAAAGCTGCTCAAAGAAATCAGGTTTTTGCTTACATTTTGTCGTACAAAGCTGTAAAGAAGGATTTGAACGAATCGAATTGAGTAATCTGAATCGAATATGATAGATAGTTTTTGTTGAAAGATGCGCGTCATGTATCGCCCTCTCCGGCTAGGCTAGATCGCGCACTAACATGAGATGGAATCTTCCATAGACTACGGTTCTTCGTTGCGTTGTTTAGTTCATCTAAGCTTGGTTGTGACCATAGGTTTATGATACATTCAGTTTGGGTATTTGGTATTGTATGGCAAACAGAGGACGGGAAACAGGGTAAACCTATATTGCTAAGTGCTTTGATGCAATTGATTGGTATGGTTTCCATAGTGAAACAAGGTCATTTCTCAATTTCTTAGCAGCCTCTCTCGTTTCTCATAGTTGAACCACGCCCAGCAGAAGCTTCAGCGTTTGACCATGCAGCTACAAGACATTCGAACGGCTGGCATGGGCATCACAGCTGAAGGTATTATAGAGCTTTTGAGAATCAGGAGTCATTTTTGAAATTTTTTTCAAGGGCTTTTCATTTTGAAATTTTGACACATGACGTTATTACTTGTCGCATTATTTAAAAGCTGGATAAATCGTACATCTTGTTGAACGTGCGTTTTCTTGTTATTTGAAATTTCCCCTTAGCTGGCCCGATGATAAATAGCAGCCCATTAAATAGGTCAATGTCCTTAATAATGTTCCATTATGTTATGTAGGTTGATGTCCTTAATCCTGTCCCAACTATAACTGTAGCTATAAAATTTTTAGATTTTGTCTTGATGTCATGAAAAGGCGAAAATGTAACACATATTAGATTTTGTCTCTCAGCAATATTTAGCTAGGAAAAGTGTATTATGTGACCTTTTTGGCGCCAAGCTCTGTTAATCATATTGTCAATCTAAATAAGTCTCTAATACTTTAAAAATAAAGCACGAACAAGTTGAAATATTGAGCATCCTTTATTACCGACGTTCCATTGATCTTCATGTTTAACTTCAATTTTTCAAACTTCCTGCAAACAAATTTTTCAAAATATATTGTATATCTTTAAAACTGACATTTAAGCGTTTAATGTCTGATTTTTGAAGGACTCGTGAAGAAAGTAGAAGAAGAAAACCAAGTCAACTCTTATATGTGCCATGACAAAATTCCTAAGGTACTGAAATGTTATGGATTCCATGTGTTTGGAGATAGTTCAATTGAATGCAGCTTCATATCTAAGAAAGCCGCTTGTCACATGTTATTTTGCTATTTACCAAAAACTCTTATCTTGTCAGCATTTCCAAGAAGATATTATGATGAGCTGCTTAAGTGCTAGAAATATCCCTTTTGTTTAGGGAAAGGAATCTGTTTTCTTATCTTAATTAAAGAGTAATATTTTCTTTAGGTTGAAACCGAAGCTTTGTTTAACTTCTGTCTGAACCCATCCTTGATCTTTTGACTTCTCTACATGAAGTTTTTCGGCGATAAACAATGAATTTTGATTGTAATTACATTACTGAACTGTCTAAAATTTTATTCCATGTTATGACTATTGTCATCTGTGAATCCCTACTTTACATCTTAGTCTATTTTAATCTTAGGAAATCGAAGCAAAGAAGAAATACATTGAAAATTTACAAAAAGTTGCCAATTCTCACGCAATGACTACATCTGACCTAGATTCACTTACTTCTAAGGTTTGTCTCCTTTGACGATGCAGCATTTCTACAAAAAGTGTTTTTGCACTGTGAAAGTACAGCGCCAAGTAACATGATCAGATTAGTTTAAGTACAACTCTTAGTTTCTTATATTACGTTGGTTAAACTCACCGCCTATAGATCACATCTATGAAATTTTGTTGATTTTCTTCTCATGGGACTTGGAACTAGCACCTCTAGAGATCACTTTTGTTTACCTTTTCTCGTCTTTCTTCTCATAGTACTTTGAACTAACACCCCTAGAGACTACTTTTTTGACCTTTTGTTGACTTTCCTCTCGTGAAACTTTCAACTAACACCGTTAGAAGTCACTTTTGCAGTTTTGCTGACCTTTTCTTGACTTGCTCCTCATGGTACTTCAAACTAGCACCCCTAGAGAGTACCTCTCTAACCTTTTGTTGGCCTGTCAACTGTAATTATTTAAACGTATACCCAAGATCTCCTTGCTAAACATCGTTTTGATAAGACGCTTTGCTTGAAAAATATTAGAAGTTTGGTAATTTGAAATTTAATCAAGCAATAATCAGGTCCATTAGACATCTTTCATTTTCTTTGTATTGTTCTTTATTTATATTGTTTTTTTCACCATGATGAAAATTATCAAGAGAAGAAACTTTCACTGAAAATGTAATATTAGCAATTCACATGAACTAAGATTAGCAATTTGTGGCATGCAAAAGGGTTGCCAAGGACTCCAAATAGCATTGTTTGAAGAAACATTAATGATAACCAAAGTAATTATTCTTATATAGTTTTTAAGGATACATTCTAGCAATTCATTTTAAATTTTTTGTAAGCCTGGGTAATATTTGCCTAATTGTCTCTCTCGATTTTACCTTTACTAGAAATTGTTATATTTTTCGTATTTCCAAAGACAAGCCTGCTTCTTTCTCTTCCACATCTGCAATTAAATTATGATTTCCTGATAGATAAAAGATTTATCGGCTGAAATAAACAGTTTAGTTGAGAAGCGAATGGTTCAAGGCGACCCAATTGATGATAAACTCTCTGTGTTCAGACAACAGGTTTGTTTTAAAATATATTTTGTTTTAAAATATATCCAAATTTTCTGTATTTTTGATTTTTTTAGTTTATGTAGTGCTTGGAATTTTCTTACAGTAGCCTCATCGTAATGCCCAAACGTTCTATATTAAAAGCATGTAAAATTTGAATTTTTCAGTCTTGTAGAAAAGTTGTTTTTTACATCATGAGAATTAAAATTAAAGTATCTAGAATAAAAAGCACAATCAGAGCAGAATTATAGACGGTTAGAAATATTCAACATTTCTAGGCTTTATTGTAAAAATATTTTCATATAAAAGACGATTTTAAGTAATTTTTTTTAATAATCAATATGAAGCCACTTTTCGTGTTATCAAAATACACCATATAATAAGTTTAATATGATCAGTTTGTATTGAGAGTTCGGGTGGAGGTTTGAATGGAATTTCTTTGAAAATTACTTAAAGTCAAAACTACTTTTAAGCAAACATATAAAAACTATTTCCAAGTAAGCATGTAAAAAGTGTCTTCAAAAGTTTTCAAATCTACAGAATGTTGTTTGAGCACCCTCTTTTAGCCCTTTTAACCAATTTTAGCCTCTTGTATGTTTTGAATTTTTTTGCAATCTAGGCAGCGGTGATATCAAATAAGAAGAGCTCGGCAGCTGAGAAAATGCAAGAAGCTACAGATGAGGTATTCAGCTCTTTCTGTCGTGGGGTTGACATTCTTAGCTGATTATTTATAAACAGTCGATCGAGCCAAAAGTAGCGACCTTAAGAAGTGTGACTCGATTTGTGGGTACTGTGGGCTTTTTATCTGGCTGGTAATGAAATAGTTATAGGGACAATATCTTATATGATAGTGATAAGCGACGAGTATCGTGTCAGTGCGTCACCGATTGAGATACTTGAAATTGATTTTATGCAGAACAGCAGTGTATGATGTATTGATGATGATATTAAGAACGAAAGAAAATAATGCCATTTTCTTACTTTTTAATGTGAAAATAAACGTCAGAGTATTTTGCTGGTGTACTCATACAAATAATATGATTGTACAATAAATAAGAGCTACATTTGGTAAAATTAGAAAGGAAAAGTACATCTTATGAATGTTCTTGGATTTCACCATGCCATCTTAACATTTAAATCATAGGCCAAATGAAAGGCAGATTAATGTTGCTTTTTGAGTGTTTTTTTTATTCAGTCTAATTTTTATTTATCTTCTTTCGACCATCATACTAAGTTATGATATTATAAAGTCGAACTTGTTTGTGACCTGCTTGTTCTAAACATTTTTTAAATTTAAATATATATCGGAAGTTTTTCACAATATAATTTTAGCATGTAATAGCATGGCTGTTCCAACAATTGCATACTATTCGTGTGTTGCCAGTTTTGACTATTTTCAAGTGCCTTAAACTGTCGTTATTCTGCAGAAATTGGGAATTCTCCAATTGAATATTCCCTTAATAAGTATACCCTAAGGTACCTTATGCTTTTACACTTCATTTTATTGTTGTTTCAACTTGATTTTTAAATAAAAAGCAAGTAAATTGCGTCATACCAGCTCATTTTTTTATTTTTCTTGCTTTTAAGCTTCATAACGCGGAGGAGGAGTTGAAAGAGAAAAAACAGCAATTAAAAGAAACTGACGGTGTAGAAATCCTGAAAGGAGATGATGTAATTGGCATTTTTGCTTGAGTTGTAAAATTATCTTGTTTCACCCATTGCAATTCAATTAAATTCTTTTCCTCACCGATGTTTTGTAGTTTTGCTGGTGCTAATTATTAGTGCATCTGCTATGTTTTAAAACAATGTTTATGTGAATATATCATCATCTTGTTTAAATTGTAAAAGCTCTTCATTTTTATCCACTTGCTCTTCTTAATCATAAAGTGCTGATGTTTGAGTATTTTCCTCTTATTTTTGATTCATGAAATGTTTGTTTGATAAACTGTCTGGTTAACACCTGTCTGGAAAGCCAAGCCCATTTCATCAACATAAAAATCAGGAATTTTACATATAAGAATTAATGCAGATGAGCCAAAACATTCATTTGAAATTTGAATGTGACCTCATGTAACAAGGCGTTCGTGTGTTTCTGTTGCTAAATATGCGAATTTTAATATTGAATATGCTGAATTTTTTCTATTTGCTGATAGTTCAGCAAAATATTTTCTGAATTGAGATACCAATGTAAACTTTTTCCCTGCACTTTGCTGTTCCTGCAGGCATGTCCTGCTTTGTCCAGTTAGCTAAAACTTAGAATATATTTCAATCTTATCTAAATCTTTCAATCCTAACTACATCTTATAAGGTTTGCAAAGACCACTTTAACGGTGAACTGTGAAAGTATTTTGTGTTCTAGTTTAAAAGATATGTGAACAAGCTTCGAGGAAAAAGCACTGCTTATAAGAAGAAGAGACAAGAGGTACTAAACTTGTTTGTGAATCACAACATAGTTAAAAGAGTATTCAACCCTTTCTTTTTTCAAATCTTAGACTTTATCTGCTGTTTCTTTAAGAAAAACAGACCATGCTCTCTTGCTCAAATCTTGTTTTTCTTGACATGCAAAACCAACATTTTTTGTTTAATCCTTCTGCAATAGAGCTGAATTATCAAGAACGTTTTTTGTTCTTTGTTTAGCTCGATATATTATATGAATATGTTATCAATTTATACGCACAGTCTTCCGTAGAGACGTCTTTTACACCTGTATCATTTTGTTTTTTGAAAATGACTTTGATAGTTTGGCTAAAACATGAAATGATATCATAGCTTGCCGAACTGCGTGCTGAAAACGGCGTGCTGTCCAGGACTGAAGATGTATTGAAGGGAAAAGACCAACACACGCAGGCATTGCTGGTAAGTTTCCATTACCATCTAACTCTTGAGTTCACTGCTGGCAATCCCCAAGCAACTTCATTTGGAGTTGAATACCCACCAAAAGCTTTCTAAAATATTTATAATTGAGACTTTTTAACCTTTTTCATTTGAAAATTCGCTTGTTAGTTTCAAGATTTAGTTTACATGTAGGTAAAGAATTTCAAACTCAAAATTTTGATTATCTTTAGATAAGCCTTATGGAGTGATTTACTTATCGAGGTTTTGTATTTGTATGAATTGAATTGAATTCTAGTCATCAATCGAAGGAAAGCATGGTGTGAGTGGGTTCCATGAGACTCAGGAGGAGCTGGAGAAAATCTCTACCCTGAAGAGTGAGCTGGATGAGGAGAAAGGCAAAACACTTGAAGAAATCTCACAAATGGTATTGTATTTTAAACAGTATAGACAATTTAAAAAGAGATTATCATGGAGCATTAGACGGCCTATAAATCAGTTTTTATGTAATCATTATAAAAATGTAGGCACCAAGGAGATCCTATCCTTTTTTATGATCACATACCGCTAACAAGTTTTCAATTGATTTTCAAAGTGCTACAGTTTCTCATGAGAATTCTATACAATACCCGTGTAGACTAACAAAATAAGGGTGGTAAATAAGGAACCCCGCAACGCGCCGAGAATAAACAGCAGCAAACACACCCCCAAATCAGTTATGGCTAATATTTCGCCCCGGCATTCATCAGAGCAAAAGTCAGGCTGCTGTTTGGCGGTAACAGAATTTCCTTTACTGTTAAGTTTGCTGTGGTTTTTATTGATCCAAAAAAGTTAGAAAAAGCAAAATTTATCTTATTTTTAGAAATTATTGTAAGTTAGGCGCAGTACGTTTCTGCTTCAAATATTTTCTATCATTTTTCTTTTTTAATTAAAGTCTCAAACAAGATTTTTGTTTAATTCCTTTTTTTATGTAACATTTAAACATTTCATCTAAAAATACCAATGTAGTCTCATGTTTTTTGTTTTGAAAAATTGTTCTATATTTTTGCAAGCTTCATTTTATAAGAATAAAGGAAAATATATTATCACCTGACTGATCAGTCATCTCTCGTGAAAATGTTTTCCAATCTGTGCTGTGAAATTTTAGGTAGTACAATTAACCAACACAATTGCAGAGAAGAAAAGCAATTTGGCTCCGGTTATTAAAGAACTGAGGCCTTTAAGGCAGCAGTGTCAGGTAAGTTGTTCTATTTCAAGAATAATTTGCTAGGCGATTGCAGAAGTCTTCTAAAGCAACTTGCCAACACTCTTTGTTCTAGGCCATATGTAAACAGGGCCTTTAAATAGTTGCCAAGAGTAGATACGACGAAAGTACCATCTTCTAGTTCAGGATCTTTGCTCAATCGCGTGAGAGTTTTCAGCGTAAATTTTGAGTGACTTTTATTTAAAAATGTGTTTTATCAATATTTATGTCTTTGAAGTATATGGTACACAACTCTATAATTGTTTGATATTTTTCAGTGTATCGCTAGATAATGTGAAGGGATCCGTTTTTTCCGGTCAGCTTTGTGAGGACATTGCAAATTGCGATGTTCTGCGTATAACTCTATCAATGACATTGCTAATGCATGTATGGAACTCAAGTCCAAAAAATGTAAGACTGAAATTCAATTTTAGTTAATGACCACACATGAATTGTAATTGTATGTAGATGACTACATAAGGGTTGTATTCGGCTCTTAAGCAAATCTTGCTGTTTTAGTTTGCTGATACTGCAATAAAGGATTAATAACCTGTTGGTATAAGATGTTATAGAATTTCCGATTGCTCAATACAGATTTTTTAATTGCTGAATAAATTGCATGATTTTTCAAAACAAGGATTTTTATTGCTAAAGGAATTGACTGTCACACACGAGGAGAGAAAAGCAGCTTACGATTCTACGTTAGCTGGATTAGAAAGCAATTCTTCAAAACTGGAGCAGGTTAGCCTTTTTAAAACTGTATTTCGTAAAATGTACATAGTTTAACCCAGTTAGAATCACCTAAAGAGACATGCCATAGGACACTTTAAGACAACCGAAGAACTTATTTTAAGTATTGAAAAATCGATGCTGGATTAATGTTCAGAATACCCTGCCTCTTCTAAACATTTTCTGTCAATATTCCATAATATGTTTGTTCTCGTTATTTATTAAGAAACACAAAGAATAAGACTAAACTGAGATAATTTTGTTTATAACAAAAACCATTATTTATATGGCTTTCTTCCAAACTCCATCAAAGTTGCCTGCAGTTTAATGTCATAATTCAGACGATGTGAAGACGACAGAAACTCAAACGGCTTGGTCAACTAACATTTCGATTAAATGATCATTGTGTTACCAAACTCTATTTCTGCAACATCTTTGTTCGCCCGTCAAACCCTGTTACATATAAAAGTGCACAAGAAATTATCAAATTTACTGTACATCTTAGGAAGTGAAGGCTTACAGAGAAGAGAGCATGCAGGAGGAGAGTAGATACCACTACATTCAAGCAATGATCAAAGTAAGTCTATTTTCCTTAAAATCCTTTGTTCTGGCCGCAATAAAATGACATGTCAAAGCTCCGGTTTACCAGAAACGAGATTAATGCCAACAAGCTTTAAGTGTATTCAGCCTTTGTGAGGGATAATTGCCAATATAGCCTGCACATATAGCTTGCACAAAAGAGCGCCCTTTTTACTCCACTGTAACCCATTTAGCATTTTTTAACACGGCTTAATATATTTGAAGTGTAGGTTTGATAAACTACGCCTTTGGCACGGGGAAAAGTTTAAAGTAAAATTGATGTTTCTGATTGCTGTTCTATGTACAAATACCTTATTTTTTAGATAATGGAAGGACAGCAGAAGAAAATTGCTGATGAAGTGAAATCGTATGTTTCATCTGATGGCGCTTCAAAGAAATCTCTGAGGTATTTATTCTTATTAACAACGCAATGTCACCAACGTGACAAAATCATTACTTTAAACAAGTGGTTATATTCATCGCAATATTATACTTTTAGCGTTAGAAAAATTTAGATTTTCTAGCACATTTGCAGGTCTATAACCCCAGAAGATTTCTTGCTCTACAATCTTTAGGTTCCTTGTTGGATTGTTTAGTCACGATTTCTCGAAGTAGGCCTCAAAGAATGTTATGATTAGGCAGAGACAGAATGTCAAATGCAGAATGCAAAGTGGTTGGCTGCAATGGTGAAGTTTATGTCCTTGAATCATGGCTCGCATTCGGGTTTTAATCCTTTTTCAAGTCCAGGCTTTAACCTGGGCTCCAGTTCGGCGTTGAATCCGGGCTCCATTCTTTGCTATAATTTGAGCTTGTTGTCAAGCTAGTATCCGGGCTCGTATCTTGGCTTGTGTCCGGGTTTAATGTGAATGCTCGCCAAGCTACATATGTGTACCTAGTGGCAACGCAAAAGGGACTAAGCCTGAAATAAAAATTGAAGGGCCCACCCTACTTCATCATGTTGCTGACAAATGCTACCTTAAAACAACTGGCTGACAAATGCACTTCCCTTTCATATCCACCGTTCAGACCGGGACACACCTTAACGCCTACGTGGTCAAAAGCAAAAAAGGCGTGTTACTAATGATTCACAAATCCTCCTATTTGTTTGCCTCGCTGAAAAGGTGTTTTAAACTGTATTACTATTTACTTACAAAAGTTAAGTTACTTAGGAAGCAAAGATTACTTAAAGCACTACATCACATTACATCATTGAACTACTGATAAATACCTGAATTACCGATAAATACCTGATCCGGTTTCTCGACTGATGTCAGGGTCGACATGATGTTACTATGGCTTGATAATGCTGAATAACAGAAATCCCATTCAAGAGAAAAGCGACGACAATAACTGCCTTGCTAAACTCTCTAAGCTTCATCTGCTGGTAGTTCCTTTTTCATGGAGGCTAACATCCTTGACAGATTGCTTTGGATGGCTGTTTCTAGCGCATCAGTAATAAAGACTTAAAGGCTGTTGCGCGACCGGCATGCTATGCTGTAGCTGTTTTGTGCGCATAGAGAAATCGACTGTTACAACGCATGCCGGCTGCGCAAGAGCCTTTGACATTGATGCCACTTCCAAGGCATTGTTGCAGGTATCAGCAGAGATTTAGCGATTCTGTATAACTCTGTAAATCTTTCGTCTAAATGTTTTAATCCAGATTTGGACTCAGGTTTGATGCCTATTTTAGCGTGCATGTTTTATGCCTCACATTTCGGCAACTTTTTCAAACCGTTAATGTATGATGTAAAATGGCATTTTGCAACCACAAGCCCTGAGAAACACCATGCCAAACCATACGCTAAGGTTTGCAGAATTTCACGCTGTTAGTGCGACAAGACATAAGCCAATAGCTAGAAAATTTCCTCGGCACCCTACATTCGAATTTTCCCAGATAGCGTTTTCCGATTCTTTGATGGCTCGTCGTTCGACATTATTTTCGAGACTTTTTATTATCTTCAAGGCTTCAATTATAACGCCAGGTCCATAGTATCGGTTGGTAGTTTAGAAAACCTTAGAAAACTTTGTCACTCTGAAGAACCATCTGCTTTTATAAACATACTTACAATGTTAGTTTTGCGGTAAGGCTTTTGTACGATTCAAAACTGTGCTGTGTTATAAACATTTCTTGCTATGATAATAATTCGGGTTTTGTTGCTAAAACTGCATTCCTTCTATGGCTTGGCTACATTAACTACCTTACTTCTCATCAACAACCTCAAAAAGGGCACGACCGTGATTCAGAGGAAAGGGGTATTACTTTACTCTGAGAAGGGAGGTTGGACCTCAGAAAGGGCATAACCATGTTGGTGTTTTGGGTGCCATTACTCTTTCCCTAATTTTCCGTGCAATGACCAGAGACCCACATGTACTTTTTTATTGCCCATTTTGTGCTGTGAACAAATTTGGCTCTTTACAGTGCTCATCCTTTCATGCATTCTTTTTTACCCTCATGCTGCTGATGCCGTATTTGAACTGAAATAACTGCCGTGGGCAGCACTAACAAAAAATGAATTGCAATTGTTATGAATAGCATTACAGTGACTTGCATAATTTATGCAACCTAGCAATGGAAGTTACGCAATTCCTAAGCCTTGGAATTGTTTACTTAGCCTATTTATCATAGTTTCCAGATTAAAAGATATGTTTGAAGGTAAACTGTTGTGAAGCGTAATAATATTATGAATCATAGCATAATATGGTTCGTAACCGGCTCGTTAGATATATTCCTGGGCTGCCCTTGCCCGGTCATGTATGTGACAAAAGTGGTCACTCAATCCCTTATTTATGTTTTATGCTTTGTAGGGATCAATATACGCAAAAGATCCATGAACAGGAGAACCATGGCAAGGTGAGCTCAAACTAAACAGTTAATATCATACTATATTATCCGCAAATATACGCCAACAATATTTGAAAGACAATACGCCTGCCTCATTCACCTCCAATAAAAGTGAGGTGGAATTCCATGCATTTATAGTAAATGGTTTGAAGTGCATCCCTAAGATATTCTTTATGTAATTTCCAGTGTTAATGTTCTCTGTAGGATATAGACTAGAGGTACTTGATGCTTTTTACAGTTTCTGTAGTCTACACTTTTGTCTTGGCCATCCATTTATCGCTCATCGGTTGAAATGCAGTAAGGCAAAGTATACTTCTCGTCTCTATGTATCGTTCACTATGCAGAGACTTGATTAGAAATGCATGAAGCAATAGAAACACATAAAGCATGGAACCCTGGCCTACGATCTTCTGGTACATACATCGCAATACTCTGTGTATATTGAACATGAATATGCCACGTTTGAAATTAAATTATAAATTCCCTCGGTTTCTGCGCGGTGTTTTTGAAACCAGCATTAGAAACAGCTTGCACAGAAAATTTTTATTTCCCCGGCAAATACAGGGTGCCGGCTGAATTCTTTGTTTCTTTGCGAAGTGAGACAGTTGATGAAAGCTGAACCCACTTAACATTGAATTTGTTCCTTGTCCCTCCCAAGGCGCTTCGGGAGAAACAAAAGTCAGTACGTGACAATCATGTGCCAAGAATGAAGCAAATGAAAATGTGGAAGGTACGTCATACACTTTTTATATTTTTCTTCAAGAAATCTTTCAGATGTACCCAATTTGCTAGATGTACTATTCTGTTGTGCTATTTCAATATTCACCTGCATGTCACAATCACTAATATGGGAAATTTTTCAAGCAATCCATAGTGACCTCGTTTTCTGGAAGTCTCGATAACAGATCAAAATGACGTGCATTTGTTTCATAAAAGAGTCCTTGTTTGCTTCTGTCATAAACATGGTTTCCCTCACTCCCTATTGCAAAGCTAAACCACCTCTTTTGCCATTTTGAATCTTTTGAAGATAAAAACTTTTTTCAAAGATACACACTTGTATAATGCCTATTCAAGATAAAACTGTTCCTACATCGAATTATAGCCCTTTTGCAGCTAAGTTCCGGTTCTTTAAACCCAGGAACAAGAAGGTAGGGCCCTATATAAAGCTATACTTTAATTGAAAATTGAGAGTACTCTTTCTAGGTATAATTTGGTTAGTTAGTGATTTACCTACTGAGTTGGTAGGTCTACCTCTCTTTCCAACATGGTTCATTTTTATATACCCTTATAGGATCTTGCTGAGATTATGAGGTGCAAGAAAGAGTGTGTTCTGAAAGACCAAAATCTGGGGGCCCAGAAGCCAGCAGTGGCTGGTATGGAGGTTGAAGACCGATTAGTTCTATCGTAAAAATAACGAAACTGCACTGCAGATAGATTAAAGTTCGAACACTGAATATGTAACATTTACAAAGCTAAGTAAAATATTAAAATTATAGCTTTTTCTTGTTAATTTCACATAGAGACATTCTAAATGCAAATTTGTCGATACTTGTTTGGCTTTCAAGTTTATTCTTTTTTTCAAAATATTGTTGCATCGAAATTGTTATACTTTCTTTTGTCTGTTCATAGTTAATTTAATATCATCTTGCATTCATGCTCAGTCGATGAATCATTTTTGTAGTGTTAGAATAAAGACAGCATATTTAACTATGCCCCTATCCAGTCGAGCTCTTCAAGCTTATTCCAAGACTTATGGCTAAACTGCAGCTCACTCATGCTACTGTTATTTCACTCAGCTCATCAATTCTTCTGTCCTTTTGATTGGTAATTTAAATTCGTTTGGCAGTGGATTTATCCTTTTGAATGTACGGATTGTTTCTAAAACAACGAGTTCCTCAAACAGTCTTAATTTTCTAAGTAGTTGTTTAAGGCAAGCTTACTTTAAATCGCAGTGTTTATGAATTGATTAGTAATTTTTAAGTGAAGTTAATTCAACAGAAAAGGCGTATTGCTTCAACATCATGGTTTCGTTTCAGACGTTGTTCTATAATACAATCAAATCTTGCAAAACAATCCTCTGATATAGCTCTGTTATCCTTAAAACTCTTAATGAAATACATTAAAAACCCGCGTATAAAAAACTACAGTTTTCTTTTCAGTCTGAAAAATTGGGACTTAAAGGCAAATTGAGGCAAATAAACTAAGCAAATTGCTTTATAGTCTCGGAACAATCTTTAAATATTTCAGTGTTAGATAAAAAGTCAAAAAAATTTGATACTCAAAAGTCAAAGTTTTCCATCTTGCTAATTTACTTGAATGAATAGCAAACTTTTTAATGAATTTGTTGCCTCATTGTTTATTTTCAATTATTTGCAAAAAAGAGCTTATTCCAATCTTCCCGCTGATTTGGTTCTTCAGCAGATTGAGTCAAAAGTCCAAATTTTTAAGACTATGTTGTTTTTCCCCCAGGTTCTAATACAAGGTTTTCTGGTGAGTTTCTAGGCAAATTATAAAGAAGACATTTTGTGACCAAATCAGCGGGAATTTTGTGACCAAACCAATTTAGAGCTAACATACTTAAAACTTCAACATGGACCCTAAAAGCGAGTGTATTTCCCTGCATAATTAATGAAGTCTTTTGCAAGCATTGATCAAAATATTAAGAGTCATGTTGACATGCTTAAAATGTCCGTTGTAATAAACCATTTCTCCAAATTCTGGTAAGCAATTAACAGAGACTGCTTCAAAAATGGTAGCTAAAGCACCCGCTTCTCGTTCCATCCAGAGTTTTTCTCTCTACCCAGAGCTTTTCTCTGTAAAAATGGTCATTTTACTAAGTGTTAGTGTTATCTTCTTCCTGCTTTCCTCTTTAAATCTTGAAACTTATAGCTCAGTAAGCGCCATCTGCTTCAAACACTCTCTCTAAGAATCACGAAAGGCTGGTTATCTCATGTCAGTTATGATGTTGCTCCTTTTGAAATTAGTCCTCGTTAACATCAGCAACAAAGTTTATTTGGATTGACAAACCTAAATATTTTGGCAAAGATGCAAGTCGCCAGCAGCTGCTTCGGCCGATTTGCACTGTGGGCGCACAGAAGCCGCGTTATCAGTTTCCACAATCAATCTTTCGTTAAAATTATTTCATAATTATTTAATTCTAAACATCTCCATGGTAACAGAACACCACTCCAGCTATTGTTATGACCGCTGTTATCACGAAGGCTCATACATATCCACATGGAAAGATAGGGGGCCTAATTATGCGTCATTTCCAAGATAATCAATGAGACAGTTTTAGAATCAACTGCGACGAGTTTGTGAATTTTTAGCCACTCGCTACTCTTTGAGTAGATGTTGGAGATAAGATCTGTAAACATGCCGATCGGAACTTGACTAAAACATAGTCACACGAAGGAATTTGTGTCTTCTTTGATTGAATTTGGTTGTATTTGCGTTCATCGGTGTGTTGTAAGATTTCTTTAGTGTCCTTAATGTTTTCTTTCAGCCTTTCAAAGTTAGCAGGCCGTAATCTGCCTTCTTTCAGCCTCTCAAAGTTAGCAGGCCGTGATCTGCCTTTTGGATATATGATTGAGATTTCATAAAAATGGCGCATATTTGCTATAAGTCGAGTACAAATCAGTACAAATCAAAAATCTCTGTTACAAAAAGTGTTGTGAGAACTACCAAACGTATATTGTGAAAGTCAAGCTAGAGGTTTAAAGTTTTCAGTCACACTTTGCCGTTGCACGTAATCTTTTTCATTTAAACAGTTGATCTTGATAATCTGATCACCAAATTGATTTAAGATCGGTTTCTTTCATATTTCAATTAAGATTGATATTTTCTCATAATTCTCTTGCAAATACATTTGCGTGATTTGCATAGGAGCATTAAGGAAATTATGTCGTATTTAAATTCCCTAAGAATGAATGAGTTTAAAATACAATATATGTGACTCGTGGAACTAAACAGTATCTATACACTGAAGTTGAAGCCCTAACCTACAAAATCCCAGCTTTGAAACCGCAGACTGTTGTTTTCAGAAGCATCTACGATACGCAAATTTTTTATTTCATATTTCTTCATGATGTTGCTTCTTGATGTCATGTCACTGCTTGATCTTATTTCCTGGTTTTACCTCTTTATGGCACTTCTTGATGCTCGATGATGTCACTTATTCTCAGTGCTTGACGTCATATCACCTGTAAATGTCATTTCACTGGTGGATCTTATTTCTCGTTAATGGCACTTCTTGATGTCAATTTTTAATGTCACATCAAGATGTCCTGTCACTTCCATATGTCACTCCTTGATCTTATGGAGCTTAATGGTCATTGTGTTAAGATACAAATTTCATCTGTAGAAGTGTTAAAGTTTAGTTTATTTCGCCAATTCTAGATTTTTACTGTAGGGAGCATCATCAATAAAACTAGACAGTTTAAAAAAAAGTTTTTTTTACATTCGGTAAGCCTCCTTGCGTCACCAATCTTCCTCGCGCATCTGTCCCAGCACTTCATAGAAAAGTAGCGTTTAACAGTCAGTATTGAAAGCTTAATGGAACATAGCAGAGTGAGAGCCTTAGCTATCGTTGTTCCAAAACTCTGCTATCTTTTGCACATATAACTACCTTTGCTCATTTCACATCTGCATCAAAATTCGTTTTCTTTGTTGAAAACAAAAGATCAAATTGTAATCAGGATCATTTTATTTCGATGGCCTCAAAAATATGTGCATTCGGCTTTGGGCTAGCATGCTATCTACACAACAGTCATTCAAAAAGCAGAACTGTCAGGTTATATTCAGATATTCTCTATAAAAAGAGACTGGCTTCATGAGAAGAGAAAAGTTATCTTGCAGAGCCATCCGCTTGCACTAAACGGTTCAATTGAAGCAGTATGCAATGCTTTTGAAGGTCTTGTTGTGTTCATCTTTATTGTGATCAACTCATTACTCAGTTTTCAAACCGGTTTTTTTTCATTGCCATGCGAAAGCTTTAAAATACAAATAACGATCATATTGTTTGGATTTTCTGCATACATTATATTAATGAGGCCTAATTTAGTCAATCTTGTTACCTAGCAGTTACCAATAGCAACCACTTTGTAGCTGGTAAGATTTATTCTTATAATACTCTATGAAGTGTTATCAAGAATTATATCAAAACACCTTTTCCTAAAGCATCTATCAAGACACGTTTATGAAAAAATCAATGAGAAATCTTTGTTTATCATTGCATGGTTTGCCGGCCTCGTTCTCTCGCTGCATTACATCAGCCAAGATAGAAGATTTGTTTGACTTATGTCCTTTGCTGATTCAGACTATAATGTTCGGTTCTTAGTATTGCATTGGTTTTGGTATTTAAGTTTTCTCGGAGAATGAAATCATCTGATTGAAGAAAGTTAAAAGCTGGACGTAGAAAAGGATTGCCATGCTTTATAAGGGACCATTCGATATTTTCCTGCTGGAAATGATTTTTGATCTAATTGAATAATTGAACAATTGAACAGTTTTTCACAATAGTCTTAACTCAGTAAGAGGAGACGTTTTGGAAGAAAATTAACAGAAATATTGCTGAAATGAAGAAACTCATTTGTCGTGTTTTTTCTGGAAATAAATGAAACAGGAAAAATGATGAAAAAAATCTCATTCAACTTTATCTGAATCTTATACCGAACATAAAAATATTGTAGTTACAATATGTCAAAGAAAGATAATGCTTACAATATGCCTATGAAAGTAACAGTTACAATATGTCAAAGAAAATGACAGTTACAGTATGATGAAAAATATGAAAGTTAGAGCATGGTGATAAAAGATGGCATTGAAGTTGAAATGAAATCGACAATGTTTGTAAGTTGCCATGTTGCTAAAAAAGTATCTCTTGCAGCACCTGAAAGAGACTTCTTGCTCGGGCACCGTTGGTGTAAACAGAATGGCCATGCTACAATCAAATTGATTTCAATTTCCTTCATTTAGGAAGCATGCTGTAAAATGAATAAGAGAAGGATAAATGGAACATTTAATTGTAATGTAATTACACTTGTGCTAGATCAAATTTCATTAATAGTGAATAGCTTCATTAAGAACGAGTCGGAACCTTGCGATAAAAGATGCAGAAAAATCGATCTTTTCGATCAACACTTTCCATTTATGTTGTTGCATACATTGAAGAACTCTCAACGCTTTCCAAAGAACATCTTTGAAGAAGATCAGATTTTGTTGACCCGAGCAAAACGTCTGGCAGATGATATTTAACTCGAAGCAGTAGCGAATAAACATTAGCGCATTTTAAACGTTAAGGCACCATCTTGAACACGGAAAATGAAGTGGCTATCGGTAGAAAACCAAAAGCTCGTTTTACTGCGATTTATTGAGACAGAATTCATTAAGCAGGTTTTTAAGCTATTCTAGCAAAATTGCGACACAGTTGTATCTAATTCAGCTCTTTGACGACATAAATTATTCGGAATTTGCGTTGACCGAGGTCCCATAGAGCGAGCATGTGGCCATGTTTGGTTAACCACATAGCTGCATTGTCTGCCTTCTGCTCTCCTGTTTCATCCCTATCCTCTTATCCGACATTAAATATTCATCAAGCTTCACATTTTGCATCGATATACATGTCTTTAGCCATGACATCGTATTCAACTTGTTGCGCCCAGTGTCAGGAAGAGTCACTAGCGCCACCAGTTCTTCCGACAGATCAAATGTGTAGCTTTAATTAGCTCGTTAACTGCCAATTACTAGCATCATGACCATGAGATGATAATTCACCGCGCCTATGGCTTCAAATCCCAGCTGAATTTCAAATCCCAGCTGAATTTCTTCTGGTGATTTCCGCTAGGTGAGTAAACTTCATTTTTTCGTTCCTTGAGCAACCTGTGCAAGCTACTCTACCAGGCTGCTTGCTTGCCCCGTAAAACGGTTGTTTATTGTTTGTGTTCGCTCGAGAACAGTTGAAAACGCAAGTAGCGCACTGAAGCGGGATACTGCAATCTAGTAGCATGAAGCTTGCAATGTTTCCAACGACCATCCGCACCGCTCAAACTATCGGCACTTGTTGCAGATTCTTCAAAACAATGTCCTAGTAACCGTTGCATAACTAGCTTTTAAACGGGAGACTTTGATTTTATTTTCTTTTAGAGCTTCAAAATACCTGCTTTTAAGATATTTACTGGGTCAACTGGTTTTGTAAATCTTCGTCTTAACTAACATTGAATCGCGGTTTCGCTGTTGATGCACACCAAAGTTCTTTCATTCGTTCTTCGCAAGAATGAATCGAAGTTTTTGATCTCGACCGACGAAGTCCTTGCACTTTAATGTTCAACATCTGGAAGAAAAGCATGAATCTTTGGGTGAATTTCTTGGGTAAGAAGGGGGTGTTCCATCAAACTTACCGTCAACATAAAATTTCCTGTTTTCTTTAAGGCTTTGCTTAAAGTAATTAAATCAATTCACAACACCAAATTAATGCATAAGCTAATACTATAAACTTTTTATAAACTTAATCACCTAAGTATTTCAGCTGTTTTGAACCAACATGCTGTTTTAGCATTTTATAATGCCAACTTCGATGTTGTAGTTTTTATTTAAAACCAGTTAGAGTAAGAAAATATCACTTTTCTTGAATTCTTGAATGTTATGAAAGTGAATTTAATTATTCATATCACAAGACATCAAAATGGATTATTTCGTTTTCCCTCATGTATTGCTAATGATGCTTTCTCAGAATTTCTTTTAAAATTTGTTATTACACTCCTCCTAGACTATCTATTAACGTATATTCAAAGTACACTCATGTACTTTAACTCAGTTCAGTTATTACATCCAATTCAATATAATTCAATTCAAACTCTACTTCATCTGTATGAAGAGTGTTGAATTTCTAACTTGGGCCGTTGACAAAGGAGATTGGAGGGGTTTAAATCCCTTTCCTGTTTCGAGCAGATATTTGGTGTCAACCTTTTTTCGAATAGATTTCAAATAAATTTGAAGCCAGGTTATCAGCAAGTTTTAGAAAGACATCACTGAGTAATGCTGCAGGGATTAAACTGATTTTCATTTTCAGTGTTCTAGAACTCCCGCTGTCTGTCTTGCAGGGATGCAAACCTATTTTAAATGCAAAAACTCAGAGGTAGCCTTGACGACGTATTTCCATCGTAAAATTCGACTTTGCTTGTGTTTCTATACTGCTGTAGATTTTGAAGTCCAATCAGCCGTCTTTCATAATTGATTTGAGAAGGAGACCATTAATGCCCATTCATTCGGGGTTTGACCTGAAATGGGTACAAAAAAGCTTTCAATTCTATTGACTAATTGAGATGCAAAGTGATGCAATCACGATCCTTATTTAAGAATTTTTTAATTTCGACTACATACTCAGAAAAAATATACTTTGCAATACTTATGAGAAAATCAATTAAACTGGTAACAGATTTATTAAGATATGGTGGGTAAAAAACCCTAACTTTGCTAATCTATTAGTGATATTTTGATTTGGTAAATTAAGTTTAGACCAAGTTACAGTATCACACGAGGAAAAGACCTGTACCGATATGGTCGCGAATAGGCCAATTTAAAACTCGTTTAGAATTATTTCATGATACTCCTTCAGGCTATTGGATTTAAATTGAAGAATTTTTTGACTAATTCTATGACGTCATTACTTTGCGAAGTTATTGATATCAGCCAATGTTAATACAGATTGTTGGGTCTTTCTAAAACTGATACAGAAAATCAATAAAGATTACATGATTCAAATATTCCAAGTACGACCTAAAATTACAATAAATATTAAGCTCAATGCATTCTATTATACAATAGATGCCTTACATAACCTACAGCTGCTTGTGAATATTCTTTACGCAATACTGTTATTTGGGATTCATTTTAATATTTTATTGTTAATCTCACCAGAAACTTTCCCTTTTTCAAAACCATAGGCTGTTCTTCTATGATTGCGAGCATAGATGCTGTTTTTGTGAAAATTCTTTTCATAAAAAAGGTTTTTAGATTCAGTTTTATACAGTAAATTTCTGTAGCCACTGAAGAATTATTTGATGAATAGGGACTAGTTTGTCTGTGCTTAAAGTTGTTCAATACTGAAGAAGCTAACTGAATACAATATATGAATATTTCATTTTTCCTTCAGGTACATACATCGCGGCTTTCACAAGAGCATGTAGCTTCTGTCTTGCCTTTTTAGATATTTATATTTGATTCAAAATTTGAGTTTGATCAAGTATTACAATACCAAATGTAACTGGCTTAAGATTTTCTTCTTTGGACTTTTTAACCCAAGAGAAACGCTCTGTAGCGCTATGAAAAATTAGCTTAAGACACTAAGTAGAAGATCAAAATGATTTGAAGAGAGTATCGTGCATTCTTCAAGACACACTGTACCATCGAGTAAACAAACCTGCCTGACTCCAGCCTTACTCTCATCCATGGCTACACAAATGACTATGTAGCTTGCATGGGTACGAGTCTGCTTACTTAAAGCACTGATAAAAACGCTTGACAGAGGATAGGTAAGAATGTAATTATGATGAGGCAGGGCCGTCGAGAGACGGGCCGGGCCCCAGGGCTGGGACTTTCATGGGGCCCCACCGTCGAAGGCTGCAAAAACCTTTTTTGGATTACGCCCTTAGCAATGCAGTTAGATGGACTGTAAAAGGCATGAATTTTGAAATCAACGCCCCTGGAACACTTGAATTTGTATTTTAAGGCCTTTAACAGAACATGTAATCAGTGACTATATAAAAAAAATCATTAAAACAAATCAGTTTAAAAATCAGAGTTAATTTAATGTTTAAAAAACTGCTTTTCTTGCTTTCCTCATGGCGGAATCCTTAATCTTTTCCCACAATCCTTTCCAGCTGTCGCTCGCTCCCCAATCATCAGGAGAAGCCAATTTTGATTTTGAACCATTATTAATAGTGTGCTCAAAGAACCTGCATGGCAAACAATAGAGTGCAGCCTTTGTAGGACTGAAAACAAGCCAGCTTCTTACTACCTCCCAATTTTGCTGCTTCACATTTAGGACCGTTGTTGGAAATTTGTGGCCGTCGCAATCTTTGGGAAACTCTGGAGAATGAGGCAAATGACCAGTTCTAACAACCTTTTCTAACTCCTTTTTCGTTGGAAATCCGGTCAATGTGCCGACATCAAAACTAGATGATCCACTATGAACAGTATCTTGATTTAATGACAAATCGGTAGTGCTTTCTCTACTTTCTGTGGTGTCATGGTCTACCGAAGCAGCCAAGCCGTCTGTGTCTTCTTCTTCTTCAGCAATGCTTTGAACAGAGCTTTCACCAGGTTTATTTAAAGTTGAATCACCTTCCTTGTCTCTTTTGTAAGCACCTACCTCAAACAATGTGCGAGAGGCCTTCTTTGCTTCTTTTTCTCGTATCTTTTTTCCCTGCCTTTTCTGAGCACCAGATGTGTGCCTGTAAGATGACATCGCAGGGGTTGCTTGGATCGTGATCCCGTTTAGTGATTTTGATAAAGACTTTTATAGCGTTTGGATTTGTCTTGGTTCTTCGCATGTGCTTTCTCTCTGGTCTACACCGTGAATGGAAGATTTACTTTTACGTTTATAGGAAGTCCACACAAGGAAAAACTAAAACATCTGACCTAAACATGGGCTCCGACAAAGGTTGAAAAGTGGGGGGCCAAGGAAAAATTTAACACCCAAAACAAAAGATTTTGAAAAAACTCTATTGTTTTGCAAAAAAATGGGGGGGCCAAGGCCCCCCTGACCCCCCTTCATTGGGGGCCCTGCTAAAAGTAGATATATGTAAGTGCAATCGAATTTTTCGGCTTCCGGAGAAGTATATTATGATCGTATCGGCAATGTTTTAATTATAAACCATAACAAGAAAAGGCCCTCGTCATTGACCAGTTTGTTGATCCCATGTTGAAAGATTAAAGTTCGAATATCAATCGGGTCATGGGCCCGCCCTGCCAATGCTGCTAATTGAAAACTCATAGCCAAAAATACATACCTTATTCTCTACGGGCCCCTCAAGGCCCCGGGCCCCCTGGTAACTACCCTGGTTACCCCCCCCTCTCGACGGTCCTGTGATGAGGGCACATCTTGTCGAGGTCACGTGACAAACGGAGAAGACTAGTTGACCCTATTCTAATATTTTCAACCAAAGTCAACATGACAAATTTTGCAAATTTTTCGAGGGATAATGGGCGTGTCTCCTAGCCTCGTGTTCTCCGAGGCACTGAAAAAAATCCGCTTAACTTTAAGAGAATCTCAAGCGAGAAAAGCGTGATTGGAGATCCCATTTTGCTCCATAAGGCTGCCCTTGGGTGATGTTGATATCCCTTGTCAAATCAATCTTTAGGCTGCCGCTAAGTATGCAAATCAAACATCTAACACCCAGCAAAAGAACTAGAAAATCCCTTTTTGGCCTAAAATGAGGTAAGATGCCTAGAGTTATCAATTTTCACTGCATTCCTTTTCCAGCTTGTAGTATCTAGAAATTGGCAGTTTGCGCCATCCAACTCAAATTGTTTATGCATCCAAAATTGGCTGTTTTCACTACCAAATTAAGGTGGTTTCTAAAGTTTAGCAAAATGATGCTTAAATTTACTGACATGCTGTCATCTCGACCTGTAAAATGGTCAACAAAATTTGCTCAAAAGTCGTATGACCTGACACCTCACTACTTTGCAGCTGAAGTTGATATCGTTTCTACTCGTTTGCTTAAGCACTAGAAGTTGATCCAATCGCTTTAAGTCTTGATAAAACTGCGCTTCAATATTCATTCGCTATAAAGTTTGTTGGCGTGATACCACTGCATAATCTAAACAGTGTCACACAATGAATTTTGAGGCTGCTTGCTAATGGTCAAATCCAATCATTTCATCTCAGTATGCATTTCTAGTTTGAAGCAAAACACTGAAGGCCCGCCATTCTTTTTGGAGCTTGAAATAGTGATGGAATAGACTTGGATGGTAGTGGAAATGACACGAAGTTCTCTTGATACTATTTATGCGTAATGCCGTTAGCCTGTCATGTAGCTTCAAACATGTCAGAGGATTATTGAATGGCGGCTCAGAAAGTGGGACACATTTTTTATGAAGAGGCATTCTTAACAAGGCCGACCTTTGAAAGGGGTTTGAATATCGAATTCCTGTTCCAAAGAGGCTAGATTTTTGATGACCCATTTCAATCGTAAATATCAAATATGAGTATTTTAGCCTTAGATCGCTCATGACTTTACAGCACTTTTACCTCACATAAGATTGCCTCTCATTCGTAGCGACAATAAAGATACAGAGTAAGGGAGTGCAGTTAAGAGTCTCGCGCCAAGAAAGGATTGCTAGCTATCTTCACTTTGAAAGCCATTGCGCATGTGAACTGACCATCTGCTCTGAGATAAACACTGTGAGTAAGACCGAGGCCGAACTAATCCAGCATAATGTAATGGCAACGATTACTGTTGATTATCTCTTACGTAACATCTAGGATAAAACATGGAACAGTGTTATGTTGGAAAACAGCAACCCTGCACTGCCGCAAGATAAAGCACGTGATCATATCATATCTATGGGTCATATTAACAGTTTGTAGCTGAAAAATGTCGCATTATTCTATGAAATATATTCATTCGTTTAAAGTGTTTTACTATTTGAAAGCATAATTTTTTCTATACTTTATGACGCCTCCTAGAACTCGAGGCCCTGGAGCAATTTGCACCCTGGTCCCCCTTCTCAGCGGCCCTGCTGCCATGTCTATTGTTGTTTTTACTGCTTCTGTTGCATTTTCCCTGTTGTTGCTGTCCTGTATCTTGCAATGTAATATTTTCTTTTCTATTCACTTCATACACTTTCTTGCCTTCCTAAATATGGGTAAGATATTTTCAATCATTTTTGACTAAAACTCGAACATCCCTGAGCTTTCTTCTCATAAAGTTGAGAATTTCTTCCTAGATGTTGTGTTTTTTGGAATTAAACTATAAATTTAGGACATTCCAACGTTAGGAAATAACAAGACTTTGCAAGGATAAATAATTTACAAAAATTGTACAACTGTGAAACTGTGCTTTCTCGAAGCCAATAATTCTACAATATCACCTTCTTTAATTGCGTGGATTTTAGCTTTTAAAAATTCCTGAAACATTTCAACTGTGAACTGCTGTTGAGAAAACTATGAATTTTGTTGTGATTTGCAGAGCATTCGTCGCTCCTGAAGAGCTCTGCACCCATCGCCTGCTAGACAAGCAGGTGAACAAGAAATGAAACTGAGCTTTTTCATCATATTAAGGTGCCCCTGTAGGTAAATACACAACATTTTAGACTGCTTAAAGCAAAATAGAGTTCTTGGATAGAACAAATCGAGGCGCCAGAGCACGCAGTTTGTGAATGTTTTAGAGCTTCTACAACACAATCAACTTTATATATAAAGTTATTTATCGTTTTCATTTCATACGCTTGTTTCTGAATCAATTTTGATATCAAACTGTACTCAAATAATCAAAATTTTCTTAACGTTCTTTCCATCTTAATGATAAAGTCTTTAATATGCTTTTGTGATCTTGAGGAGGAAATCATCCTTCAAAAGACAATTATTGTTAATTTTCACGTACTTTTCCAACAGGAAAATGAAGCTGTCTCTTTTCTAATTTGAGGTATTTGAGACAAAAGATACCTTTGAGACTAAATGGACTTGGAAAACTAGATATGGCCTTGTAATACACTTAAAAGAGTGCCACTGCGGTGGAGGGTGGAGGTAGGGGTGTAATGTGGCATTCTGCAAGAAATTAGAAATTGACAGGGAAATACAATTTGTTTTGATATAAAAAATGTTGTTGCACGAGTTGTGATTTTTAGCAACTAATGTGAAGAAAGAGCAGTGTAGCGAAAAAGCATTAGTACACTTGAGATTTTTTCAGCTCTGCCACGCCATTTTTGTTACCGTAAAGACAATACGACTAGCCATTCTTCCAATGTAACTTAGTGGTGCAATATAGTGCTTGCTCTTGGCTTCTTTCGTCTTGCGTTTCATTCTAATCTATCATCAGTAAGCGGTAGTATTTTTTGACAGAGCATTCACTCTAAACAAAATTTGATGCACCCAAAACACAGTACTCTGATTTCTAGGATAAAAAGAAGATTCGAGGGGTGGTGCTGGTTGGAATGAACTGAGCGGCCATGGCCAAATCCGAAAATTGATAAATGGGGAGATTGGTTGACGAACAGCAAGATCTACGTCTAAAACATTTGTAGACTAACTACTGACTTCCCGATGACTTCCAACCATAACAGTTTCAAATTAACAATGATAAAAATTTACCTCTATGCATCCTGATTTTTATTCGGGTGTTTTCGCGGAATAAGTGTAGTTGAAATTAGAAGCAGAGTAGCTATCATGACATCATAGTAGCTAGCAACAGAGACCGTGGAAGCTGGGGGGGGGGGCTGAAGGGGCTGAGGGTGTTATAGCTCCCCCCGATAAGAAGTACTAAAATGTACTTAAAACCAAACCATTCAAAAAAATTTACCCTGCTCTTAATTTTAGCATATTAAGCCCCCTCAAAACATTCAAGCCACCTTAATCCGTAACATGCTCCGCGGTCCTTAAAGAATCGCCATTGTAAATCGGGCCAATCAATGCTGACCTATTTCATCATTTCCGGTAGACCCCTTATGACCTGCATGTCCGAAAGCTTCAAGTCAATTAGCGTTAATTCCAACGTGCATAACTATTTTACGTGGGCTTAATTTTCTTGGCAAATGTCATTATCCCATGTTCTTTGGTCCTTAGCGTGCATCTTTCATAATTGTCATTTAGGTTTCGGTCTAAAATGAACAGGGAAAGTTGGCTGTGCTGCAAAGAGACGCGTGGCTTTAGCAAGATCTAGCGATAAAGGTGAGGTCAATTATCTAGGCGAGTTTCAACAGCCCTCTCTACATGTTAACCTAATACATTCTTTGCAAGTATACTAATGCATTTAGCAAAACGTTTGAAACTTGGCTTTAATCGGAAGCAGTAGGAATAGAGAAAGGGGGAGCTGAGGGTCGCAGAATAGGACAAACTGACTTTCTCTTCGTTTCTATTCAATACAAACCATTCTGTAACACAATGTTGTAGTTTTCCTAATATAAATAATAGATTACATATCAGTTTAACTATTCGAAGCTACCGTAAGAACATAACTATTCTAATCGTTGCTGGTAGAACATCTACACAATAAAGTCCAGAACGAATGCTTTGCATCAAATCCTCCAATGAATATAACGAGATTTAAATGCTTTTTTGAATAAGTTCAACGACTCCTCGTTGTTAATGTTTTTCTTAACATTTGCTGCACAAAACCAAGCGTATGTTGTTAAATATTTGAAGCATCCCAGTCAGCCTTGCATGCTAATTTCCTTTTTTCTCCTTGTCCTATCAATTTCATGTTTTATACAAATTCATAAATCGTTGGCATGCACCCCCTGTTTCTTTTAGGAAGAGCATGTAGGATGAAACGTTTCCTTCAAATAAGTCAATTAAATCCGTCAAAGTCAACTCAATATAGCATTTAGAAAACCACTGTTTTAATGGTTGTTATTATTGACAAACTTCAAGGTAGCTGAGGAGAATATTACACCAGGAACTCACAATATCTAGTTATCCTATTTAAAGTACTTACGAGACCTCACTACGACAACAAAAGTAACCTTCATAGAGGCCCCCCAGCGAGAGTGAAAGTGGGCGTTCACAACCCTTTGGAATGTCTGCTCCCATTTGCCTCCCCTCATTACGCTACTCAAGTTCTGCACCCTTGAAACGGCAAACTGGGAGTAGCTTGCTATATGGTCAGAAGCAATTTTAAAAGCAAAAGTGAAAAAGGGGGTTAAGCCTTAGGTTATTGGCTTGGTAGAAAAGGATATAGGCAAGTAGCATGCATGCAACTTGATGAAGAGTTTCTACACAGGTTTTCAAAACACCCTGCCAAATGAAACCAAATCAAACCAAATGAAACCAAATCGAACCAAATCAAACCAAATCAAACCAAATCAAACCAAATGAAACCAAATCAAACCAAATCAAACCAAATCAAACCAAATCAAACCAAATCAAACCAAATCAAACCAAATCGAACCAAATCAAACCAAATCAAACCAAATCAAACCAAATCAAACCAAATCAAACCAAACCGTACAGTAAAATGGTTAAACCTTGTCATGAAATATGCCGAAAGAAAACACTAAACACGTTGTTCTACTAACCAATTCGTAATACCTTTAATTGATTTTGCAGATTCAGAGGTATTTCATGATGGTCTTTCAGATTATGGGAAAAAATTTAAAAAATTCTAAAAGTAGACTTTTATGACGTCATCACTTGACAACCCTATTGCTTTCACAAACTGGAAACCTCGAAAGTGCCCATAATATTCATACCCTGGGTGCCAGAGCCTCATTCAAGGCCCATGACCAATTTTACATCCCCACACCTTTTGGTAATCCTTGTTGTGAGCATTTTTTGGGTGTTTCTAAAAGTAGAGCGAAAAGAATTATTTTAGATCATCGACTCAAAAGGTCATCCCTTTGCTCATTTCGCATTGCACCTAAGCAATTAAAGGACACTTTTTGGTTATTCAGTTGGCAAAAAGGGGTAAATCGGTGAGTTGCAAAAAGACCAGGCGGAGAATAGGGGAATGAACGCCCGAGAGCGAAATTTATGGGAATAAGGGCTTTTGGTCAATTTGAAGATGCTGATTTCGAAAATCGATGTTATACGGGGATTTTGGGGGGCCTCAAGGTCGTCTTCTGAGTCACTGCACACGAAGCTCTAAGTATAGCTCCTTTTTTATTTCAGCTTGGCTTAGCGAAAGTTCCCAGGTATGTTTTTGGTTACAAGCACCACTCTGACGACAGAATCCTTATTCGTTCCAACCATGATCTATCTACTAGGAAGCCCAACTGAAGCATCAAACCGTCAGCTTGTCTCAAAACCATAGCGATACAGTTTGCAGAGTCCCCTTACTCAAACCATGCCCCTTACTCAAACCACCCCTTGTCCAAAACTTTAAATAGCCTGTCAAGATTGAAATCTATTTTCCACTTCGCTGTTTCGCAAGACAAAAATAAACATAATTTTAAAGAGAGAAACGTTCTCAACGATTCCACGTTACAAGGACCCTGTGATTTGCTTCCCATGCCTGTTGTGGGTGGTAAGATTCGTTCTATGAAAACAGAACACCATATGAAATATAAACTTTTACCAACCCGGTAAGCATACATACGATGCTGTGAAGATTGAAAGTGCTTGACGTTCATGAATGATGCTAGCAGTTTGGTGTATCAATGGATTCATTTTTCGAGATTTGACGTGTAGCTCACTCGCTTGACGTGGTCTCATTGACAAAAGGTAGAGTTTTGATATTGCCAGTGAGGCAAAAGCTTATTTGTTGTTTATCTAGCCTTTTATTCGCGCAGCTTGGAAGGCTATATTCTACAGCTATTTTCGAATTCTAACACTACTTTCAAGTTCAAAGACCTAAGTCTTTTTCTAGTTGATGATGCTATGGAAAGGTTTTGGAACCCAAAGCGAAGCCCTAAAGGGGAAACGAGGGAGGTTTAGGAAAGAAAATGTTGAAGGAGAGAGAGGAAAGAGAGGAAAGAAAAGGTTGATCTCAGTTTTGAATAACGATAAGTTTAAGCAAAAATCGCAGGGTGCCATGGCCTCGCCACTTTTTTACTCAATAAAAGCATTAAATCAGCTAAAATTACCTATAAATATAAATCTTTGTAAATTACAACAAATAAATTGACACAAAGCACACAAGTAAACAGCATCAGCAAAATGTTTGCAACAATTGGGGCTAGAGGGAGTAAGAGAAAAATTTCTTTACATTAGTAGCCGCTCGAGTTTAGGATCAGTGATGCGGACAATCGCATTGATATCTCATAGTAACAGAATACTTTTACAATCATCGTTGGAAGAATGAAGAGCAAGTTTTGAGAAGAAATCAGGAATGTTGCCAGTTGGATTTCATCGAATGCGCGCAAAGATAATATCTGGAAATTGCAATGGAAAGGATAAAAAGTGAAGAAAAATATTATTTTTTGTTTTGTTGTCTGCCGTCAATGACTACCTTTTTCCTGGGATTCATCATTTATCTTAATGTCACACAACGAGAGAAATATGATACAATGAATGTCATGAAACGCAATTGAAGTTTAAACATGACTTTTGCTAATTTTGGAGCCCCTGGTCAGGACCGTCGCTTGAGGAGGGTGTGGGGTTTGACACCGCCTTTAAAAAAATTCAATTGCACGAGTTTTTTGTCATCTAGCGGTGCATGGTCAGTGTAATGTATTAGGCATAAACCATTTTATACTAGCCTCAGATTGGATTTGAGGGATGAGATCAGGGTCGGAGTGAAAACATGGCGTCTTGTCTCGTGTGCTCTCTAGGTCTAGCGTTAGATCGCAGCGGATCTTAGGCATTGCGCGCGCGTACACAACAGTCAGGTAATTTTCAGCTTGCCGGAAATTTAAAGATGGGTCACCCATTTTGTCGGTAAATAGGACCTGATAACCCCCTCTGACCAGAATAGCTATTAAATTTAGCCAGAGGTGCCTTTTCTCTTTTATCTGCTTTGACCATGAACATCTCAAGCGCTAAAAAAAGCCCTGGAAGTACTTTAAAGGGTCTCTGGTGAAGAATTTTTTGAAGTGATGTTTTTGGACAACGTGAAAACTTGCATTGTCCAGAATGTCCCATCATGGGAGAGTTTCCACACTTTTCCATGACTTGCAGAATGGGCCAGAGAGGCTACCATACACAGTGGTCAGAACCAGAAGCAGACTGGCCCACCGGGACATTGGGAAATTTCCCGGCGCGTTTTTTGCTCCAAGTAATTTTTTCAAAAACTTGAAAACTGCTGAAAGGCAATTAATCTTTGCACAGAACTAAAATTGATTACAATCATCAATTGACCTCAAGTCCAAAGTACGTTTGCATAAGAAATTAAGCTTCAACTTTAAGTTGAGCAATATTAAGATTAATTGCAAAGTTTTCCAATCTCTGTTATTGTAAATTCAGTGAAGAAGAAGTTTTGATGAGCAAATTCTTCAAGATTTTCTGAAAATTTTGAAAAGAACGTATTTTGTTTTGAAAATGGCTTTGAAAAAAGCAAACATTTTAAACATACTCAAATCTCTCTTCTGAAACTTCTCAGAGCATAAAACGTCAGAACAAGGGTCGTTTGGAAAATTCGATCCACAAATGGGTAATTTCCCTTACCTTTTTATTTCCGAACCTTATTCTGACGTTTTATACTCTGAAGAAGTTTTGATGAGCAAATTCTTCAAGATTTTCTGAAAATTTTGAAAAGAACGTATTTTGTTTTGAAAATGGCTTTGAAAAAAGCAAACATTTTAAACATACTCAAATCTCTCTTCTGAAACTTCTCAGAGCATAAAACGTCAGAACAAGGGTCGTTTGGAAAATTCGATCCACAAATGGGTAATTTCCCTTACCTTTTTATTTCCGAACCTTATTCTGACGTTTTATACTCTGAAAAAGTTCAGACGAAAAAGCTTTTAGTATGTTTTAAATGTTAGCTTTTTTCAAAGCTACTTTTAAAGTCAAAAAATTATTCATATTTTGTTCTATTTACATAAGTAACTGTGGTAGCAGCCTGAAAGCCCACTCTCACTACGAACCTGGTTACCTTTGGTTACCGCGCAATACTTGAATTAATTCTATATCTGTTGAGAGGATAGTAGGAGATATCACTAGCTAACTAACAGACTGTTAAACAACCAACTACAATGACTGATAATTTTGTGAAACTAATGACTTAATTATTAATTTATATTAATATACTAATTTTTTTGACTTATGACTGATGCAAAATATTGCTAGTGCCTGATATCCAATAACTGAGGGCTCGCACTTTTGAAAAGTTAACTGAGTAGTACCAAAGTTAACTGAGTAGTACCAAAGTTAACTGAGTAGTACCATAGTTCCAATCAGAAAGGCTGTAACTGAATATTATTATTCGTATGTTGGCTATTGGGTATGGACAGGTTCACATAATCAAAGATGGGGAGGGGAGGGAGGATTTACACAAACGTTTACGGTCATTATGGCTATTTGTTTAAAGCTTGATATTATAGATATTTAGGGAGAAGGGGATTTTTCAAATATTGTCGATTTTTGATTACGTAATATGTGCATATTCCTTGTGCTGTCTCTCTTGAATAATGTCCATCGACTCTGGGCCATCAACAATCCCTTAAGATAGAGAACAATACTTCCTGAACGTCCTGTCCGTGGCAGGCTATTTTATTTGCAATTCAACTAAGAACGTAATAGGCATCTTGTTTTTTGTACTTTGAAACCAGGAGTTTTTGTACGTTGAAACCAAAAAACAAAAATGACTAACTGAAGCAAAAAATCTTGACCACTTTTTAAGAAACTTTTTACAGAATATTTTGAGGATTGATGCTCGCATGTAATAACCTTCTGCAAAACATGACTAAAAGTTAAAATGGCTGTTTTGAAAAAACTAGTTTCAAATTTACAACTAGCTATTAAAGAATTCCAAACTTTCTTCAAACATTTTTCTCAGAATAGAGACTGTTCCTTTTCTTAAGAAATTCTTTACTCTTTTTACAATGTCTACGCACAGTTTCTCATACAGAAGGAATTCCGCACGCTAAATGAACTGAAATCATATCTTTTGTAAATGATTTGCAACTTTAGCGGGAGCAACACAGTCATTAGGCTAGCAGGTGCTGAGGCACCCCTTTAAATTTTTCAAAGATATGCTGCAAAACTTTCAAAACCTATAATTTGATATCACTATTTGATACCTAAAATTGAGAGCAATACATCATTTGATACCTAAAAATTTTACTAGCCGCGTAGACGTCTCAAATACAGTCAATTTGACTGAGAATCTTCTTCATGATATTGCCAAGTATGAGTAAAAAACTTTGATTTTCAATATGGGGCATGTCCCGACGTTCTAAATAGGGTTATTTTAAAAATTTCCTGGGGCAAGCCCCTTAGCCCCCGTCTCGTTTCCAACCTTGCTCCCTGTCTGCTGTCTGTTGCAAAAGGTTTTAAGGATGAATTACGAAAATATTTGCAACAAACTGATTTTCAGCTAAGGAAGGCAAAGTTTTCCCGGGCCCGTTTTACAAGCCCCAAAGTTAAGCAACTTTAGCACCTATTGGCGCCCTTTTGCTTGCTTTTCCAGAACGCTCTTTTCTTTACAAAACAACACAGCAATCAAAAAGAGAAAGTTTAAACAGAAAAAATCGTATTCGAATTTCTATGGACCCAGGCTCAATACTATTACAAACAATCCGTCAATACTATTACAAACAGGCCTCTCAATTGACAATTCCAGCTTTTTCTTGGCATAGCAACTGGACAATGCTAACAATATGTGAGGCTTTGTGACTGTCAATTTCAGCTGTCTCTGGTGTCAAAAAAGCCTCGCTGCACATTCGCTATTCATTTATTTATGCTAGCAAAATCCGCGCGCAAGCTTTCTTGGATCGTCGTAACAAAGATTTTGCGTTTTGCAGTGTCCCTTTGTTTGGCCTTGCAGATTTGAATCTCACATTATAGCAGGTCAGATTTCGTTACTGAACCATGTTCCGCTTTTCATAGAAAATGGCCTTGAATGGAAACTTTCGTCGGCAGAAGAGTCATGCCTGGCTGAAGAGGAGCATTTTGCTGATCGCAACCTTCCTTCTGTGCACGAAGTTTTTCGCAAAAAAGTCATTCATACAGTCAGAAAAAGGTACGAAAGCGTTTAAAGTTTTAAGTTGACAGGTGTTCTTTAGCTCTTGATATTTTTCATGTCGTTTAAAAGCACTTGCAACAATTTTTATTGTTTTGAAATAGATATGCACCAAAGGATATCCAACTTAATCTTTGAAAGAAAATTGCAATTTTAACTGAACCTGAAAATTAAATTTGCACGTTTCTTGAATCTGTGTTCAAACAGATCTTGGATGCAGTATTATGTTTAGATATCAATGAGGCCAGACTCTTCCTGGATGGAACGGACTATTGTTGTAATAATTATAGAGATGGGACAGCGTTTGACCGCTCTGTTTTAGACATTTTGCTGATAGTCTTTATGAGTTAGAACAGGGGTACCCAACTTATTTCTTGGGTGAGCCATGGACAAAAGCCTACTGCACATGCGGACTAGTATGTAAATCATCGCCAAATTTTTTATTAAACAGTAAATGGATTGATAATTACAGTTACATGCAAAATTACGGAATAATAACATGGAAGTTACACGAACAGTTTCATAAAATTGGTATAAGTATGAAATGCTAATTTTCAAATGCCTGTGGGCCAACGCCAGCTAGCCAGTCCACCCCTGTTTCTCTGTATGCTTAGACTTGTTTTGTTCAGCTTCGTAATAAAAGCATCTGCTTAGAAACGTCTAATAAAGAGAAATTATGTCAAATAATGAATCATAAAATTTAATGAGGATGGCAGTTAATAAACATAGCTCAATGACCAAATCATTAAGAAATATATTGACTAAGCACGGGCCACAGAATAAGCGCGGGAAACATCTGGCCCGCGGGCAATATGATGGGCATCCCTGAGTTAGATAATCAAACTTGGTTGTGAGTAAGGAGTCTTCCCTGATCACGAGGTACAAATTCGCTGTGTTACTACACTGGCATAATGAGAAATCAATTTCAATTGGATACGTAAATAATTCGAAATGGATGCTTTGGCAATTGAATCGTTAAGATTGGTTTCTAAAACAACAGAGTTGAAACTATTAATTACGAAATACAGATAAAGTATCTATATTGCCCAAGCCATTTTTCTTTTAATGCAATTCCCTACCAAATCTTATATCTTCATTTCAGACAAAACTAGGAAAACAAAAAACTGATAAAGATGCATAAGCAGTTTGACTATTAAAATTCAAAGGATACTTTTGTGGATACACTCCTTTTTTCTAAGAACAATCTTATGAAAACTCGAGCCTTAGAATTGATCAAAATTTAAGAAAAAATAAATAGCTTTTGTCATCTATTAGTGCTTTTTTGGTGAACCTTTGAACTTATCGGCGAATAAAAGTAGTCTCATTTTGTTAGCAAACGAGCCATGAGTCCTTCCCTGAAGCATACTAGCTACAATCCCTGGAGAATTTGTTGAGACAAAATGCTATTTTTACTATTAAGTTTTATAAATGCCATTAAGATTTTTTAAACTTTTACTGCAAATTTTGCCCCTAAAACTTTGAATCCCCCCTTTTCTCCCAAAATAAATGCTAGATTTGCAGCTCTATCATTTGTGCTTTAGAAACGTGCATTCCAAATTGAATGGGGGAAGGGAAAAGTAATTTTTGAAAGAAGAGAGAAAAAATCCACTTTTCTTGAAAAGTCTCAACTATATTTGTCTGGGATGGTACAATTGTAGTGTTTACAGCCTTGTTTTTAGACAAATAAATAGCACCCAGTCAGAGCTTCAATTTACTGGTTCTTATAAAAAAACGTAGATGCGAGTGCAGTAGGATATCCTTACTTCTCAATGGTCCTTGGTGGTAAGTGATACCAATCCGAAGCACAATTCAGCATTTTGATGCAGCATGTGAACCTTATTGCCAACAAATTTTGAATTGCAGTTGACTCTAAAAACTGGCTCGACAATAGTGTTGTCTCAAGGAAACTGCTGAGCACAGTGGAGTGGGAAAAGTGCGATTATGAGCTGGGATTTGCGAGGAACTACTCGAAGCCGACGAGTGAGTGGCATTCTCCAAGCACGGCCTACCTGTGGATTGGTCTTTACGTCTTCCTGATCTTCGCCGTGTTTGTAGGTATGTCTTGCTCAAACTCCACAGCATATACTTTGCCGCGGATTTGACTGTCAATAGCGTCTCATCAGCATTGACAGTCAGAAAATTGGGGGGGGGGGGCAAAGGCAAATTGAGCGTGGGAAAAATCCACGCCAGTAAATGCTCTTTTAAAAATATATTTTTGCTATTTGGGGGGCCGTCTTCCACTCTTGCCTCCTTCACTTTGCTACTTCACTACGTTACTATGCCACAAATGGAATTATTTGTCACTGGGGCTAGCGTGCTTTCTTTAACTCTTTCAAATAAAGTCTTAGAAAAGGGAAAGGATAGGGAATGAATTTGGTACTTATTGACAAAGGGTTTACTTTGAAAGGTGTTATTTGGAATACATACAACCAAACACATTGCCGTAGAAAAACAGTTACTGATTAGACGCAACGTGTACTGTAAAAAGATTCAATTATTACTCTACCTATCGAGAACTCTGAATGATGAAATAATTATTCAAAATTGACACACGAACCTTCTTTCCCAAGCTCTGGCGATTGTTTGCGATGATTTCTTTGTGCCTTCGCTGGAGGTGATCAGTGAAAAGCTGGACTTGTCCGAAGATGTCGCTGGGGCAACATTCATGGCCGCGGGCTCCTCCGCACCGGAACTATTCACTTCAATAGCAGGTGTAACTGTTGAAAGCGATGTTGGTGTTGGCACTATCGTGGGGCAAGTAACTGGCTACATAGATTCATGGAGCTTTTTTAAAATTCTTTGATCTTCACAAAGCTAGTACAGCAAATAAGATTTTTGCCTCTTTTCATAAGACTGGGATACGAGGGAACATATTTGAGGGATGAAAAGAATAGTCCAGTAAGAGATCCCAACTTATTATTAACCCTTGATTGCTGATCAGAGGAGAAGTAAATGAAGTTTAAGGGCTTAGATCCTTGAAAACGCTTTAGACGCCGCACCCATTTGAAAGCAAGCCTCATTCTGACTTTTCAGTTCAGTAAAAACCTCTTTTTAAAGTTCCAATTTAAACCGATTGTTCACTTGATCGATTGACCATCTCAAAATATCTGCATATCTAAAATATACTTTTCTGACCTTGAATTTGACACTTTCATCTTTTATGCAATCGGCAGTTTGTGCCATCCCTAACATTGTTAGGTCTCGACTGCCAACTGTTTTGCACTTGTTTCTTTTTCTCGTGAAAAGCTCACGATTGTGTTGTGTGATAACATCTAGCTGATGACACTAACTTCATCATTTAAATTCTAGCAAGAAACGTTTGTCGTTCTCTTCCAGGAGCGCAGTATTTAATCTTCTTGGGATAGTCGCTCTCTCAGCTGCTTTTGCAGGCAAGGTTCGTATCTTGACACTTTTATCAAAGGAGTACAGAGAATAAAGAAACTATGCATGAGTCTTAAAAGAAAACTTTCACTGAATATTCTATGATGTACGTCAATCTAAAAAACAGTTTCCTCTGCTAAAAATGTACCATTTGTATTTCTTTAAAAAGTAGAGGAGGAATTTTATGGGCTAAAGACCACAGCCCTGCTCAAATCACTTTAGAGTTTGCAAGATTGATTTTAAGATCGCAGAATTCGGGAACTCTTCTGGGTAACCAAAGAGTCAAATTTCATTTTGCATTCTTTCTAGCTTGGTGTTCCTAGCCTATCTGGCGTAGATTCAACAAATGAAAGTTCTTTATAAAATTGAAAACCTAAATGGTAGAAATGATAAATCTGCTTTTATTTGACAATTATTATATTTGCGAATTGTTTTGTGATCAATATTTGCAAACAGCAACCAAATAAAACCAAATTAAAAATACATAAAAACATAACACGCTTTTTGTATATAGAACAGAACAGTTGTAAATAGCTACTCATATTTCCATTGATACTCTTTTAATTTCTGTCTACAATTTGTGTTGATTTGTGTGATTTACGAAAAAAAGAACCTTATACTTTTCTTTCCAAGCTCTGAATTCTTTGAAATTTCTGTTGAAGTGCCTTTGAAGTGAATTTTTCTATTCTTTGGTTATCTTCGCTTTAGCGTAAAAAGTGGATGACTTTTTCATTTTCTTCGATAACACTTTCTTTACTAGAGATAGTGACTTGGTTATTGTTTTAAAATATTATCTTTGTCGACTTTTTATTTTGACGATTAAACTAGCTGTCTGGTTTTGACTAGACTGCTGTGATAGCATGAAATGGTTTATTTGTAATTGCAGTTTGATCTTAAATAGATCCACAACTATCTAGCTCCAAAAATAATTATTAAGAGAATGTTTTTACAAAAATAAAAATGTTTGTCAACGAGAACTTTTTCAGTAGCTCGCAATTTTCTCCAAATCAATAAAAGACTTGTTGCTTGGCGGCCTCCATTCGCAACAACGTATAATAATATGGAATTACTTCAATCAATATTTATTTAGAAATGATTTATGATTCTCTTAGCAATTTTTCAAACTAGAAGATTTTTTCACCTCTATTTTTACCTCTGCCATGAATATTTACGAGGAGAATCTGAAAATTGAGCACTTAGTCTTTTTGTAAAGATGGGCTTACAATAAAAGTTGATTGTTTTTAATTGCAGACTTTGTGTCTTGACTGGCGGCCCTTGGCAAGGGATTCGACCTTCTACGCGCTGTCAATTGTCCTTTTCATTATGTTCGCTTGGGATGGGAAATTTTACTTATACGAAAGCATCATAATGCTGTCTCTATATATACTATACATTTCAATAATGAAAGTCAACTATAAACTGATGGAGTTGTTGGCCAAATGCAGGTAGGAATCAAATAGATATTCTTTTACTCCCTTAAAAGACATGCAAACTGGCAGACTGGCAAACTAAACTAAATTGTTTTAGTCAAAAGCAGATTCGTAAGGGCCTAATATTGCTAGGGCACGTTAACAATTGTTTTCTTCGCAAAAATGGATTAAATCTGTAACACTGTGGATCAGGTCATTTGAAATTACCTGAGCCATTTTGCTCCTCTACTCTAAGGTTGAGTAAAGCCATTGAGAGAGTTTGGTCAACGAGCAAATTAACAAATTTTGCAGAGCATCAGAATAGATTTGAATATAATAAGAATCATATTACGATGCTTCGATACCACATGAGCTATGGTTCCAATGGGTTTCAACTTTGAAGCAAAATCATGTTCAATAGTGTTCGTAGAGGGGGCTCAGAGGGGAGTGAGAGATCCCACTGTAAAGCTAAACTGCTGTTCTGTCAGAGAACATGTTGTTTACTTTAAACTAAGTGTTAAGTTTTAAGAGGAAAGATTTTAAAACTGAATATGATGACTTCTTTCATTGTTTTAAATCAGATTGGCAATCTCTTTCAATAAAGTATAATACTTAAAAATGTCTTCTTTGAGGAGGAGACCAGAAAAAGCTTCCATTCGTATGATTTAACTTTGAATAAATGATAAATCTTTATCCCTTGTTTTATTTCGGATCTGATGTCGTTATGTTATGTTCAAATATAGATAAAATGCTTTATAATTTTTGTTAGAGAGACTAGATCCTCCCTCCCCCACTTATGAATTTTTCTATCGACGCCATTAATCACGATGCTAATAAATTTCTAATTCTCTAATGTTTAACTAAATCTCTAATTATGAAGTTAAGCAGAATCTCATTACTTCATGTTCTTTGATCCAGCCGAAAAGCTCCCATCCACCCATCTCACGGAGAAGGTAAAGAAACCACTTTGGCATTTAGCCACAGTGAAAAGGCAAATGCTGAGGACTTCACGAATTGCGTGTCTCCTACAAGAAGCACGGTTGGTAGTGCCATACTTTCTGCTTTCAGTCAAAATTAGTGTTCTGTTCATCTCTCCTTCCGACATTGAACCAAACATCCAGAACCCCTCTGAAGACAATCAAAATAGGCTTTTTCTGCATGTGTGGAGTATTTTTAATCGACAATATAAGGAAATTTTCTTCCCAAATCACTAATTGCATGTCTACTAATCTCATGAAAATTGCCGAACAAACATGCCATACACAAAATATATTATACACGTTAGACCAACAACTTTCTTTATTTGGATGTAGCATATTCTTTATCCAAGAGCTGCATAATTATAAAAAGACAATGACTGGAGATTTCTAGGATACTTTTCTCGAAGAGTACAACAAACGGGATACTGCCTGCTTTTTATGGTATGGTAATACATCGTATGCATGTTGCAAAACTGAAAATATTTTGAATGCAGTTTGCCCAGATATAATCTCTTATGGGATATTTCAAATTACGAAGATTGAAAAAGAAAAGGTCAGTGCAAGAAATTGTGCATGGATCACTGCAATTGCAAAAATATATTTTTCTGATTTGCTTATCGCTTGTCTTCAATGACGTAGTAAATGGTTTTCTTCTTCCGCATACAGGAACAACACGAACACACGCGCAATGCGCTTGGTGAAAGATCAGAAACCGCGTCTCCAGTTGAATCATCGCGAAGGTTCTCGCATTTGAAACGTGGCGAATTGACACACACGGTAATGGCTTTTTACTAGAGATAGCAAACAGTTATCAACTGCACGTATTAATGCCCAACCACGGCTGTCTGTGACAACGCATGACACGTTTAAATCGTTTCCAATAACTGCTTGTAGTGCACGCACGAGTGGCTGTCACTAGAGCCAAATTCAATTTACAACGTGTTTTTTCTGTCATCTATATACTTGCATTTTTGGCCCATGTCGGGTTAATAAAATCCCTAGATAGGAGTATCTGTTTTAAGATTGCGATGCAGATTTTTCAGTTATAAAAGGTATGAAAGTTTTCTGCATCACCAGGCACACACTGGAATAATCCAAGAATTCTTCCAAATTTATGGAAAAATTCCCTAGAACGGGAACTTTTTGGCGTATTTCAGAGAAAAGTAATAAGCTTGGTTCAAACATAGATAATATTTCAAAACAAACAGATTAGTAAACACTTTGATGAGATTATATGCTACCTAGTTGTGACCGATAGCAAGTAAGGCACAATGATGGCAACAAAACATAACCTACCTCATCTACTGCCCGCTCGAAATCTAATTGAAGTTCAGTGGAGTCTTCAAAAAAATTCTCATCGAGCAATTGCAAGATGATGTTGCAATAATTTAGTTCACTCTACAACTCAATCTCCTCGACTCCTCAAAATGCTTGTGCACGTTCTATCTTGTTAAGGGCCTGGCAACTAGTTGCCTCAAAATCCGAGGCGGGTTCCTTTTATGAAGACAAAATGCTCCAGACCGTCCCAATTCTATAGACTATGATTCTACGCAATTGAAGAGCTGCCCATTTTGATTAGGACAGTTATTCTGACTCTGGAGGTTATCGCCGATAACAAAGTAAGCACTATTACTTTGAAGTGCTTCGGATTCTTTGTTTCAATTTTGTGTGCGGAGACCAAACGTCACTTGCATATTTTACATGAGAACGTACTACTGGCAACAGAAGTATACTTTTAATTGCCTTTTTCCTTAGAAAAGTTCTCGTTAACAAGACAAAAGATTTATCCTTCAAAGATGGTTGAAGTTTATCTCATTTTTCTAGCATAGTTTGTGAAATTTTATATTTGAAGAGAGACAGCTACTAATACCATAAAATTCTTTTCTCTTGAAGATAATTGGCGCTCACGATGGTGTGGGAAGACGCCCATCTTTTATATCAGAATCGCATGAAGACAGGCGCACTGGATCTCTCCTCCACAGCGAAAACAGCATTGATATAAAGGAAAAGGAAAACTTGGATCTGAGCTGTACGCGTTCAACAGAACCAATAACAAACGGATCATTTCAATCTAAATGTGATCCTAAAGACTTGGAAGAGAGTAAAAGTGATGCAAAGGAAGATGAAAACGAGGAGGGAATAAAAGTCTGCTCGTGCTTTCCGCCAATCAAGACCGAGATACCATCGCGAGATGAAGGGAAACGAGGCTGTATATCTCTCATTAAAATTATCCTTCATTGGATTCTTTTCCTAGTTTCATTTCCATTTGTAGTCGGTTTCAGTTGGACAGTTCCTGACTGCAGCAAGCCGAAATTACAAAGATATTTCATAGTCTCGTTTGTAATGTCTGTTTTTTGGATTGCTGCACTAAGTTTTGCGATGGTTACACTGGTCGGCAGAGCCGGGTGCATATTAGGAGTAGACAAATTTACAATGGGACTGGTAGTGGTTGCAATTGGAACCAGTATTCCGGTAGGTTTCATCAATTTTTTCCATTTCTTTCCATTTCTATGCCTGTTTGTATTGCATACATAATTACATGTTGCCGAAGTAATGCAGTAATTTTGCAAAGAGTTTTGAATGGAAGTGAGAGGAGAGCTGTGCAAGTACGTGAATATCCGGGCACTTCACCCTCCAAGTTCGTTCAGGTCGGAGCACGGAGATTAGTTCATGACAGGAAAACAAAATTAGTTCAGGACATGACCCAGATGTGCAGGTGCGGACCCAGAGAAATCTATGACCAGGTTATATATGAATGCATTTAATTAGGAAACATATTCTGCCCCTGGAAAAGTCTAATCTCTTAGACCCCTTAAGTCTCTTAGATCCCGAAAATACCTACCCTCCTCTGTTTGCTGTAAAAAGAATGTCCATTGCCACCGTTTTATGTCAATCAGAAAATTTTGTATAGCAGATTTTGAAAGAAAATTTTCTATTGCCAACAAAGAGCTTTCAGGGTGTCCTTGAAGGGGCTCTGGGGGTTATTCATTATAATGATAAAAGAATTCGCCCCTACAAAATAAAAAGCCTCTTTGAACTTCCCAAAACTAACGGCAACAAAAAATTATTTTCTGTTCATATATTTTTTTGCTCATTTTGCTTTTGCCCTTGTGGGTTCAACAACCTTGCTTTGATTTTAGCATCTGTTGCTTCATTTACTAGTTATTTTAAAAAATTCTCTTTTTCTTTCCCATACTCTATTGACTTCACTAAAATGCAAAGGGAGACCATTTGATTCCATTGCATAATTCAGATCTACTACGCCCAACCCGGTCAGGACCCGGTCAGAACTCAGTCAGAACCCGGTCAGAACCCGGTCAGAACCCGGTCAGAACCCGGTCAGAACCCGGTCAGAACCCGGTCAGAACCCGGTCAGAACCCGGTCAGAACCCGGTCAGAGCCCGGTCAAACCTTTAGAAGCTGCTTGGAGCTTCATATTTCGCAATCTTGAGCGGTTTTTGACCAGGTTGAAGGCCAAAATAAGCTTTGATATGGTGACCGGGTTAAGATTTTCTTCTGTTACGCATCCTTGAAAAGGCATACTGGAAAAACCAGACCCTAGGACCCCTATGACCCCTATGACCCCTAGGACCATTAACTACGAAGAACAAAAAAGGACCCTTAACTACTACATGATTTGCGGCTTGACACACTATTACATAACTTGATTGCTTTACAAAAGGTCACATTGTTTGTGCAATCAAGATGGTGAATAACTGAAAAATTCAAATTTTGTGCCAGAGGTGGAGCGACGAAATATCCATAATGATAATGAATAATGTTGATAAGGTTAAGGGAGGTGATAATAATAATCATATTGATAAACATTATTATCTCTATATTTACTAAAACATAGAAAAAGTAATTTCTAGAAATCTGACCGGTTTTTGAAACCTGTCAACTCGGTCTAGATCTGCGCCTGGATGTGTTCGCTTTAGGACGCAGACTAGTTCATGTTAGAAAAGCAAGACGAGTTCAGGACATGACACGGATGTGTTCGGGTTAGAACACCAATTATTTCATGTCAGAAAAAAAAGATTGGCTCATGCCAGAACACGAAAATTAGTTCATGAATCATGACAGAACATAAAGATTAGTTTAGGACACATTTGGTGTGTCTTAGAACAAGCAGATATACGTAGATTAATTCATGTTTTGACAGTGATCTAGTTCAGTTCAGAACATAGAGATTCTTTAATGACAGGGCAACAATATTAGTTCAGAACTGGACAGAAATTAGTTCAGTACACCAAACAGTTCGTGCTAGGACACTAGATAGTTGAGCTCAGAATAAAGAGAATAAAGGTCCAAGGTGGGACAGTGACATCAGATGATAACAGGACAAAAGTCGATCATTTCAGAGCGCAGAGATTGACTTTTATCAGGACAAATATATGTTATGGAGATCGATAAATTCACGTTAGGACAACCAGTTTAATTCACGTCAGGACAATGGGGTTAGTTCAGGTCATTAAAACAAAATTAAGACTGGACAAGATTAGTTCACGTCAGGACAACGAAGTAAGATCATAACAGGACAAGACTAGAGTCAGGACAATGAGGACTAGAGTCAGGACAATGAAGGCTAGAGTCAGGACAATGAAGTTTGATGAGAACAGGACAAAATAAGTTCAGGACAGGTCCACGTTGTTAGACCAAAAAACAAGATTAGTTCAGGTCAGGACAACAAAGTTAGATCATAACAGACCAGTCTAGTTTAGGTCAGGCAACGAAGTAAGATCCTAACAGGGCATGATTAGTTCAGGTCAGGACAACGAAGTAAGATCATAACAGGACAAGACTAGAGTCAGGACAATGAAGACTAGAGTCAGGACAATAAAGTTTGATGAGAACAGGACAAGATAAGTTCAGGACAGGTCCACGTTGTTAGACCAAAAAACAAGATTAGTTCAGGTCAGGACAACAAAGTTAGATCATAACAGACCAGTCTAGTTTAGGTCAGGCAACGAAGTAAGATCCTAACAGGGCATGATTAGTTCAGGTCAGGACAACGAAGTAAGATCATAACAGGACAAGACTAGAGTCAGGACAATGAAGACTAGAGTCAGGACAATGAAGTTTGATGAGAACAGGACAAGATAAGTTCAGGACAGGTCCACGTTGTTAGACCAAAAAACAAGATTAGTTCAGGTCAGGACAACAAAGTTAGATCATAACAGACCAGTCTAGTTTAGGTCAGGCAACGAAGTAAGATCCTAACAGGGCATGATTAGTTCAGGTCAGGACAACGAAGTAAGATCATAACAGGACAAGACTAGAGTCAGGACAATGAAGACTAGAGTCAGGACAATAAAGTTTGATGAGAACAGGACAAGATAAGTTCAGGACAGGTCCACGTTGTTAGACCAAAAAACAAGATTAGTTCAGGTCAGGACAACAAAGTTAGATCATAACAGACCAGTCTAGTTTAGGTCAGGCAACGAAGTAAGATCCTAACAGGGCATGATTAGTTCAGGTCAGGACAACGAAGTAAGATCATAACAGTGCAAGATTAGTTTAGGTCAGGACAACAAAGTTAAATCCTAACAGGGCAAGATTAGTTTAGTTCAGGGCACAGAGATTGGCTCTTATCAGGATAGTAAAATCAAAAAGACCTGAACACGGAGGTTAGTTCATGACGTAACACATATTGGTTGATGCCAGTTCAAAGAGATTAGTGTATCACCTTAGAAGAAATTGATTCGTTCATTTAGGAAGCCGCTTTTATTCAAGGGCAGAAAACCTGATCAAATGTAACTTCTTCTACGATTTTTAATTAGTTAATAAGGAGGAAAAAATGGCCGGTATATTGTTTAATGACAGCTAAAGCTATATGTAAGCAAATTACAGAACTGGTAAGGGCCTTGAAAGTTTTGAAGCATATTGACGATCAAATAAATTGGTATATGGTCATCATTCAGCCTGTGAGGTATCTTAAAGAAGTGCAGAGAATGAAAGATAGAGTGATGATAATGCCATCGAGATAAAATAAACCGAATGCCAACAATTGATTTAATTTTTTTATCACAGTGAAGTGAACTTAACGTTCTCAAAAGCTCTCTATCCAAACGTTTTTAGGACTCTAATTGATAATCTATTATTCTCAAATTATAGGACGCACTGAGCTCGATTCTTGTAGCAAGAGATGGGTATGGTGACATGGCGGTTTCCAATGCAATTGGTTCCAACGTGTTTGACATCGATTTAGGTCTCGGGCTTCCTTTTGTCATAAGCATACTAATTAGGAAAATGAAGCCTGTTTTACTGCTAACACCCAAAGAGGAGGTGAGTTCTTAGTCAGTTTTTGGCACACTTCGTCTACTTGTAGAATGTAAAAGCAAAGATCTCCCTGCAAACCTTCTGCATGCGTAATAATTTAGGTGCAAATTCATAATGTCATATGTGCCAAAAGTGGTTAATTTGACTATTCTGGCCATTTATCGTTCTGATCTGCCTGGGTTTCGACCGGTAAATTTGCTACACCAATGCTGCAGCTCCTAAGACATCTCTACCAGCTTATTCAGATCCACCCACAGTCCCAACGATTCTACCACAACAATGCACATCAATAGGTTGTAGTCTTGGTTAACTTTTCAAACCAAGTAATTTAAACACGCTATCGTTTTTTTCAGGAGGATTACAAAAGCGGCAAGATCATAATGATTCCTCACGTGAAGTTTGGCTTTCTTTTGCTGCTTATTTTATTGCTGTCAATAATTTCATTTGCAATAGCAAGATTCAAAATGAACAAAAAGTTAGGCATAGTGTTTGTTATATTGTACATTTGTTTTGTAGCGTATGCGTATATCCAAGATATTTATTGCAATAATAATTGCTAGATTGTTAAATTCGTATGAAGTAAAAGTATGTAAGAAACAAAAATTGCTGTAAATATCTGAAAATGCCAAAGATTAGTGAATTGTGTAGTTCATGTGTAGGCGGCATGTAGATTAGGATAGAAGATAAAAGATTGTATTTATCAATAGAAAGTACTTTACGACATCGTTGGTCCCCTATGGAATAATGGGTTGTCCAGTTGCAGCTTTAATAATTAACTTGAACCTAAAAGAGTTCAACATATCAAGAAGTGCAAAATAGCAATAAGTACAACATAAATTCCTCAGGATTCTCGAGAGAAGTCTGAAAAGGCCCAATCAATTTTTCTTAAACAACTTAATATTGATGAATTGAAAAAGAAACGTTTTCCTTTCCTTTTACTGCTTTTAGCTTCACTATATGCAAGATGACAAGTAACCAGCTCTTCTCAAAACGAGAAATTCCTTAAACCACCTTTCTGCTTTGCAAACTTCAAAATCTTTTGCAGAAGATAGTGTAAGTCGTAATTTATGTTTATTTTTATTGATACGGCTGGCTCCGTTATAAACATATCTCATATTGGACAAAATCATTTTCACTTGCACGACATTTTCATATTTATTTCATTGGTGTCAAATAAAGTTGCAGAATGGACTGAAACGCGATAAATTGTTTCCATCTAGGGTCAAACAAAATAAGCACAACTTTATTAAGATGATGAAAGAAATTGAATTAAAATTTGGAAGCCCAGACTACTGCAAGTATTCTAATAATGTCACATTGAGCAAAGAAAATAATCTATTAGGATAAAAGTAATGTAAGCATTATATCACGAGAGACCATTTAACTAATAAACATTCGGTAGATACTCTCTGGCTCTGTACAATATACATCCCCGTTTAGCTCAGATCGATGGAATTTAACGCTTCCTCTTTTTAACCCCTTCTATTAGATAATCAACGGATTTGGGAAGAATTTGATAGATAATTATCGGGTTTATAAAGTTCAAGAAAGAGATTAAATAGCACAATATCTATATATTTTCATACAAAAACGGAATTTTCTAATTGATAAAAGTAAACACAGATGAATGAGCACATTCGTTGCTTCAACAATATTTATGCTTCGCAAATTAACAGCCCATTTCACATGAAAATATTACACCTAGCCCCCCTCTTCTTACCTACTATACTTTATATAGCTCGAGTTGAGAATAAAATATGCTAGGTCGCTACCGAAGTGAGAAGCAGTCGCGGAGGCAATTGATGCCGTCAAGCAATTTCATCTGTAGGTCGACTTTATAGAGTTCCTCGAATTCTTTAATCTGTATGAGAAAAAGGAGAACGGTATATGCAACAGTTCTCTTTGATAACAAGCATCAAAACTATCCCGTCAAAATAACGTGAATTCGGGCTTTGTTTCGAGATTCCCAGAATGCAGAAGGAGAGATCCTGTGTTCAGCAAAATGACATCAAACGTAATGTCAATTAACCATAAAGTGTGTGTCGTTTGAACATCTAGATGTGCATCAATGTTATTGTAACATTAAATGTGTGATAATTCTGCTTAATATAGATTTTGTCCTATCTATTACCAACACATGCCTATCTCTTCCGCTTCGAAATTTCCTTACAGGACAACAAATTATATTTGCAGGCTTTGCGAATACCAAAGCTCCAAGTTCTCAACCTCTTTAACAGCTCTATTAGATAAATATCTATCAATGCCGGTGTCATATGCGTTTCTGCATAGTGGCTGCTTTCTAACTTACAAGTCTAACTTTTATGTTTCTGTTGCGATGGTTCATTGTAGCTCACAAAACTTTGTTAAAAATTGTTAGAAAACGCCCAATCGTTGAAACACCTACGTGTCCCAACTAACTCATATCGGCTTCACGTCATTCACAGCTAGGCCGTACATGTCCGCCATTACACTTTGGCGCTTGAAACGCTTATGCGTCTCAGCCATGCAGAAACACAAAGCAAATCGGCCACAGGCGCATGGAGGCCAGGGGGTGCCAGAGACACCAATGGGAAGGAAGGCTTAAGTTCTCAACCATGGAGAATCAGTCCCCTGGTGCTCCAGCAGAAAGGTTCTTAAGGGGTGTCAAGCCCCAAGTTGTGCCAGTCAGTTCTCTCCTGTGCAGCAAACACAAAGTTATTTTTCTATTCGCATGTTTTTCCTTGTTAGAATGTGGAGAATGCAAGATATAGAGAGACGACAAGATAAAGTTTTATGACTTCTCTTTACCAAAACATAACCAAAAACCCCTATTTACACGAGTAACTAAGAACTACCACAGCCCAAGCTGATTAAAATTAAAATAATGGAATAAAAGAATCTTGCATAGGCAGCAGTCTAGGTCTAGCCCATCCACCATTCCTCCCAGAGAACGCAAGCACCCAGAAAATCAACATTTGGACTCTTTCTCTTGAACCAAACGGCTCTTCTCACATTCTATTCCAAGATGTTCAGATTATCAAAGATCACAGATTAATTCAATGTGCCTACAGAGAAACAGATGTGCCTCTTTGACCAAAATGCGTGCTTGTTGGTTTAAATGGCCTGCCTCGATATTTCATGCAGCTCGAGCACTAAATTTTTCGTGGTTATGATCGTTGATATATTCCATCCTGTTGCAGAAACGGCCAAAAAATAAAGAAAACATAGGAAGACAAATCTCAAATACACTCTTTTCCTTTTATAAGAACAATTTTATAAGAACACGATCCTGAAAATTGAACAAAATTTAAGAACAAATTAAGAACAAGCTGAGACTGAGCTTCTGCAAAATGCAATTTGGAGCAACGTTTTTCTCAAAAATGAGAATTTTTGGTCATGTGTGGGTGCTTTTTCGGCGGACATTCAAACTTGTCGGCAAATGAAGGTTGTCTCACTCACCTTGTTGGCAAACGAGGCCTGAACACCTCCTCAGAGCGAAAAAGCTAGCAATCACACTGCTTACCCCCTATTGATATAAGAACAATTTTAGAACGATCCAGCCTCAGATTTTCGAAAAAAATAAGAACAGTCAGCCTGAACTAAAATTTACTGGTTCTTATGAAAAAGAGTGTATACAAACTGTCATTCAAAAACAAAGTTTCAGTTGAACAACGTGAATAGTTGTAAGGTTATACTGCGATACCCAACAGCAGCCTGGGCACAAGTACCAAAGTCTAAAAATAGCTGTTTGTGATGTTATAAAGTTGGAGTTGCATCTAATTTTATTCAGCACGTCAAATTACGCCAAGGAACAATGATGTTCAAATATTTTTTACTCAGTTTTGCAAGATCTTGCAACTTGCTTTGATAGATAGTTATGCGAAATTCCCTGTATATTATGAAGGGTTATATACGAAATTACGGACTTGTCGTCACATTTAGTTTAGCCGTGCTCGTCCAAAAAACCCTTAAATTAATTCCTGGCACGTAGGCTACACTTTTCAGGGATGCAGCAGCAAGCAACCACCTAGTTGGGCACAATACTCAGAAACCTGACGTTTCAGGGACAGTTAGTTCCTTTGAAATCTTTGAAATAGGCACCTCTTTTCGGTTAATTTCTAACGTTTTGCTCAGTTCATCTTTACAATTTATAACTTCTTTAATTGTATCACCCAAAGCAAGTTGCAAGTGATGACCGTAGCAGTCAATGTGTGAAGTGAAGATCACTCTGGGCTCCCCAACTTCTAGTAGAGTTGACACACCAGAACCCTACAAAGAGGTTGACCCCCTCCTGCCCCCTGTTCCGACGGCCCCCTATTCTGCAAGATTATAGTACATGTGATAATGATTTCAGTTCCTGTGACCTTATATCAAAATCAAATGATATCAAAAAACCCAGCCGGGTCGCCTGTCTATGTCAATTGAACCGTGAAAACAAATCTGACTATAGTCACGTGCTTATGACCAAAAGGTCTGTAAACTTGAATCTCATTGGGTTGTAATTCATGACAGACGATATTTGATTGGCTGCATGCGGGATAGTCGCAACAACTTAGAAAATTGCGCGGTAATGTTCTAAGATAGTCACGTGGGCATTACTACAAATGGTCTATCAAGTATCTATCAAGTCTGGACTAGTCTAGCATTTGATCGCGTGGCACATCGCACGAAAGAAAGCAAATTGTTGAGAAAGTCGTGATACGGCCAAGAAAAGCCAAGCTGAAAACATTGATGTAAATCTGTCTTATAAAAGGTAGGTGTAGCGGAATCATTCTTCACGCAAGTTTTGATGTAAATGCAATTTATTCAACCTCAAGTGTAGTGCTTGGTGAACTGCCCTTAGGCCGTCGTCGAACATACCAGAAGAATTTGCCGCGCACGATATTTGAATATTTAGGTTCGTAATTCGTGAACAGTCGTGCGTGTAAAATCCTAATTGGAATAATCCAACTGCGAAATGACCTTCATTATACAATCGGTAGACCTCCCGCACAACTTCTTGTGCTTTCTTAGACCTGCAGGGCATCATGCATAGTTTTAATGGGTCTTGTAAAGTTTTGTAATAAAAAATAAATTGAAAGACACTTCTAACAATCTTTTAACCACCTGAAACTTGAAGCACACTTCTAAACCCCTACCCCTCTACTTCTAAATTTTTTGTTTTTTTCCACATTTATTTTGGTTTCTTATGACTTATTCTTCTTTATCAATTAACTTTACTGTTCTGTTATGTTCAATTCAAAATAAAATCTATACATAATCTTATGATACTTTCATGTGTCCTTCAGCATAATAAAAACTTATTGACTTTTTTGGACATCTTATTGTTTTAATTTTTGAAATTTCTAGAAATGGTTTTTTATGTCAGTATATCGTAAATAATATTTGTGTTTGCTGAAAAAGATTTTGAGATTAAGTTTGATTTTGAGTTTATAATAGGAGAAGTTACCAAGGTCTCCATATTTTCAAACTAAACCTTGATTCCACCAAACAAGGATTTAATCATTCTCTAGCATTACGCCTGGAATAACATTCCAGTTCATATCAGAGAACTGTCATCACTGCACCTATTTAAAACACATGTAAAAAGGCATTTCTTGAGCCTTGATAATTAATTCAAGCCCCTCAACAATGACTGCCAATCGGCACAAGAGGGGAACAATGTAGCTGATGTTTATATTGTACAATACTACAGAAAGTTAAATATGAATGAAATAAGTTAAATCCAGAATAGTTTTCAGGGCACGAGCAATTGACCCTGGCCCAAAAAGCTATACAATACTACCGAAAGGGAAATATGAATGAAATAAGTTATATCCAGAATAGTTTTCAGGGCACGAGCAATTGACCCTGGCCCAAAAAGCTTACAACAATAATCATTCTTTATAAGAAATAGAAGGGGAAAAACTATTCACACAAGAAACTCAGAAAATTCACTGTGCCTGTCCTACTGCTAAAATTGTCTTCCCTCTGCAAGCTCTTACTATAATGACTGTTTAAAAGGTTTTTCGGATATTTATTGGCAATATTAGCTTGTATATCTGTGAATTGTTTACACTTCATGTGTTACTAGTTACTGGAGAAAAGAAAAGCTTAGTACTGGGAACAGCAAGGAAACAAATTTTGTGCAATCGCTAATTGATATTTTTCTAGCCAGTTCTTTTGTTCCTAAAGAAAAAGGCAAAATAGATGGACTTTAGTTATTGTGATAGCATATAAATATTATAAGCCTGTTATAGCATATAAAATAAGCACCAGAGCATACTTTTGTAGTCTACTTCTCTAGCCCAAAAAAAAATGCCAGAGAGGCTCGAGACCCCAAGGAGGCAAGCACCTATGGCTCTTTCTGTTTTTTGTATGATCAAGGTATAACCAAAGACAGGAAAGAGTTTTTTTGGTCATTCTGCTTTGTAAATAAGCTTTATAAAATCAATGAATGTACTTATACATTTTCAGTAGATTTGCCAGCAGTTAATTATGGACCCATTTTAAGAACTGAAAAACAGTGACACCAGAAAAAGCTGTGTTTATATACCCTTGTTTGTCTTGTTTCCCCCGAGTTTTTTGCAGTTAATAACAACTGTCCCATAGGATGCCTTATTTATCTGCACCAAACTAATAAATGACCCTGTTAGGTAAATACAGAAAATATATCAAATTATAAGATGAAAAGGAAGAAAATATCAATTACAGAATGCAGTTGATACCCGGGATATATTGTTACATATTTGAAGATTAAAAGAACACGTGTAGCCTAATCTTGACCTGTAGCCTGTAGAGTCATGCATGTGGTTTCCTTATGATCAGGATTTTTCTTTACGTGCAGTTCTACACAAATGTGGAGTTCTAAAAACTTGTTGTGCACCTGTAACAGCAGAAACGAACACAGCAGAAAAAAACAAACTTCAATAAAGGAACAAACGATAGCAAAAAGTTATCAACGATGATGCTCAAATTTAACAAACACCTTTTGGAAAAATGATAGGTGTAGAAAAACAATTGATAGTAAGAGGATATAGTGTAATCAAAACTTCACTAATGTTTTCATTTATGTGTCAAGAACCAGTTTGAACTCAATAAAAATCTAGTGCCAAAAAATTATATTGTCACAAGTTTCAAATTTGAATTTCACAGACTGTCAACTGTATACATACGTTTGTGATTAAAGCAGGCCTCTTCGGTAAAAAACAACCCAGGCTATGAAAGGCCCTTGCCAGTTTGGCTGCCTGGGCTATTCAGCCCTTGCAGAACTGTTGTTAATTTTTTTACATTTTAGTATTTACAAAGGCAAAAATACATTACCTTGCCAATTCTTCAAACATTTCTCACCTTAAGGAGGCATTTTTATGTGTATTACTACCTTTAAGTTTTGTATTACCACTACTTACAGGGAGACAAAAGCTTTTGGAACATAGCTTTTGGAATAACGCAAAAAAATTTTAGGTTTTGCTAGTCAAATGTGACTTTTTGGAAATACCTATTTTATATGTCATGACTTGTAAAGATACTTTTTGGTATTCAACAGCATGGTATAACATTTCTCATTTTGATTATTTGCAGCATTAACCACACTTTATGTTATTCCTTTCGTGCAAACACATTCCTATTGCCTGCGTCTCTGGGAAAGGCCTGACTAAAGACAGCTTCCTGCTTTGGCATCATAAATTTCATCCGTCTAATGAGCATTACTTGAATAATAAAGACAATATTAAAATTGTGTTAACATTATCTATCAAAACTCTATTAAATGTGTTCCATTCACTCAATTTTGTTTCTTGAGATTCTACACAATTGAGTTTTGTTACTTTGAGATGCTTTATAACCATTTTCCTTGTTTGTTTAAAAATTGTTTTTCTATTTATAATAATGCTTCCAAGTTGAATTAGAATCAACATTATAAATCAATGTGGAAAAACCTTCTTTAAAATAGAGTGATATACACTTTTTCCCATAGGCCTTGGGGACTGCGGAAGCAGCAGGGATGGGGACAGAAGGAGCTTTCCCCCCCTCCCCCCCCCCAATGATAATTTCCAAAATGTACTCAGGACCATACAAAAAATGCCCTGCTCTTGGTCTTTTAGCATGCTCAGCCTCCCAAAATGTTTTAGGCAATGAAGTATGCATAATTTCAGAGTCTACCAATACCAGCAAATAACATGCTTTTTATGCAAACTTGTAAGAACTAAGAATTATCCCTTCAACACAGTTCTCTCAAAAATTTTGTGCAACTTTAATTTTTCCTTAAAGAAAACCCTTTTCTTATTCATGGTTTTTTTCAAAAGGGAGGAGTCATGATTAATAGTTGGTGCTATGGGGCTAGATAAAGTTTTTGAAAAGGTCAAATTATTTTTAATGACCCATCTTATATTGACATAAACTTTGCAAACCCACTACTTTTTCTGATTTTATGCCCTCCCAAATCAATATCAGTTTCAGAAATACATATCTGCAAATGTTTTTGTGGCCCTTCAATCATCTGGTCCCAAATATATTTGTGTCAAACCTTTTTAACACAGGCCCTTTGGATTTTTTATAAGAAATTATTGGTAATTCTTGCTTGCCTAACCCAATATAAATCTGCTAACTTTAAAGTTGAAATAAAAAAGTTTTCCTTTGCATGCTATTGACAAGTACTGGGTTGTCTGAAATTCCAACAGATCAGAAACATTTCTATTTACTTTCTCCTACGCGTACCCACTCAAAGAAGTCCCAGGGTACATACACAGCTTTTTTGGGCACCGCAGAAAAGCGTGCTGCTATGAAAGGGTGCAGAACTCTATTTCAAAGAAGCCTTCCGTATTAGCGAATGATTATCGTCCTTTCAATTTTATCCTCTTCATGCTCTCCTTAAAGTACAGAATAAGTGATAGTGGCATGTTGATCTGCTTACTTTCTCATAAGACGGGTTCAAGTTCCCAAAACTGAAAACCGATGAATAGCCATTTTTGTAGTTGAAACAGAAATGGATGAAGCTTTGTAGATTACAAGGAATTATGGTTTATCAAAAAGCTTCTGTTTGGCATAAACGACTGGCTTAAAGAATGCTCCAAGACAGCTGTTTGAGGAAAATGTTTAGGGATTTTTTCATGTGGCACTCAAATATTTCAATCATGCATGCCAAGACTTATAATTATCCGCCGAATTATGCCTGCCCACGTGCTACGAGTGGAATCGCCGTAAATCTACTTGATCTAGTAGATAACTGTTTCGTCTGTTTGAAGCAATAAATCAGTGAAATCCTGTTTTGAGCAGACTGTTGCTGAATAATACGATAATCTATTGAAAAACTGGCGTACAAATCAGAAGCACGTAGAAGACTAAACCTGTTCGAATCAGAGCAAGTGACTGGTAGTGCGTGAATGGGTGCTGATAAAATTGAACAATTACGAATAAATGGGCTGGTTATGAATGGGCGGGCTATTGCATCACGCATAATAGGACAGTTGCAGTGAAAGGTACCTGTCATATTTTAAGGGTAGGAGAGTTGCCTGTGGTTACAGGTGAACAATCATTCGCACAATATGTCACGTGACCGAATGCAAACTCTAAGCACGTGATAAGATATGTATTTTTCACTAGAGCAAAGTTGATAGATATTTCATCATCTGGAAGACAGATATAAACAATGATGAGGGAGGTCGTTAAGAAATGTAGAACGCAGATGTAAGCATAGACGCAAATCGGAAAGAAACATAAACTTTAGGCAAGTATAGCTCTCAGTAGTCTACCACGTTGGATATATTTATTTTGATAAATACCATGTCAACAAACTAACTTGTATTATGAAACGAAGAGATTATGATTGGCATTCTATATGGATTGATATGCAAGTTTTTCGTAACTGTTTTGAGAATTGAAAAGATATTTGGCCACAGTTTGTGATATAAACATTAAATAAAAGCTATATGAATAGGTAGGGCACTATTTAGCAATATTGCCGTAGTGATAAGTGTTAAGATTTCAATTTCTTCTTGTCAGCAACTTCCAGCCACCATTGTTATCCTGTTTGGATTTAAGTGTAACTATAGTCCCTGACAAAGATCGCCTCCAAACTTGTTGTAAAACAGTGTAAATTCTAGGTAGTGTTTCATTTAACTATTCTGGTTGCCATCGGAGAGTTCATGAAGTTCTTCTTGCGATTTTCCTAAAAGAACATTACATTGAGTATAAAAGCAAGATAAAAACAGAAGTTGGAGATTTCCCGACACTTGCTGTCGGCATTTCAATTCATTTCATGGGGTTAGAAGGTTCTGTGCAAATTCCATTTCTTTTCTTGTTTAATTCTTCTAAATCAATGCATTGTAAATTAAATATTGACAAAACCGGCATCTTAAATAAGTTTGTTGGAAATGAAGTTGTTTTTGGTTTTAACAATTTTGTCGATAGTGAGTGAGGTATTGTAAGGACAAATTTTGTTTATGGTACGCAGCTGATCAAAAAGAAATTCTTTTGCAGCTAATTTTAAGAGATCATTTGTTTTCATTTTTAAGATAATCGGCTCGGCCATCAGGCAATAAACCTAATTTACGAGCAACAATCACTGCTTGATTTCATTTATCAATCGGAACTCCTTTTTTCTAAAAATTAAATTTTTCACTTATTTCTTGTCTTTCAGCATCGAACCCATTTGATAACATACAATAGACCCCACCTTGGCCCTACCTTGAGTTCAACAAAGGCATCTCATTCCCATCCGCTATATTACACTTTAGAGCAATATTCATCTCCGCCCGTTCACTTGCTGCCTGTTATAATTTCCAACGTGCTACTGTTTTTTAATATTATACCTCCTGAATGACGACAGCTTTGGTGCTACAGTCTTATGAAATCTCGTTTCTGGCCTTCGTTCTTTTGATAACTTTTTGCTTAGCGAATTGATTGATTAATAAATTTCTTAGTTAGGTAGTTAGTTTAGTTAGTTCGTTCGTTAGTTAGTTAGTTAGTTAGTTAGTTAGCTAGTAAGTTCGTTAGTTAGTTAGTTAGTTAGTTAGTTAGTTACTTAGTTCGTTAGTTGGTTAGCATGTTATTCAATGTGTAATATGTGTCTCTTTTTTACAATTTAGCTATCCAGAACTATCCTTGAACAAGTATCGAATGCCTGTGCTTGAAGTAGGTTAACAGACTTGCACTGGCTTACGCCTCTTTTATATTAGATTTCTTGAAATCTTCGCAATTTTTCCTTGAAATCTTTGTGCTAAGGTAAAAGCTGAAATACACGATCTGCTATATGTCAAAGCTGTCAATTTGAACTTATCGTGTATTTCAGCCTTAAGCTAGCCTTTAGATAGGCGATCTGAAAATAGCGAACCGGCGATGCATACGCATTGTAAAGAATTTCAATGTGATCACATGAAACTATCACATCAGTTGATCGTCTGAAACATACTTTTCATAAAGTGATCACGTGCAATTTTTCTCGTGATACTGCGCTGCCATTTGATAATAGGCTAGGAATATTTTCCTCTATTTGCTCGCTGCAAGTGCGCGCTTTTCTTCTTGCACAAGCCCCTAAAGGTGGCCTCATGTCCATCCAAACGTTTTCTATATACGAGTTATTATATCCATCCAAACCTACACAACAGGAACTCATTGCACTAGGTTTTTTGTTTTTGAAACCAGGAAAAGAAACTTGTGGGATTTCGTTATGATATTTCATTACGAACTTTCTGTATTATCACTTTTCTAAGAAAACCTAAAGATATGGTCGTTGGACCGCCTCTTGTTTTCTTTATCATCCTTTATCCAATCTCTTTTTTTACGATTGTAAGGTGGTGCAATATATGATAACATTAGTTCAATAAAAAGCACAATTCACTCCTGACACGCTGAATCGATGGGTGTATGAGTTTAAAACTTTCGTCTTTGGTGCGGCTCCACTGTACTTTGCTTGTGGAATGAATTTCAAAATTAGACTTATATTTATCAAAATTTTGTGTTTTTGTATTTCGCGCTGCTTAGTCGCATTTATTTGATCTGCCTTCATTCGAAGTTCGTTTGAGCAGCTGGCTGTCACCTTTCAAAAATGAATATTTAATAGCCAGGCTTTTTCCTTGTGAAAGCCTCTCCAATTCACAAATTGGAAAATACGGATCGGTAAATGAAGGCGCAGCCATTGCACATATTTTTGTAACGAAATCTGACGTGGCATCACATCATATTTCTTTGTTCAGAAACGTTTAATGTTTAAAAATATCAAGCAATGCAAATTATTGGAAATTCATTCTTAGTTGCATATGTTATTGAAGAAGAAATTTTTCATAATTATCATTTTCTGTCTCCTTTAGACCAACGAAATGTCTGGTGAAACGGTGCAGCTGCAGGAAAAGGTAATCAAGCACAGACTTTACGTTTTATGGCTGCCTCTCTGGCAATGAGTAACTTGATGGAAACTTTGAGCCTCTTAAAAGAACTCAATACAAGCCCAATCACTTTCAATCTAGCTCCGAAAATCAATGTTTTTCAGCTTCATGTTATTGACATTTTTATAGCTTCTTGTCGTTTTCCTCTTTCGTTCAAGTACCATAACTGAATTATTCTGAATTTCTCATTTTTTTAATATTTAGGCAAATGGTGGGGCGAAGGAGCCTTATGTGGTTGGAGACGAAGAGGGTAATGTCGTCATAAAGGTACGTTGAAACGACGTTAAAAGCGTCAGGAGTCGTTAGCTGCTGATGCATTCCGTTTAGGGCTTGAATCAAGCCGTCACTGATGATGCCGTAGCATAAGGAAATTATTGCCGCCTGATTTGCATTAGCCGAGTTGATGTAAACTGATGTAAACTCTTTAATGCAGAAGGATTCACGTGCACTAAACCCAAAATTCTCTAAATTGCATTCCTAATTTAAGGTAATTTTCTAAGGAAAAAATAGGAGCTTTCCTGGAGTTTCTTCGGCGATATTTTCAAACAGCGCCTCATCTTTAGGGACATCAAGCCTTGCCTCTTTTGCTCTTACTAAGTAGCAGATTGTATAACAAGCATTCACTGCTGCCAATTGCCTGCTTTGTTTTGTCCTCTTCAGTCCCTCTCGAACTTGGCGTGTGAAATATGGCAGCTGAAAAAACCTATATACGTAATCTTTGTTAGTAGTTTGAAATTCTTAATTTAGAGTTTATCTATTTGCTTCTTCCCTAGGACAATAAGACTATCAATGAATTTGATCGATCGAGCAACTTGCCAGAGTCAATTTTCAATCTTGTGAACTCTATTATTGGCGGTGGAATAATAGGTATTTTCGTTATCTTCTTATTTGGAAGTAACAAAGCTTAATTTCCTTTGATAATTAAATCGTTAAACCTGCTGTTTTTACCTTCAAAAATCTTGTTTAACAACCATTAGGGATTTCATTGACAAGAAGGCCAAGATATATATTCAGTGTAATTTGTACCAATCTGAGCTGCTACCACACCTCTGCCGATTGACTGACCATGGAAACTTCAGCTTCTTAAAAACATTGTTTTGAGACTAGGCCTGATATTCGCCCGACTGCAACTGAACTTTATATCTGGTCTTAACATCTTCCATCCAAATTTCCAAATCTTAGTTCAATTCGGTATTTTATATACCTTCGTTGTCTATATCAGTTTAAGTTTAAGCAACTCCTTTGATACCAGTAGCGTTTTATGTTTATTTTTAAGGATTGTCGTACTCGTTCAGAGTTGCCGGTCTGCCAATGGGCCTAATTCTCCTCGCCTTCTGTGGTGTTATAACAGGTAAGCAATTGAAGGAAATAATTGAACTCTTTGAAAGAAATAGAAAATTTCAATACTGCAATTCATGTTCCAAAAACAAAAGTATCTTCTTTTAAACATGTATATTGTTGTCAAAGAGAATAATTGGGTATTTGTAATTAGGAAGACAAAATTAAGATACAAAATGAATTCGTTGTCACTTTCAGATTTGTTTGGACAGGCTAAAGTGGCCCTCAGTGATCAGCAATAAAGCAAATCGATAGCAAAAAGCTTTGTTCGAGGATCCCTTCTTTAACAGAACACAGCATTGCAAGGCACTTATAATAAGAGACAGATACATAAAAAGGGTTAAGTTGTGGTTTGAGCAACTAAGACCATTTTTGTCTATCCGTGCATTGCTTGTGACGTCATATTTTGTTATCAAGACCAAGGTACTCAAATAAAAAGCAATGATTTGCTTGTAGATTTTGCAATGATCCTACTGCTCAAGTGTGGTGCTCTTGCAGACAAATACACATACCAGGTAAATGTTTTCTAGATTACTGTAAGCGGTTACTGTATCTCTGTGCAGTCAGCTGTCTCAATTTCAATCCCACCGAAACACCAGTGTTGTTGCAATTTACCAATTCAGCTGATAAGTTTTCCAGAGGCTACGTTTTTATGTCAATAAGGCAGTCAAGCTTTTTTATATCGCAGGAACAATGGTCATGTTTTGAAGTTACTAGTTTCAAACGTAGTAAAGTCTTGCTCACTCTGGATATTGAAGTTTGTAACCGAAATGCTCGCTTTGCTTATACCAACTGCAATTGTCTCTTAGATACTTAATTCCCCCATGTAAAATGGTCGATTGTTTAATGAAGCACCCAGCTGGTGGAGGTGGATATCATTCATAAGAAAAACGGGAGAGGTCGAAGAGAAGAGGAAGGACAAAATAAAATGAAGTCGGGAGAGGAGAGATGCCAAGTTTAATTTTCCCGTTGTTGTTGCTGTAAGGCTGACATTTTCAGTATCAACGCTATTTGAGAGGCTGTCTTTTATGGAATATTCAACCTAAATGTTTTTCCAGGGCATGGTTGAGGCTGCATTTGGCAGAAATGGACTATACGCCATCAGCTTTGCGCAGTTTATTTATCCATTGGCAGGTGAATGAAAATTGTCTGTTTGTTTACATCATGTTATTGATATATTTTCATCGAGTTTTATCCTTAACAATGGATAATTTTATAACTTTTCAGTGCTTTATTATGTATACAATTTTTTAAGTGGATTTCTTAGTTCCATATGATAGGATTCTTACCAAAAACTTAAAGAATGATTTGTAAATTCATGACAATGTACTCTTAATGTAGGTCTGACAGAAACTCGCAATAGGCTGGTGTATTTGCGCACTCCACTGTACCCATCTCTATGACGATACCGCAACTCTGATACATCTATATGATCTAAATCAGCCCTATATGTGTGTGGCAGCTATCTAGTTATGTTTAGGCATCAACAAGGGCTTGCGATGAATCTCACCTTAATTTTCTCTGTCACTCCTAGTTATGATGGCCTACGGTGTCGCCATCTCAGACAACATCCCAAAAGTCTTTACGCGTACAAGTAAGTCCGTTATTTTGATTCTTGCTTCAGTTTTTCGCCTTTTATACTTTTCAATCAATTTAACCATGCTTACCATATATTTCTTTTGTGTTAGACTGTGCTATAAAACAATCGATCTTTAGTACAAAGAGGAAAGTGTACTGAAATCTCATTTACAGCTTATTTAATTCTTTTAGAATGTTGCTATTTTAGATTGAAACGTTCCTTCCCTTTTACAGCCTGAGATATATCGCTAAACAGCCAATTTTCTCAATATGGTACCAGTAGGCTATAAAGCCAGGTCTTAGCTCCACTAATAATTTTTCTATCCTCTTATTGTAGTCGGACCTGGTACAATATTATCAAACAGGCAGTTCATTAATGGCATGGCTACGCTGTTGATCATCCTACCATTGTCGCTCCCACGTAACATTGCCATTTTGGACAAGGTATGCACTCTTTCCCTATTTCCTCTTGGTTTCCTTGTCTTACTCACCTTGAAGTAAACAAGTCTATAAAAAATATTTTGTTTCTACACAAGATAAAAAATTATGATAACACCATTGTTAACTGCGGTTTTTTCATGCACTGGAAAAGCAAGACTTTTTTAAATTGATTTTCAGCTTCCACTATGATCAAGGATGGCGTTCACAGAATAAAGCGGAAGTTTCAAAATTATTCCTTGATAGTTCAAGCTCATATATGTTTTCTTGTACACATATTCCTTTGTTTTTGCTATGAATTTTAAACAACACCCTTTTGGAATGCATTCAGCTTTGCCCCTCACCAGAGATTTCTAAAACTCCACTGTTTAGCATGCAGTTTAAAGTCTGATTTGCGAATCAAAAATAACTTTCTTATTAAATGGACACAATTTGTGCTCTTTTCAAAAATTGCCTCAGAATATAGTCTTAAAGGACAGACATCAAGTGGCAACCAAAATATATTTTGAAAATGGATTTTCTCCAGTTTTCAGCGTTGTCCATTGTCTGCGTGTTTTTCTACTCACTGGTGATCTTAATCAGAGCCGGAACATTGGCCCCGTTGACGTAAGTTTTGTACTTAAATTCTCCGTAACTCATCTGTTGTTTATGTATTTACTGCATGTTCTACAGTTTAAATGAATTTTAATCATTTAAAAGTTGTTACTGGCGTGATTAAATTGATTTGTATCTTCAACAACGGTTTTTTTTATGTAGCAAATTCGAATTTTAGCCAAATCTGCTAAAAAGGGCTCTTTTTTTGTCTTATCACAGACATATTGATATGTTCTCCGGCTTCACAGAATGCTTCCTAAATGGTTGCCAGTTAGCCCTCTGTTGACAAACCATTGCCAAAGTTTTTTTATTGCTAATGTGTGTAAACAAAATTTTGTATCAGTTTCTTAGTACCTATAACACGCAATGAATAATATTTATTTACAGAAGTGTTGGTATCTAGCTCGAAAAATTTATTTATTTTTAAATATAAATCTGTTTTTAGCATTCCCTCAGAAGACGCCTGGGATTTCGCAAGAGGCGGAATGCCACAGGTAAAAGTCTTCAACGTATTTTGCGATTAGCAAATGCGATAATTAACAATCTTTGACAGTCTATTGCAGTTGCAATGTGTCTTCAAGTTTATAAGTAACCTTGTGAACTACTCATAGCTATATTGATAAAACATTTTGACATAATTTTCTCTCTCAAGCTTTTTGGCGAGAGCTATCCATTATAGGCATTCCGTTTAATCTAGGGTTGTGTAGAGAAAGCCTCAAGGTTCGCGTTGTTTAACATTTGTTTTGTTATGCGATGACCAACAGGCTTCAAGAAGTAAAGCTTTGTTTCAATCTGAGATCATCTTAAAATTCTTTATGTTGCATTATCATTAATAATAATTTTGGGGATTTAGAATTTGGTTATTTGAATTTTCGATGAAATTCCTTGCGGCCAAGTGCTTTAGTTCTGGATAACCTAGAGTTTTGTAAACCTTTTTCACCTGCAGCTAAAATCTGTAATAATTGTTTTTCTTTTTTTATTGCATGAAATAGCACGGTGTGGTCGTTAACGCGGCTAGTAATAACGCGATCATAAATTTATGCGAATACGATGTGAAAATGTTTAAAATGCAAAAATAAGGCAAAAAACGAGGCAAAAATAAAATGTATTCTAAATATGCAGTGCTAATAAAAACAAATAAGAAGGAAAACAAACTTGTGAAAAAGAGGACATTGCAAAGACAAAAAAAGACAAATATCCAAGAAACTACGTTCAAATATCATGAAACATAATAGTAACAAAATTAGAAATACACTTGGTTTGGTTGTAATTGTTTTGATATTTTGACAAAATATCGACTTTCTATGGATCCCATTTCTTAAAGACAGTAAGACAAACAATAATGATGATAAAATTATAGCAAACAAGTATCACAAACAATTATATTGCCCCAGGTTTTATTAAGAAGATCTATGGTATTGGCATTAACAGCAAAGCAGTTAATGCCATGTGGCAATTATCTATATTATATTATATTATATTATATTATATTATATTATATTATATTATATTATATTATATTATATTATATTATAATTTTACATAATTGTATTTTTTCATATCGCTTCATATGAGTCAATATTGCTTTGAATTGAATTTTTCTCTTGTTTTTTCCAGGCTTTTGGAGTCATGGCTTTTGGTAAGCTGTTACTCTTCTCTTTGAATCTCGTGGCTGTTCTATTTCATGAAGGATATAAATGATACCTAAAATGATTAATAATATAAAATGATATAAATGTCACATTATGGAACACAATTTGAGAAGAAAGCCCTAGTTGCTTTTTTGCTTCTTTGGGATCATTATTTCAGCAAAATCTCTTTGATTTGCATTCGAAAGCAAATTTATTACTTTGCCTTTGCCTAATTTTTTATCTGTTATTTCAGCCTTCGCTTGCATGCACAATATTTACCCAATGTATCGTGCCCTCAAGAACACATCTGTGAAAAGATACAGCAAAGTTGTCCATTCATCAATTGCTGTTTCGTCTTTATTCTACATTGCTGTTGCCCTGGCAGGATATATCACATTCACCAATATGTCACAAGGTATTTTGTGTGATTTTCTTTATTTAGTTGTCATGTTGTCTGTCCAAAATAGCAACATCCACATTTACTGGACACTGGACACAGAGCTAGTTGGGGACTGAATTCGAGTTAATTTTTATAATCTTTCATTTAAATGTCAAAATTGGGACTGACGTTTTTTCCTTTTTGCTTTAATCTACTATTACTCTGCAATATAACTTCTGAGAGATTTATCTAACCATTTCTTCAAAATGTGTTCTTCAAATATTTGAACAGCTATACAATTATAGGATCTACAATCAATCCTCCATTCGAAGTACTTATTTGTTTTGCTTGTTCTTCTATTAATTACAAAGCTACCTTCGTTGGCAAAGACTGACAATTCAAAAGTTGTCAAGTGATATGAGGGGCCTTATTAGCTGCAATTTTAGGCCTTATTAGTGTTTTTCGACAGTGATAGAAATGGGCTTCAGCTTTTGTGTGATATTTTTACGTTGAGAGTATTATGTTTATTTATTCCAAGGTGTAAGGTCCGTTATTTCCCTGTTAAAGCAGTCCAGTTAGTAAAATCCTAACATTATCGAGATTGAAATGGCTTTGTGCTTTATTACCCCGTCCTCACACTGTTCTCATTTTTCAGGTAATTTGTTGAACAATTATTGTCCTGACGACGACCTGGCAAACGGCGCACGATTTATATTCGCGTTCACGATTATTTTGACATATCCCATTCAAGTTTTCATCGCACGAGAGGTGAGCTAAGATGCATTTAAATTTCACAATTCCTTTATAATCGTTTTATTTGAGTTTTCTCTTATGCAATTAAATTTCACAATTCCTTTTTAATCGTTTTGTCTGATTTTTCGCTGATGCCAATAAATTTTACAGTTCCTTTATCATCGTTTTCTCTGCATCCGTTTCATAAAAAAATTGTTTGTATTTTCATGAATAGTTTTTCTATCTAGCAGGTTTTTTTTCCGCTGCTTTCTTTTAAAAAATATTTTATTTTCTCCATTCCTTAGGTCATAGAGGTCGGATTCTTCAAAGACCGTCCAAAATCAGTTATTCGGCATGTGGCAATAACCTTTGGGCTGATAGGTGTGGCCACTGCAGTTTCCATGGCAACTGATTGCCTTGGCCTTGTTATTGAAATAGCTGTAAGTACCGAACTCATGTCATCACGGTCAAGCTAAATCAGTCCTTTACAGAAAAATCTTCTTCATGCAATCAACCTATCCATCAATCAATCAATCAACCTATCCATAATTATGATGCAAATCACTTTGCACGATACCGTAAAATGATTGGAAGGGCCTAAAAGCTGTAAGAATAATCAGTAACATATTTGAACTTGCTGCCCGTTCCTTTCTGTTACAATTTTCCAACACTTCTGCCGAACATCGTTATCTTTACCTCGTAATGTCTTTCTTCATTTGGATTGTTCCAGCTTTTGTTCATGTCCGTATTAGCTTTATATTTCAAGTTCTACATTCATTAAAAAATTTTGACATTCCGTGTTTTGAATTTACAAATGACCAGAAATCATAATCAATTTCTTTTATTTTTTGTTGCAGGGGTGTTTCTCAGCATCGCCGTTAGGTAAGAAATTAAAAAAAAAATTTGTGCCTCATCGATAAAACTAAATATTTGGATTTTATTAGAAAGAATCGTGCTCTTAGTCATGAAACGTTTTAACGATGGGTGCATAGCGATATATTTACACACACCAAAGCAAAATTAAGCATCTTTGAGATTATTTAAAATTCTACTTGTTACACACAATTATCTGTGATACCTTTAAGAAATGTCCTTGTTATCTTGCAGCCTTTATATTTCCACCATTGTGCTACATGAAGTTAAAAAACAAAGGTTACCTTCGACGTAAGAACATAAAGCTTTGGCTTCTGGCCATATTTGGTGTGGCTGTCATGATTCTTGGTACAACGATGGCCATTGTAACCCAAGCTGGTAACTGCGCTTTCACTGAAACCCAGCGATACTGGTGTCAAGGAAACGGCCTGAAAACCGTCAACATGTCTTCAAATGGCAACCTCACTACCACCGCGCTGCCCTTGAATGCGACCAGAAGTATGTCATTTGTGTAGAGTTAGTTAATTATGAGAAGTAGTAAACAATAGTAGAATTTATGAAGACATTTAATAGAAATCAATGCACGAAATTGCAATATTGGTTTTGGTTGTCCTATTTGGAGTGACCGACGCTTAGAATACTATTAAATCAGCTCTGAGTGGTTTATTAGAAGAATTGAATTATGGTATTTTTGTGTTTTTGTAGTTTGCATCAGTATGGGTTTTGTTAGTTCGTTAGAATGGTAGTATGACGTTGTATTCTATCTTAAACCTTGCCATTGATAGAATGCATATCGTTTCTGAAATATGTAGTGCACTGTTTTGAGTCTCTTTAGGCTTCAACTAGAAAACAAAAACAAAGATTGCAGAACCAGTCATCAAATAGGGCAAAAACTAAAGCACGCCAGTCTGTTTTAGATTTTAGGAGACGTTCCTTTTTATCACTATATTTCAGTAGGTAATGTCAGTTAAGCTTTAGAGATCGAAATAGTCCCCAAAACAAAAGATTTATAAACAAATTATGAGTTGGTTGAAGTACTTTTATCTTGATCACAGCAGAGGTTTGAGCAGTAAATATTAAATCGCTGAGTTCATCAGCCTGGCTGATCAAAGAGCTTGGTATACATGCCAGATGGAATTTTTCACTTCTACTTCTTGCATTCATTCATATCCCTGCAATTATTATAATATAAGGGTAAAATAGATGAATATTATGTATATTTTACTTATATAGTTTGTTCATAGTTGTGTTTGCTTTGCTTTATTTGTTAGTAAAATGTTAGTTTTTAAGTAGTCTAGGACGGCAAGTTTCTTTAGTGCCCGTTGGACGGTATGTTTGGTTCTTTGCGGCGGAAATATCGTGGCTTGATGATCGATCGATTGTACAACACTCGATAAACTTATGCCTATCATAATTGTGGTTGTTTCTTTCAAGAGAACAAATATTCTCCAAAGATATTTCGAATGTCACAAATGCATTTGCCTACACAATTTCCCAAGGCTTAGGGGCGGACACCTGATCAAATATTGGGGGGGCAAGCCTATTGTTTTAATAAGATGACGTCACATTTCCCATTGTTTTAGAACAAAAGACCATTGTCCTCTAAAATATTGGGGGTCGCCCCCCCCCCCCCCCGCTACTGCCAAGGCTCAATAGTCCAAATCATTCCATATCCCTTTCGTCTAAAAACACTGATTGTAAGTATGCGATCTATAATAAGTAACTGCTTGCTGTCGGAGTGTTTAGACATTTTATCCCCAATCAACGAGATTCTGCTTTAACTCTCAACCAGTAGAAATCCTCCCACAGGCTAAGCTGCAATCCATCGTTTCTCATTCAAGGTGCACAAAACAGTCTTTTCAGTAAAAGACAAGACATGCTTAGGTGCAGAAGCCTGATGATCCGTGGCATGGTCATCAAATGGGTGGAAATAAGTTAATCGCTGTTCGGTTTCCTTTCATCCTAGAAGAGGATTTAAGGAAATACGGACACAGATCTTGACTTCAGGCGAAATAGCCACAAATCGTTCTCTTTATTATTTAAGTTCGTGATTATTTCTTCTGCAATCATAACTCGTAAATTCTTGTAGGAAAATTCTTTTTAAAGCTTCGTCGATATTCAATATAGTTTAAACTTTAATGTTTTTAACATAATAGATATTTAAGCAGTTTTACCATATGCAGATGTGTCAAAACTATGTAGATATATGTATTCCCGTAATATTTGTTGTTTCTGAATTATCAAAGTTCGTTTTGACCTAAACTTGTTATTATATAATTTTAGAATAGAAAATTTGCGTCAAACTGATACCATGTTTCACTTCGAGCCTCGCTTACGGGTCATTTGCCTCACTTAGGAGATTATTAAAAAATGGCAACCGCGAACTGAAGATTGTGAAAAGTGTTACATACTTTTCATTTGTTTAAAGGTATATGTACGTATTTCTAATACGTTTAAATCTTCAAACAGGTCTTCTGTTGAAAGTTATGATCAGTCAAGGGATTGATACTAGATAGGGAAATTATTAATACAATCTAACCAATTGAGGAAATTTGCTCAATTTGATAGATATTCTGGTGTACATTTGCAGGTATATATGTAGTTAAACACTCTTTTTCAAAAAAATTCAAATTCAACAAAATATGCTTATTATGCAAAATGGCGGCAATAACAACAGCAAAAAATGGTGCTAGCTTGTGACAAAATATTTTCAATCCTGCTCTATACTGAGTGCTGCAACTTTTTTTAGATTTAAATAAGGATAAAACATGTGCCTAGGGGTATTTTTACTTTCATACATAGAAAGTAGGCTATGAAAAAAGAAAATATACAGCAAATAGTGAAAAAAATCTAATTTGTAATGAGGTTTTGAAGTGTTTTTTCAAAGGTTTTATAAAATCCAAAATACCTTAAATCACTAGAGCTATATTCAATGCGTAATTTCTCAAAGTTTTAGGTGAATTGGTCAAGCAGGGAAAAAATACGCAAAAAATTTGTTTTCGAGAAAACGATGCAAAAGCTAAACAAACATTAAAACTGAGTATATATGTACATTAGTTCAAAAAACAGTTTTTTTAAATGCCCCACATTCATAAACAGCGCCTTTTTTTCTTTATTAAAGTCCCAAAGTCCCTTTTTAATGAATGGCTCTGAGCCTTTTCCATCTTACTTTCACCGTTTCACTAGACTTTTATTCCGCTTTAGCTAAACGCTCTTTGTCAGTTTTGAAGATGGCTGCCATGGTTTTTTTCCCATTCACTTCAAGACTGCTGCAATGGATGATGCACCATCATTGAACTGTGTGACTGCATTTGCAGTGCATAGTTCAACAATCAATTTTCCTTGGTATATCTTTTTAGGGCATCTTTTCCAGATAAGATTGTTGAGTGATTCGTTTGGATTCTGCGTATATGAGTCCAAACACGGAGATAGCAAGCTGTCCTCCGAAAATGCTTCATAAACTGGCTCAATCTTTTGCACAATTGCAGAAGTAAGACCTTTCTTAGAAAGGAAAAGAGAGGTTTTTTGGCCACATCCCTTTGCCATCCACACCATGAGCTGCTGCCTCTAGGTGCTGTGGATTTTCTTCTGACGAGGCAAGATGATAGAGACCAGCTTTCAAATCATTTAGACATAACCTGGAAGTTGTGCTTATTTTGCTTTATAGCAAGAGCATAATAATTTTGCATGGTGTCTATTATCTTGTCTGTGTGTCTGCCCCTGCCACTGATTCCTATGCCAGCTTACAGTTTTTTCTTTGAGTGGGAACTTTTCAATTTTCGCAAACGCGTTCCTAATCTCTTCTGTACGTGTCCCACACATTCTTTTTTTACCATAATAACATCTCACTCCATAAGGCTTTGCATCTTTGGTAGTTTGAAATGTAGATGAATCACCATCTCCAATGAAGAAAACATATCTTAGACTGTTTTTTTTCTATTAACCTTTGATACATTGCCATGGTACCCCCTACTTCCATAGAACCAGATAACCCAACGCGGTTTGTTCCAGAATAACGATAATACAGTTAGCAAATAAATTTAGCACCTGAATGAAAACATAATAGTTTGATTGTTAAAAACACGACGTTTCGAGCATGTGCTCGTTATCAAGTGGATAGAAAAGAAACGAGCCGAGCAAAGAGAAGGCGAGTGGTTTGTTCCTCATTCTAAACTATGCTCCAGTTTCCAATTCAGATACGTTTTTGAAGATTTATCCATGTTTTCATGGATCTCGCAACCTTTGCAACGCTTTGATTTGACTTCAAAGTCAAGCACTTTGCCAGTTGTTACCGATATAGCAGAAACAATTCCATTTAGGGAAGCATGGCCTGGTTTTTGCCATGATCCATCAAAGCTTGCAGCCATGTCTGCTGATTGCTTCTTTTCTTTGATTTCTTCAGCAGCTATCTTCGTGCTCTGTTCAGCTTCTGCCACAACATAACTCTCATGCAAGGAATTAAAAGTTTTATTCTAATTTTTTCGGGTCATGGGCTTATTCATGGTCAACATCACGCAAAAATTTTGAAGGCCATCGTAACCAATGCCCAGGTTCCGTAGCGCCATGATTAGTCTAACATTGACTTCCATATTATTCTCTGCCTTTTTGCCTAGGACATTGATATAACGCGACGATGAAAACTGATGCTCCCAGAGGCACGTAGAGCACTTCAACCTGAAGGCGACTGCGACACCTTGCTACCTCTCACAAATCTCCTCCAACACAACTCCTTCTTGCTTGCATCCTGGGCATCAAAGAACTGAGAAAACGTTTTTCATTACAGCGATACAAAATATGACAAATCCATTCCCTGATACTTGCTCGATATCATCATCAATATTTCTAATTAGTTTTGTAAGATTTTCCATAAACTCGATGTTTTATTCGTGTTGTTTCCTGAAAGCGGTGTTCCACCATACATCGGTATGTCGGCCCTAACTCCAGCATCCCAGACTGCAAAGTTCGCGTTCCCCGTGCAATAATTGTTTACTCAAATCCCGTCCGCGCATTTTTGCAATTTGAGATTAATCCGCGCAGTTGGAACACGGACTTTCGTGTGAATTCCGCGCATAGCCTTATCTCGAGCCTTGAAGACTCATTGCTAACAATGAGCCTTTGCGAGCGTGGCGACGATCTAAACAATGGCAGCAAACTTCTACACCTACAGATTAACCAAAATTGATTTCAGACTGTCTGAAAATGCATTATGGGATGCTTGCGTTGCGCAATGGCTCATTGTTAAATGGTAAAACTGTATACTCCTCTTGTTCATAATTCCTACCATGATCTTCAAGAGGTGTCACTGGAATTCTTTTATCCATGCGTCTGTACCAGTGAAATGCCTGGTAATGAACTCTTTTGACGGTTTGTATGGCCGAATCTTGATCTGACGGTATTAACTTTAAGTCTTTGTTTCCATACTTTTGCAAAGATGAACTCTTGTTTCAAAGTAATTTCCTTCCGGTTATACGTGATGGTGCGTTATTTTTAATGTTTTCCATTTCAGAGTCTGGCAGGCGCTTTTCCTGGCCAATAGCTGCGATTACTTCACATCTAGAATAATCTTTCATGATCGTTTTTAAGTTTGACTTTGCCTTCTCAGTAAAAGGACGAGGTCATGTCACAGCCAGACAAAGAATGAATTGCAGGCAACGATCTGCACAATCTAAGAAAGCTACATACTGCATCTACTTCAGCATGTTTATTGTGATCGGATTTCATGAGCTATTTAGATTCTGCATTCCGTAGACCTATGTCATCAAAACCAAATAATCTATGTCTTTAGCGACTGTAACGACATTACCTTCAACAAGAGTTCCATGCAGAATGAGCCTCGTATCTATGGTTGCAGTTAAACGAAGCCGTTACTCGTTTGTTCTTGATACGGATCTCCCCCTGATGTAAAGGTGGTTTGCAAAGGTAGATTTTCTTTGAGATTTATCTTGTGAGCATCTCTATTCACTTCACTATGACGAAAATCTTGCCATTTTTCTCCTTGGAGCATATGCTGATTATGTAAGAAAGTGTGGGCGAGTTCTTAATAGACGACGAGAGCGATGATGGTATTTGTTTGTACAGATGTTGGAAGAACGATTGTTTTCTTTATGTAATTCTTAAAAGATCAATTTTGAGACGCAGCAGTAAGAAGGTGGTGACATTTTTCTAATTATACTGAAGAAACAACAAATACATTACGACTAGGCTCATTCATTCGTCCAGGGTAGCAGCATCTACGTAATCCGTAGGTCGCTAACGATGACTCTCCACCAAACCCTGTCACTAGACGTTCTTTTTATATTACCGTAGCTTCAGATGTTAGTCCATTCTTTAATATCGTCTGTCCATGTTCTGCTTTGCCTTCCATTTGATTTCTTTCCCTCAATAAACCATTCCACGATGTTAAAAAACTGTGCCACTAGATCCTCTCGCAACATGACCAAAAAGCGCAGCTTTTCTTTTTGCAATGATGTCAAACAGCTTGGCGGTTGTATTCATTTTCTGTAGCACTTCTTCAATTCTGATTCTATCTGTCCACTTGATCTCTAACTTTCTTCTATAGCATCATAATTCAAATCTTGTATTAGGCCATACAAAATTAATTAATTGATTCTCATCAGTGCCCGTATCGTATTTTGGTGCCATCTTGATTTCTTTGGAAACTAGATTGTGAAACAATCCCTGCTGTGTTTTCTGCAAAGATAGTGGAAAGATTGTCCAAGTCCAATCTATCTTAAAAGCTCTATTTAGCCCCCTTTTAGATATTTCTGCAATACACTCTCATTTCTTGTTAGTCCCCCTTTGTTCATTTACGCAAAATTTTAGCTATAGTAAAGGGTTGCCAACACAGAACTTGCCCTACCAAACATGCTTTTGCATATTAAGGGAGGGTTGCTCTCATCCCAAAAAAAAAATTCTTTGAATTTAAACAAGATGGGGCTGAGCCCTGAGTAACCTTCACAACACCCTGTTATTATATTTTTATTACCAATTGGCGTCCATTTTGGTTTTTTAAAGCTACGACAGAAAAGTGGAAGACGTAACAGCTGTTTAGGCCATATATATAGCTAAACAGCTTTAGAACATATACAAAATATATAATAATAAACCACCGCCCGCCAATTTTTTTGACTCAATTTTCAGATGAGAATAAACTAATAAATTTTATATGGCCTTGTGGTGCAATATTAGGTCACTAACTATAGCACGACTAGGTACAATATTTACTAAAATATTTTTTCAAAGGAAAAGCCTCTCGATGACGAAAATTTTTATTCTTTTTGCTTCAACTATGGTCAGCGGTCGGAGGGAGAAGAATTAAAGGAAACCATACCCGGTTGAGTATAAGCATAAGCAAGTTGCAGCTGAGCCGGCAGCCCCTAATGACGTTGGTCATAAGGGGAAAAAGAAGCCGGATTCAAAATTTGCTAAAGCATCACCTAATAGAGAAAGGCAAATCAATGGTAACTTCAAGGTATGAGAAAAGGATTATAATAAAGGTGGGCGAGTTGTTGAGATGTGAAGGGCAAGAGGTGCGATGATTCGTTACAATTATGAAGAGTTTCTCTCCTTCTCAGCAATTTCCCGATATGCAACTCTTTGGATCCCAGAGTAACTGAAAGTTAACCACTGAATAAACCCATATTTTATCTAGCTACCTCTAGCACATTTCTGCGCTTTAAAACGTCTGATTCTTGCTACACTTGATTCCTTTTCAGGCACTTCTGTGGGTACCCTTAATCACAGTCAAGCCCGTAGCCAGGTCTGTGAAGTATGGGTGGCAGATCCCCAGACCTGTTGCAGGCAGACGTTTCAGCAAGTCTTTTTTTGAGTTTTGCTTAGTAGCGAAAATTTTTTTGAGCGCCAGGCACCATCTTAAGAGGCTCCAATAAACATAGTATATAGGTAATATATGGATAATAAGAGATCCAAATAAACAATATTCTTGCTCCAGGGGTGGTTTTCTTCCTTTTTGTCAGGACTGACCTTCTCGTATACCATTACATCCAGTGCAGTTCATGAACCTATTAGTCCCCATCTTGATCCCTTCTGAGTGATGATTTTCAGATTTCGCGCCATTTTTCTTGAAAGCCAGCCTCGTATTAAAAGAAAAACAACAACAACGCAAATTAAAAACAGATGAGAAAGAGGGTTTCACAGTGGAGAGCGGATCGAAGAATCGATACCTGGAAAGAACGTTGCTTCGTATGGCCATTGTTTGAGAATATTTTTGCTTTTCTGTCTGCTAATAGCAATAATGTGCTCCTTGTCAGTATCAATCAGCACATCAGTCAGCAGAACAATTTGGTTGAAACAGTTTAAAAGCGACAGCAACTGCATAATGCGCCCCAGGTAAACTCCGCAAAGATTTCACCTTCATTTAAGGAAAATTTTGCTTGCTAGACGAGTATGAACAAAGATATTTGCTAACCTGGGGTTCTTGAAATATTAATGCGTAATTTAGCTACATCCAAAGCCAAAGAGAGTTGCAAGAAACTCTGTGAAAAGTATTGTTAGCTTTTCTCGATTTTTTTGTTTTGTTAAAACGATGTCGTCAGAAATCATGAAGGCAGAAAAGTGGAACCCAGTGCGATGCACTTTAAGAAGATCCTTAGGCCTTTTTGGCTGTCATCAGTTCAGAGAAACGGCGCTTGCATCGAAGTCATTTGTCCAGAGGCTTGAACTGTCCTGTAAGTTGAAGTTCCACGATGGATGCGTGAATTCATTGAATTTCAATGACGAAGGGGATCTAATTGCTTCTGGATCTGATGATTGCAATGTTGCTGTCTGGAACTGGTTGCAAAATACGAAGTCGCCACAAATCTGGTATGACAGTGGACACAACAGCAATGTTTTTCAGGTACATACATTAGTACCAAGTCTCAATTTGTAGCTTGACTGTTTATTTTTATCATTTTTTAATTAGTTAGTTTATCTCACGTGTTGAAATATAATTTTTTGATAAAACAAAAATCTGGAAACCCTCTTTACTTTTAAAAAAAGGCAAAACCACTTCAAAAAAATAAAATAAGATCTTGTTTTTCCATCTATAAAAAATGTCAAGATCTGTTAATGATTTTGTAACAATTTTTTTTCTAAAATTGTCTTGGTTGCTGGTTTAATTCTGCTTCAGTTTTGATGGTTTGGTAATGGCATATTTTCATTAAGTAAAATAGTTTTACTTTATCTTACTAAATAGTTTTACTAAAGAAAATAGTTTCACTTTATCCTTTTCACTCAATTTTTCGAATATTACACCTAGAGACTTATCAAAATATGTCAAAACATATATGCTGATCAATTTAGTGAAAATTGAGAAAAGTGAAAATTTAGACGAAGCTTTACATTTAGCTGCCATTTAACAAGATGAACACTTGTGAAAAATTATTAGAACTATTTTCAACAGCGTTGCTAAGATAACTTTAAGAAATTATAATAAGTGTTTGTTTTTCAAGATGCAAGATGTATGTTTTTTAAGTAGAAGAAAGTTTGAAGGCAACTATTTTGGTAGCAAATAGGAAATACCGCAATACGCTGAGAATAAATACACATAAATCAGTAAAGACTAAATATATTGTACTTATTGTTGTGTATTTTGACGTATTGCAGTGTTTCCTATTTGCTACATTTTTATCGACTTTTCGCCGCAAGAACTCCTTGGAGCCCGTCGAGCAGCCTGCTACAGTGATCTTTTCTTCATTCACACAACTATTGTGGTGAGAGGGCTCCCCATTGCTTAAACAGCCAGAAAAAATTTTAAATTTATCTATGAATCTTTTCCAAATTATTTGAATGTTTAAATATGCATATATATGTAAATTTCTTTGGGTGGGCTGTTTTTCTTTTATTGAAATCCCTAAACCTCAGCTCTTTGAATGACCGACAAATCAGAGCACTCAAACAGATTTCTCTGATTAGCTTAATTTCCATTATATGAAGCTACTTTCATTAACCAGTTTATGCAGCATTGGTAACCAGAGAATCCTCACATTATTAACATTCATTTGATATAAACAGAATCGATAATATTATGACATAGTTGCATTGTTTGCATGTGTAAAAATGAAAATAGATTGTGTAGTTATAAACTACTGTTTCCTCAAAGGTCTTGTTAAATTATTTTTAGAAGAAAAAGACCTATTTCAGATCAACCTACCTTGGGCACAAAGATGCTTCTTTGTGGTAATGAATAAGCTCCTTTTTGTTATAAAACATATTGCTATGTGCTTCTAGGTACCTACAATCCGGGCAGACAGTGTTGAGGCTTTATACCCCCACCCACCAGCTCAATGTTTATATATCTGCTTCTAAAATACATATGTGCCAACTTTAAATGGAATTAAAGAAGGGGGGGGAGTAGAGGTTAGTCTATACATGAATTCTACCAAGTATGTGTTTGTGGGTTTGTCTCAAATGCTCTGTTCAAAATTGTAGGTTTAGGTTTTTTAAGCCAATGCTCAATCTTCTAAAAAGTTTAATTGCCTCTAAAAAAATATAACATGAAGTTTCCTTGCAATGGGGCCCAAGTAATAAACCAATTAGGATTGAGATTTGTGCCATTATGAACATTTTTTGCCATTTTTGATAGAATTATAGTGTCATATTTTTATGTTATTAGGCCAAATTCATGCCTAACTCGAATAACACTACTGTTGTTAGCTGTGCAAGAGATGGACAAGTGAGTATAGAAACTTTTAAAATCACTTTTAATAAACTTTTTGAATCATTGCCGATCAAGGTTGTAATTTTTATTAGCGGCTTTATTTCATATGTCCATCTGGGCCTGCTTAGGAAATCTCATCTTGCATTTCTCAAGGCCTGATTGTATAATAAAAACACACCATTTAGTAATGATGGGATGTTTGCTAGATTTTTGTCAAAATTGAATTGGAATTATATGATAAGAAAATCATGTATCTGCTAGTTGGGAAATTTTTCTCAAGAAGATCCCATACCAAAAAATGAATTTTTGCAGATAATTGAATATTCTTAACTAGATGAGGGGTTTTTGTGCCTTTTGTCCAAATAATGTGCTCGGATTGTCTTCTAACAAGTCAAATGAACTTAAAAAATGATTCACAGCTGCCAAAGATCCTTTGTAACTTAACATTTCAATGTGCCAGAAGCTTCTTGAAAATTAATGGCTTTTGCACCTGAATATTGAATATAGTTGCTGTGCTAGAAACAGAAAGCTGTGCTATCAGGGAGAAAGAGGTTTGCTTGACACACCTCCAGGATCTCTTTCATTTCACTTGAAAATCTTCTTGTTTATGCTGCATTTTAATAAATTATATTTTATCTTTGAAGACAACTTTCAATATATTTTATAGGTCAGAGTTGCCTTCTTATCTCATGCAAGCCAGTGTCAACAAACAAAACGAGTTGCACAGCATAGAGGCTCTGCTCACAAGGTTTGCATTATTTAATTCATTCGTCTGTATAACAGATGTTTTTAGTGATGGAAGCTTCAACTGAGTTGAGCAAAAAGCTGTAATCGTTAGAATATACATTTCTTTCCTGCTCAATACTCATTGAAAGCCCAATGTTGTTTTGTTTATAACTGTTGATTTGTTATTGTTGTTAAACGGGCAAAAGTCTTAACTAAGCGACTTAGTCTTATGAAATGAAACTATATAAGAAATTTTATCATGCTTCTTAAGTTTTCTCATTAAGAATGATCTTATGTCCTATTTACATGACAGAAACTAACCCAGCTAAGCCCTGGGTTAGTCTAATCTAGATTAGTTTTTAACCATTCGAACAACTTTCCTGGGTTTGCCATGAGTTATTACACTAACCCATTTTCAGAAGTGGGTTCCCTCCAGAACAAACCTGGGTTAGTTTTAAAAAGATGTTGTATGAATGCAACCAGGAGGTGAACCTTGGACTTACATATTTTTCTAGATATTCCTTGCAAGTGCTATTTAAACTGGCTTGCTCTATAATTAATTTAACATCACCTTTTCACTGATATTTTCAGCCGCTAATGACAATTTTTTCCCTAACAGCTGTCCATTGAACCTGGTTCACCTCACATGCTTCTAACTTGTGGGGAAGATGCTGTAGTGTTTAGTATTGATCTGAGAGACCCAAAACCAAATAAGTATGTTCAATTTTGATATCTGATGTTTGTTTGTTTTTTTTTCACTTTTGCAAACAATATTTGAGCAAGCTTTATGAGCAAAACCACTTATCTTTTAATCATTCTTACAATAGCAACTCATATGGTTTCATGTTTGAGGTCAATGTTGTGGACATGTTTTTCAGCTTCAGTATTAAATTTTATATCACCTTCATATGAGGTCAGAATAAGACAAGAAGTTCACAAGAGTTTTCAGATTCTTCCAGCAAGCAAAATAATATTGAATATGATGTTTTATATATTTTCTCATTATGAATATAGTCAGATATACTGCTAAAATGTGGACCAATGGTCAAGGCATTCGGCTTTTTATCTGAATTTTGTGGGTTTGAGTCCCGTCAGGATATCTTTCCACAAGCCTCCAGCCAACTCAACTCTCTATCCTTCGAGGTCGCTAAATGAGTACTCAGGGTTTTCAGTATAGAATATTAATCTGGGGAAACAAACAGCAGGTCCACATCAGCTACTAGCTGCCACATCCATAATTAGTGTCAACAAATAATCTTGCTTGCTTACACCAGTATGTGACAAAGGGTTGTTTGAATTCTTTTAGATCTAGAACATGGTGTCCTCAGGGCAGTTGCTTTAGAATGAACAATAACTTTGATCAAGCTTTTTGTTGGAAGCAAGCCAGTTGGAAAGTAAATTGAACTTGTTACAAGCTGCTTGATGACCAATATTTTTAGACTGATTCCCTTTTCATTTAACTTTCAAGACTTTTTTGAACAAACATGTCTTTTCCAGATTGTTTTGTTTGCACAATAGCAAGCACAGGAAGGTGCCTTTGTATTCAATATTTTTGAATCCAACAAACTTGAATGAGTTTGCAGTTGGAGGACGAGATCAATTTGCAAGGTATTATTTCGGTTATTACTGGTAATAGTATGATAGTAGAAAGGTGGTATCACCATCCAGCTCGAGGATTTTGAAATCAAAATGTGCTTAGTGTTATTTTTATATAAACCAGGTGCACTATATCGAAGCTCGGGCGTAGATTCTGAACTTCGATGTTATCCTTTCATACCAGTGAAAATTTGCGAGATATGGAGGCAGTTGTACCCAAAAGTGTCAAAAGAAAGTAAGTGAGGAATGGCAGCTGTTCAAAAGGAAACATCAGTCTAGTTGCGAGATGATTTTTTGGGAAACCTTGTTGAAAAACGAGAATCTAAAAACAATCAATTGATAAAAAGTTGTTTGAAAAAAAGCACGGAGAATGCCCCAATTTTATATGAGCTGCTTTTAATTGCTGTGGAAGGCAACACAAACTTCATTTTGCTGTAAATTCAATTTTAATTTTTTAGATTGCCGGTGTCATATGCGTTTCGGTAACCTTATGCATTTCGGTTCGGGTACACAAACGCATGGCAATTTTGGTTATGCAAAAATGTACCCAAGCAGTGAAACAATAGGGTACCAAAAAAATGGTTGAATTAGGCATGCAAAACGGTCCAGGTAAACAAACGAATGACGCTGACTACAGACCCAAGTCTCCGTGGTTCGATTCTCTGGCATGACCAAACTTTCACCCAAAGTAAAGAGAGTCGCCAGCTCTCTGTAATTCCAGGCGCAGGAATCATGAACTGTGGTCACATCGAGGGGAAGGACCAGGACACTGCTCGATAAGCATAAGCTTCTCAGTGTCCCAAGAACTACCTTCGGGTGCTAGTTAGAAACAAACACAAATAACATCGCACTACGATGAAATCACATGATTTGAAACATATTGCGTTTCACAATGTTACACTTTTGCGTAGGGTACCAAAACGCATATTACACCGGCTTTAATGTTGCACGAATTCGAGAGCCGTTTGTTTTTCAAAGTATGCAACAATTTTCTATAAATGGAGTGTATGACGTTTGTCAGTTCCTATGCATCGAATAGAAAGCCCTCGGAACTGAAAATGGTCTTGACTAAACAAATATAAATCTTAGGAGGTTTATTCGTAAAGGTAAGAGATCCTGGTTTCTGAAATGAGAGTGTCCAAAAATAGAAAGAAGACTTTATAAACCCATTTAGCGATGATCTGGATTCTTGCAAATTTTACCTGCCCATTTCCAAAGTTCCTTTTTAACAAAGACAACTCGAGATGGAAGAATGCTTGAGTAAATTGAGGAGATGTGACTTGAAAGTGAGGCTGACATTAGCGCATGTATTTTTCAATGAAGCCTTTTGTCTTCAACTTAATTTGAATATAGGTCGGTAAAGCGGAATCATGTATTATATGAGTTGCTTGGGGAGGGTATTGTTACAGATGATGTCAAGAGGTGATAGCTACATTATTGCTAATTGGCTACATATCACGATGAAGTGGGTACAATTATCGCATATTTTGTAAAGCATGCGAAGGGAAGTTTCGGGAGGACACTGTGTTGTAGGCTCGTTTTTTATAAGAGCTGGTTTTCCATTAAATTCTCCTGGCTACGTTTTTCGGTCAGTATGACATTAAATGGAGCAGAGAAATATCGGAGAACTCCGAATTCGATTAATTGTGATCTGGGAAAAATGCAAAGAAAGGCTTTGCTGGGATTGTGCCCTATGTGCCTAGTGTGCTTAGAAAGACGCAACCTGTGCTGGAGACCCATAAAAGACGTCCGGAGCTGTTAGGAGTTTGGAGGCAGAGATGCAGTGGCATAGTAGTCAGGTGTTTGGCCTTGAAAAGTCAGTGTGCGAAATTTCTGGGGAAAAAAGCCTTGATTTGGTAAATGATGCTAGAAAAGAATTTTTTGCGTAAGAATGGAGAAAAACGAGCAAGTACCAGATATATCTCTTCTTGCGCCCTGCCAATGGAGCTTTGCGAATTATAGTCCACGTTCAAAGCATACATTCTACATGTAGCGAAACGCATATAGGCCGAAGATTAATGAACTATGGCAGATTAATGTTCTTTTAATAAATTGTATATCTATCCACGTGTTTTTAATGAAGTAGCAGTTTTTCATGTTTGCTCTTCGCTCTTGATATGACTCAGTAACATCAAAATTCTGAATTTATGCCCTAGAATTGGTATAGTGCGGCTTGTATAGTGCGAATTGGTAGATACTCCTTCTACTACTTGATTAAAATTTTACAATTTTTGAGTTTGTTCAAGGGAATGTCCAAAAATTTTTAAGAATATCCAAAGTTTCAATCTTTGTTTGAGAAAGAAGACTAAGCAACGTGACCAGGACTTTTTGATCATTTGTAGACACATCAAAGTGAGTTTACCAAAAAATTAAACTTGATTTGGGTTTTAGCTGTTTGTTTGAATATATGCAGTTTTTAGTAAGAAAGGCTTAGAAGATGTAATTTTGTACATGAATGTTTGTAACAATCTAGAAGCCCTATGAGGATTGTTTTGATTTGTCGAGAGAAATGTGTTGTGGAGTGGCTGAAGATATTTTAATCTCGTTCAAAACTTACTCTGGTTTGTTTTTATTGTAGAGTGTTTGACAGGAGAAGGGTTCTCGAGGTTTGTATTCGATTTGGTTTGCTTTTGCTACATCATTATTTCAGGCCTAAGGCTACCAAAGGAGATCAGA